TGGTATTTATTTAAGTATAAAACTACAAAGACCTATTGGCTAATGGTTACAAACTTACAAAGTTACAGAGATGAATCGTGTGTGAGGTATTCTCAATGGAGTGTAGAACACGCTTTTCTTATGTAATTTGCATCTTGTAAGTTGTAAGCAAAAAAGGTAAGTTGATCACTGGTACTAGTGAGAAGAAAAGTGAAGATCGTTTTTTCTAAAAAAAACTAGCTGTATATTGTGTGTGTTTGTTTTATATAAAGTTTTCCAACATTAATTAGTGTTATATATTATAGTAAAACAAAAACAATACCAGATTAACCTAAAATTATACTATTTCACATGGGTTTAATTTATTTATTTGATGAAAATTGAAAATACATGGCATTATATCTGGTAAACTAAAAAATTATTATGTTATACACTTATACTATCCACTATACGCTTTAATGATTCCCAATATGGAATTCTCTAAGTATATAATAAAATACGGAAAAGGGAATATTGAAACGAATGGTGTACGTTTGGTAGACCCACCCACACCCACTCAGCACGGCATGAACGCGTTGACGTGAGACTTACGCTTTCCACTAGTTAAAGAGGCAAACTTTTTTGGACAAAAAAAAAGGCAATTTAGACTTCAATTGCTACGAAGATGCTTCACGCTGGTTTCGATGAAAGTGGGGGGAAGGAATTTATACGGTAAGTGCGTGTATATATACAAGCATAATATAAACATGTATGGAAGAAGACGAAGATGAATGAGAAGAAATAACCACCATATATATTGGTTTTGTAAATATAGGGTACTGTAGAGGGGTCGTCTTGAGAGGTGAGTACATGGATTTATGTGGAGGTCAGACGCTGCGCCTTTCATCGCCTAACTCCAAAATCCTTCACTTGGTTAGTCTCACATTTGTTTTTTATCAATCGGAAAATGTTTGCAATAGGTTACCCTAAGGGTTGTGCGTGTGTGGCCATTAAATATGAAAGACTAAATTTAGAACTATATATAATATCAACATTTATAAACTCCGAGTTTTCGCAACATAATGATAAAGGGACGGAAATTTCGCAATCTTGACAAACGAATATGAGATTGCAAGTAAAGGTAAAGGTAAAAGCACACATATATACATTCTAATATGTGTTGGACCGGAAATGAATAAAGGTGAGGCATGCACAAGGAATCCACAATGTAGCATTAGAAGAGAACGGAGCAACTCCTTTATCAAACAAGCTTTTTGATGCCCATCTCTCTACTAAGGGTCACCAGCAGGTGGGATAATTACTTCTATTAGGGTTTGATACCTTGACAGGCACTCTTGTATATATAAAGAGTATAAATATGAAACTTGATAATTTCTTAGGTTTCTCAACGGGGCAAGGAAATCCTTGAATCGGGATTACTAAACACTATCGAGTTAGTGATTACCTCTCCTCTGAGCAGGTACTACCACTGCACCTATTAGTTTTTCTTTTGTTAGGTATTTTTAGGTAGAAGCTTCCAAAACGTAGGTTTTAAGTTAAAGAATTGGTAAACGTTCTAAACTCGCATGCACAGCGGACCCACTTAAAATATAAATGTTATATATTACTCATTCAAAGAAGTAAATAAGAAAAAACTACTGAAAGTATTTAAAAATTTGCTGATTGACCCACAAAACTCAAACATGGTGAGTAGGAGTTGGAGTTTCTATGACCCGATAGTTCCTTTACCCAACCAACTTGTCGAAGTCGATGAAAGATCTTAATCCACTATGAAATGGGTTAAATGGGGCGGGTTAGTCTGGCTTGACACGATAATAGTAACACAATCCATTCAATTTCAGGGCAATGCAAACTTCAACTGGATTATTTAGGGGGCAAGAAGCTACAAATCGATTCGAAAACTTTCAAATAGCTCACAACTTCCCTCCAATTGTCGCCCTTGAGATTTGTAGAGAACGCATGGTGATATTCATTTATTTTCTTTAAGAAATTTAACAAGTCATTCTCTGAACTTGAGAGCTCAGATAATCACGGAGTAGAATCATATGGCTCAGTTATAAAAAAAACTAATGACATATCGTATCACATCTCCCATGATTCTAGTGACAAGATACGATATATCAATCACACTTGAATGTAAAGTGATTCTCCGTGTATTGTTTTAGGAATGTGCATATGTCCTTATCGCTATATATACTCTTGTATTGACCTTTGTGAAGATTATCAGAAAATATTTTCTCCATTGTCGATCTAAACTTTACTTTATGGTATCAGAGCACGAAAAATAAAAACCGATTGTTTTCTTTGATCTCTTCTCTTCTTCTTCGATTTCTTCTCTATTTTTCTGAAACGAATCACTTTCACGATGTCTGAAACAAACAACGGTGTTGTGAATGGTGCTACGGTGAACACGAACACGGTGGAAACAAGGCGAACGATTTCGCCGTACGACCTCACTGCCGCCGACAATCCAGGCGCTGTGATATCTCATCCCTTACTCAAGGGATCGAACTATGACGAATGGGCTTGCGGGATGAAAACAGCTCTCTGTTCTCGTAAGAAGTTTGGATTCCTCGATGGATCCATTCCTCGACCAGCCGAAGGGTCAACTGACTTGGAGGATTGGTGGACGATTCAAGCTTTGCTTGTCTCGTGGATCAAGATGACGATAGACTGTCACTTCGTTCGAACATCTCCCATAGAGATGTGGCCAAAGACTTGTGGGACAACTTGAAGAAACGCTTCTCGGTTACTAATGGTCCAAGAATTCAACAACTCAAGGCGGAGTTGGCATGTTGCAAGCAACGTGGTCTTGCCATTGAAGCATACTTTGGCAAGTTGAATCGGATTTGGGATAGCATGGCTCAATACAGACCATTACGTGTTTGTAAGTGTGGCAAATGTGAATGTGATCTTGCTACAGCTCAAGAGCAGGATCGTGAAGCTGAAAAAGTCCATGAGTTTCTCTTTGGACTAGATGATAACTATCGCACTGTGCGATCAACTCTGGTTTCTCGGACTCCTCTTCAGCCTTTGGAGGAGGTTTACAACATTGTGCGCCAGGAGGAGGATCTTAAAACCACAGTTCGCCACAGTGAAGAGATGCCAGAAGTGACGGCTCATGCAGTTCAGGCGAGACCACGCATGACTGTTGCTCGCAGTGATACTCCTGACAACTCTGTGCTTTGCAAGCATTGTCACAGATCCGGTCACTCTTCTGATTCATGTTTTGCAGTGATTGGGTATCCGGAGTGGTGGGGAGAGAGACCACGTAGCAGAATCACACAAGGACGAGGAAGAGGAGGAATTGTTGGAGCTGCACCAGTTGGACGTGGGCGTAACGTCAATTACGCTAATGCCGTCCAGGTCCCTGCTCCTCCAACTAACGAAATTGTGAATTACACAATCACAGATCGCGATCGTGATGGTGTGAGCGGACTTAATGATGCACAATGGCGTGCGTTGATGAATCTATTGAATGGTGGGGCAAACACAAGCTCAGAAAAACTCTCGGGTAAGTCCACAATCCCTTCTTGGATAATGGATACCGGAGCCTCTCACCATATCACGGGGAATTTTTCTTTGTTAACGGATGTGAGGAATATGGATCCTGTTCTAATCATATTGGCTGATGGTAGAGAAAGAATTTCAATAGTACAAGGGACGGTTCTTTTGGGTTCACATCTGATATTGAAATCGGTATTCTTTGTCGAGGGATTTCACACGGATTTGATATCTGTAGGACAGTTAATGGATGAGAATAACTGTGTTGTTCAACTCGCTGATCAATTCCTTGTCGTCCAGGACCGCATTTCGAGGATGGTGATTGGAGCGGGTAAACGGGAATCTGGAACCTTCAGCTTCCGCAGAGCAGAGTTGAGTGCTTCGGTGAGGACTTGCGATGACAAAAGCTATGAGTTGTGGCATCATAGGTTGGGTCATCCGTCTGCTCAAGTTGTTGGTTCACTTCCTCATGTTTCTGTTTCTGTTTCTGATGTTTCCAATAAGGCGTGTGATGTGTGTTTCCGCCAAGCAAACTCGTTCTTCTTTTCCGACTAGTATCAATAAGACTACTGAAGCTTTTCAATTGATTCATTCTGATTTGTGGGGTCCTTATCGGACAACATCAAACTGTGGAGCACGATATTTTCTTACGATCGTTGATGATTTCTCTCGCTGTGTCTGGATTTATCTCCTCTCTGACAAAACAGAGGCACCAATACAATTGAGAAATTTCTTCTCGATGGTTGAAAGACAATTCAACAGAAAAGTGCAAACTTTTCGGAGTGATAATGGGACTGAGTTCACAAGTCTCACAAATTACTTTCTCCAACATGGTATTCTCCATAAGACTTCTTGCGTGGGAACTCCACAGCAAAACGGAAGAGCAGAACGCAAGCATCGCCATATTCTCAACGTTGCCCGAGCTTTGCGTTTTCAATCAAATTTACCGATTGAATTCTGGGGAGAGTGCATTCTCACCGCAGGATACTTGATGAACAGAACACCGAGTGCAGTGCTTCAAGGGAAAACACCATTTGAGATGCTGTATCAAAAAGTTCCAGATTATACACATCTACGGGTTTTTGGGAGTTTATGTTACTCTCATAATCAAGCACACAAAGGAGATAAATTTGCCTCGAGAAGTCGCAAATGTGTGTTTATAGGCTATCCATACGGGAAAAAGGGGTGGCGTTTGTTTGATTTGGAGAAACAAGAGTTCTTTGTCTCTCGGGATGTCGTCTTCTTCGAAAATCAATTTCCCTTTTCCGATGAACCACAGAACATCACGACAACAATCAGTAATGAGGAAGGAGTTCTTTGGGCTCCAATTAGTACAGGCCCGTTTGTAGAAGAAGAAAACAGGCCCAACAACTCATTGTCTCCATTGGTCAGCCCAATAGAAACTCCAATCGAAGAAAACATTATGTCGACTCCGTCGTCTCCTTCTCCAACTCCTCTTCATGATAACTCTGCACAGTTGTCGCCTGATTCACCTCCGGCAACCGATTCCTCACCATCTCCATCTCCGACATTAACTTTGGATCCGCCGTCTCCATCTCCCGTTCCTCCTCCTCCAGCGGAATTACTTGGTCGTGGACAAAGACGGAAAACTCAATCTGTCACATTGCGAAATTATGTGACTAACAATGCTCAGACCCAACTTCTCGACAAATCAGGTGCTAAAACTCTTTACCCAATCGCGAATTACGTCTCTTCTGGTAGGTTTTCGGTTTCCCATCGTGCTTACCTTGCTGCAATTGTTGAGAATGTTGAACCGAGATCTTTTAAGTTGGCTTTTTCGAATATACGATGGAGGCACGCGATGCGTGTCGAGGTAGACGCGCTGGAAGAAAACCAAACTTGGACCCTAGAGGAGTTACCACCTGGAAAACGAGCCATTGGAAGCAAATGGGTCTATAAAATCAAGTACAATTCTGATGGTACTATCGAATGCTACAAAGCCCGATTAGTGGCGTTGGGTAATCGACAAATCGCAGGAGAGGATTATTGTGAAACATTTGCACCGGTTGCAAAGATGGGTACTGTGAGATTGTTTCTAAAGGTTGCGGCTGGAAACAATTGGCCAGTTTATCAGATGGATGTTCACAACGCTTTCTTGCACGGTGATCTCCAAGAGGAGGTCTACATGAAGCCACCTCCTGGTTTCTTTCCAGAGGGAGACACTAGAGTCTGTCGTCTGCGTAAATCGATATATGGGCTCAAGCAAGCTTCTAGGTGCTGGTTTGCAAAGCTCACCACTTCACTTCGAGAATACGGGTTTCAGCAAACTCATGCTGACTACTCACTGTTCACGTTTGACAGAAACGGAATCAAGATCAGAATGCTCATTTATGTTGATGACATGATTTTGACGGGAAACAATGAAAAGGCGTTGCAGGATTTTAAAACCTATCTCTCCTCTTGTTTCAAGATGAAGGATCTTGGACATTTGAAATACTTTCTGGGCATTGAGGTTGCAAGGAATACATCAGGATTCTACTTGAGCCAACGCAAATACGCTTTGGACATCATTGCTGAAACAGGGCTCCTTGCTGCCAAACCAGCGCCATTTCCATTAGAGGAGAATCCAACTTGGCTCTCTCGACTTCCCTCCTCCTTTCCGATCCAGCACCGTATGTCGCTTAGTGGGACGTTTCATCTATTTGGCTGCTACACGACCTGACCTTGCTTTCTGTGTTCATATTTTGACACAATTTATGCAAGCGCCTCGTGAAGATCATTGGCACGCTGCATTACGCGTTGTCCGCTATATCAAAGGTACTCCTGGTCAAGGAATCTTATTGAGTGCTGACCATGATTTCCAAATCAATGGTTGGTGCGACTCTGGCTATTCAAGTTGTCCAATCACTCGTCGTTCAGTCACAGGTTATTTCGTTCAACTCGGAGAGTCTCCCATTTCATGGAAAACGAAGAAACAATCCACAGTCAGCAAATCTTCAGCGGAGGCTGAATATAGGGCCATGGCATATCTCAGAGATGAGTTACTTTGGATTAAAAACGTTCTCCAATCTCTTGGTGTCTCACATGCTCAACCCATGCGCATTCATTGTGATAGCAAGGCTGCGATTCACATAAGTTCCAACCCGGTGTTTCACGAGCGTACGAAGCACATCGAAAATGACTGTCATGCCGTTCGTGATGAGATTCAGAGTGGCAACATGTCGACTCATCATGTTCCATCTGCACATCAACTGGCGGATATCTTTACCAAACCACTTGGTCGACGTGCGTATGAGTCATTTCGGGGCAAGTTGGGCATCCTCGACCTGCATGCTCCAACTTGAGAGGGGGTAATGACATATCGTATCACATCCTCATGATTCTAGTGACAAGATACGATATATCAATCACACTTGAATGTAAAGTGATTCTCCGTGTATTGTTTTAGGTTTACTTTAGATCGACAATGGAGAAAATATTTTTTGATAATCTTCACAAAGGTCAATACAAGAGTATATATAGCGATAAGGACATATGCACATTCCTAAAATAATACACGGAAAATCACTTTGTGATTGATATATCGTATCTTGTCACTAGAATCATGGGAAATGTGATACGATATGTCATTAAAAATTATCAATTTATAATGAATGATTTAATGTCCAAATACTTTTGGTGAAAGATTAATATATATTCTGATAACGAATCAAAACGAGTAACTACACAGTCTGATTGTTTGATATTCGCAGGGGTTATATCCATGTGATCAGAGAGAGTGTATAAGTACATATCGCACTCGTTTCTCAGATATCGACTTTACAATGGTAGTTATTTAGTTAATATCTCACTGATTCCTGTAAAAGTTCATCAACTGAACTTGTTTTCATTTTCAATATTTTTATAAATTTAATAATTTTCATTTGATTATAGATAGAGAGTGATGAAGATCCTCTATGGCAAGCCGAGGAAAGGGAAAACCTAGAAGAAGTTTCCGCTAGAGGCCTTGAGTTTGTCAAATGGTGACCATAATAACTTTATTTTCTTTGGAGTTTCACATTTTTCATTCTATTAAACAAAAAAGGTTGACAAACATTTTTCATTGTCAACAACTCGAAATATATATGAAAAAAAAATTAAACATTTCCTGGACTTATTTTTTACATTTGTTCATAAACACAAAATAGAGTAAATTTTCTCATATATACATGTAGGTTATGGAAGAGACCAGAGAAAGAAATTGCAGTTGTTAGCCATGGAATTTTCTTGCAAGAGACACTTCGTGCGCTGCATAAAAAATTTGGCGTACCTCTTGAAGATAGTGACCTAGAACGGTAGTTACCAACGTCCCGAATCTAGTCAGATTTGTTTAATGTTTGTTATTTTAACGTATATGATCAACATCATCGCTCCCAAGTTATCTCTACATATGTAGGATGATGATGCATGTATTGATCGAATATACACAATTATAATAAATTGATTTCATTGATCTTTTGTTTAGGTTTGCTAATTGTGAACTCCGGCCAATTCGACTAGAGGAGAGGTAACTAATATATGAAATTGCAGGAGATTTAGAGTATAATACTGTTTCTAAATATTGTTCACAATTTCAAGTGCAGTGACATGGAAGCCGTTGCATTATCGACTTATAATTGTAGAAAATACGTTACTCCACCTTCGACTTCCCTTTACTCGCTTGAATAGAAGGCGTGCGTATAAATTGTGTCATGCGCCACGCACATGACGCTTCGAAGTTCGAACCAAGGAAAAAAAAAAGTTCGAACCAAGGAAAAGCCACAGGCTTAACCAGGTTTCAGCCACAAAAATAAAAACAAAGAGATTCACACTCACGCGCATCGGTAGGGTTATTGTTAACCATGGGTTTGGCCTCTAGCTTTGGTTGATAAAGATTCATCTACTATGAATCTCTCTTTCATTTTAATTTATTTTAGTTATGCATTATTAAGTATTTTAACAAGGCTGTGTTTGATTCTGCATTTGGTTTAATTTGTTAATACACATATGTCGTTGTCACTCTCATTCCCATTTTTGGTTGTAATATCGATTTTCGTATATATATAATATATACATGCATGGGAAAAATTGAGAACCAACAATATTCAACGTGAAACAATCTCATAAAACTTGAGATGTTTTTTGGTTAGTTATAGTAAGCGTGAGATTAAACAGAAGAAAAAGTGATCTTGAAAATTTTGGAGTAAGCCGATCATATCGATGCAACGGTATTGTGGTGGATTTGAAGGTAGAGCAAACATTTTCACAGGCTAATGTGTTTCCCATTGCGTGAGCAGATTTATAATCCAATCGAACGCATCTTGTTTATAGTAGCATTTAGTTTGTTTTCGTTACATAGATTAGTGTCTATGCGTAAAGGTTAAAGGTTTATAACGGGAAAAACATTATCAGGAAAAGATAGTGTGATATTCTTCAAAACATCGATACAATATTGATAAATACCGAATGTAATTTTATTACAAAATATTTCTATCTATTATAATACCACAGTAGACAAATGTCTTCGATATTATGCTTTGATTCATAAAACACAAAAGACACCTCATGACCATAACCATTTGTTAGTTTTATTAAAAAGAAATGCATATTATCCCTTCTTTTCTTTTCATTTAACCTTTAAGCCATGGAAGCAGAAAAAACGAACAAAAAAGCAAAACAAAAAAAAAAAGATAAAAAAAAAAAAAAAAAAAAAAAAAAAAAAAAAAAAAAAAAAAAAAAAAAAAAAAAAAAAAAAAAAAAAAAAAAAAAAAAAAAAAAAAAAAAAAAAAAAAAAAAAAAAAAAAAAAAAAAAAAAAAAAAAAAAACAAAAAAAAAAAAAAAAAAAAAAAAAAAAAAAAAAAAAAAAAAAAAAAAAAATAAAAAAAAAAAAAAAAAAAAAAAATAAAAAAAAAAAATCAAAAAAAAAAATCAAAACAGTAATAACAATATTTAAGAAAATATTATCCCTTCTTTTCTTTTCATTTAACCTTTAAGCCATGGAAGCGCCCAAGCTTTTGGTTGTATTTTATTTTTCATAAAATAAATACCATCGGTTCTGGCTGCCCATTCACGTGTCTCTCCACACCGTTGATTACGTGCTCCCCTGTATACTTGAATGTCATAAAACTTGGCCCCGTGCCTGAAGAGACATTTGTACACTCTTCTTCCACCCCCGTCGTTCTCTTTGAACTCGATGACCCATGGAGGACCCCCAGGTGTTAGGTTTCTTACGCCTAGATCAACTTTTCTCTCAGAACAATGTACGTTGAGAGTCCCAGGGGGCTTAAGTTCGTTGGTCATTGTTATAACATTCGGTTGACAGCCTCTAAAAGTATATACAGGATTTGCTTCGTTTCGTGAAAAATACATAACACTAACTAAAATAAAAATTATAAAATACTTCATTTTTTTTTTTTTTTTTTTTTTAGGGATCTAGGGTAATTTGGAGTAATGAGGGCATCAAAGTTTAGTATTTATAATTCTTTTCTGTGGACATAGCTAAATTTAATCACAAACCTGAACCAATGAAATCTCTGGTGCTTATAAGACTTTAGCATCAGAAAATATGGCTGGCCAATAACATAAAAGCAAAACCAGATTTTATGGAATTTAAACATCTAAAAGTATATATGGTTGGCCAATAAAATAAAATTAAAAATAATAAATTAGCACTAGTACGTATGATTATTTCCCGCTTTAAGAGGCGGCGAGTATACCGCGTGGCTCTTTGCCACAAACCTGTCGATATTCCCGGAGGATTCTTCACTGACACTCACTCTGATTTTTCGCTACATTTTATTTATCCTTTCCCTATTTTTAATCAAAAATCTGCGAAATTCTTTACTACATTTATATCATACAGATTCATGAATCTTTTTTCTTAAGATTCCAAAATATATTTCCGGCTTCACCTTTTCATAACCCTAATTTTAGCCACAACCCGCCACAACAATCCCAATGGCTGCGCTTGAGCTACACAAACCGGAGATCGACGAAGACGAAGACGAATCTCCGGTGGAGCAGGTTCGTCTCACTGTGACTAACGACGATGATCCTTCTCTGCCGGTGTGGACGTTTCGGATGTGGTTCCTAGGGCTCATCTCTTGTGTGCTGCTCTCGTTTCTCAACACTTTCTTCAGTTACAGAACTCAGCCACTGATGATCTCCATGATCTCCGTTCAAGTGGTCACGCTGCCTCTCGGGAAGCTCATGGCTCGGATTTTGCCAGAGACCAAGTATCGGATCGGGTCGTGGGAGTTCTCGTTAAACCCGGGTCCGTTTAACGTAAAGGAACACGTGTTGATCTCCATGTTTGCCAATGCTGGTGCTGGTTTCGGATCCGGTACTGCTTATGCTGTTGGTATCGTTGATATCATCATGGCCTTTTACAAACGGAAGATTAGTTTCTTGGCTAGTTGGATCCTTGTCATCACTACACAGGTCTCTCTAAACCTTCTCCATCACTTCCATTCAAAACTCTCGCCGTTAAAACTTGTGGAAATATCAATTTGATTGTTTTTTTTTTTTAATCTTGTGTGAGTCAGATTCTCGGATATGGTTGGGCTGGTATCATGAGAAAGTTCGTGGTGGATCCTGCACAGATGTGGTGGCCTACGAGTGTTCTTCAAGTCTCTCTGTTTCGGTATGTCACTTGTGGTTTCTTTGACTAACTAACATTTAGCTTTGCTTAACATTTGTTTTTGTTTTGTTGCTAGTGCTCTTCATGAGAAGGACAAGGCCAGAATGTCACGAGGAAAGTTCTTTGTGATTGCGTTTGTTTGTAGCTTCGCGTGGTACATTTTCCCGGCCTACTTGTTCTTGACGTTATCGTCAATATCTTGGGTTTGCTGGGCGTTTCCTAAGTCGATCACAGCTCAGCAAATAGGCTCTGGAATGTCAGGGCTTGGAGTTGGTTCGTTCGCGCTTGATTGGTCTGTGATAGCTGCTTACCTCGGAAGCCCTCTCGTGACTCCTTTCTTTGCTATCGTCAATGTCGCGGTTGGTTACGTTCTCGTCATGTATCTGGTCGTCCCAGTAACGTACTGGGGCATGAACGTGTACCAAGCAGACAAGTTCCCGATTTTCTCCTCTGATCTGTTTGATTCACGAGGGCAGCTCTACAACATCTCCACCATTGTCAACAGCAAGTTTGAATTGGACTTGGAGAAGTATGACCAAGAAGGCCGTGTTTACCTAAGCACGTTCTTCGCCATCACTTACGGGATTGGTTTCGCAGCTATCGTTTCCACACTCACTCACGTTGCTCTCTTCAATGGAAAGTAAGTCCGTCCTTAGGATAAACCAATTTATTGAACTTTATGGATCAATCACTAATCTTGTTTTCTATAACTTAGGGGGATTTGGCAACAAGTACGAGCTTCGGCGTCTGCCAAAGTGGACATACACACAAGGCTGATGAGGAAGTACAAGGACATACCAAGCTGGTGGTTTTATAGTCTGCTCTGTGTCTCATTGGCACTAGCTCTTGTTCTCTGCACTGTCATGAAAGATGAGATCCAAATGCCATGGTGGGGCCTCCTTCTAGCATCATTTATGGCCTTAATCTTCACTGTTCCAGTCAGCATTATCACAGCTACTACTAATCAGGTACGCATTATTAATCCTCAAAAAAAAAAAAAAAACATGATTTAGATTGTTAATTTTCTTTTATATTCTCTTGTGACGACAGACTCCAGGTTTGAACATCATCACAGAGTATCTAATGGGTGTGTTGTTACCTGGGAGACCAATAGCTAACGTATGCTTCAAGACTTATGGGTACATAAGCATGTCACAAGCTATTTCATTCCTTAACGACTTCAAGCTAGGGCATTACATGAAAATACCTCCAAGGTCGATGTTCTTGGTCCAGTTCATAGGAACACTGATAGCAGGAACAGTGAATATATCAGTAGCATGGTTCTTGCTTACATCAGTAGAGAACATATGCCAGAAAGAGTTGCTTCCTCAAAACAGTCCATGGACATGTCCAAGCGACAGAGTCTTCTTCGACGCATCAGTGATTTGGGGATTAGTAGGGCCCATGAGAATATTCGGTCGGCTAGGGAACTACCCTGCACTGAACTGGTTCTTCTTAGGTGGACTAATAGGACCTTTCGTTGTATGGCTTCTCCAAAAGGCCTTTCCGACGAAAACATGGATCTCTCTGATCAATCTCCCTGTTCTGCTGGGGACAACAGCTGTGATGCCGCCAGCGACGAGCGTGAACTTCAACTGCTGGATCACGGTTGGTGTAGTGTTCAACTACTTTGTGTTCAAGTACCGCAAGAAGTGGTGGCAGAGGTATAACTACGTGCTGTCGGCGGCGTTGGACGCGGGATTGGCGTTCATGGGAGTGCTGATATACTTTAGTTTGACGATGAATGAGATATCAATAGATCATTGGTGGGGTGCGAGTGGTGAGAACTGTCCTCTTGCTTCTTGTCCTACTGCTCCTGGTATTCATGTTGATGGCTGTCCTGTTTTTTAAGTTTTAGCTTCTTTTTTCTTAGTCAGTTTTTCTTTTTGTGGTTTTTTTATTGCACTTTTTAGAGATATTTGTTCGATTTTAGATTTGAATTTGAATATTTCGTGATTTGAAACGATTGTACAGATCAACAAAAACAAACAAACTCTAGTATGTAATTAGATTGATTTTTTTTCCAATGTTGATTTATTTATCTGTGCTTTTTCAAATACGACTGTTTTTTGATGAATTATTATTACTGGCGCGTGTACAATAATGAGAGTAGTGGAGCGTGGGGCGTGGCACGAACACATTGTTGTCAGTTTTGGATTGACGCCAATAGTCACATTAAATATTTAATCTAAAAGTTTGGTTCAACCAATATTCATAAATCAATTAGACCTCTCTCTCTCTCTCTCTCTCATATCTCAAAACCCGAGAAAACGAGGTTAAAGATCCGTGATTGAATTCGTGATTCTGAAATTACGCCTTGTAAAAGGTCTCTCTGATCGTCCTCCTTCTCATCTGATCTGTTTTTATAACCGACCATGGAAACCGCGACTGGAGAAATCACCATCGTTTGCAACCACTGGTACGTTTCCCGAGACAATTCTGGGTCTGATTAATTTAATTTGATCAGAGTTTTAGGCGATTTGTTGCTTTCCATGGTTGCTTGTCGTTTGATGATGACTTATGTAATTCGTCTCGAACCAAAAGGAAAAACCTGGACCCGAAATTCTGAAAATTTGGAATTGGTCGGTGATTGCAAGTGTGTGCATCTGTGTCGGATTGAAGAACACTTATGAGCTTTGTGATTCAGTTTGGTTCCGCAATCTATAGATGTACATTTACAATCAGCTAGGTTCGTGTCGGTGGTTAGTGATGAGATCCCTATATAATAGTACTATGGATTCGATGGATGGGTTTGGGGCAATCAATCATTTTGCGAAAGAGTTGACTTTGGTAAATTTGATGTTTTGTTTTGTGAAAATTGTGAATTTGGAATTCGAATTTACTTAATTAATCACTCTGATCTGATTTATGGTTGGCTTTAACGTAACTTTGTTTCTAGAGGGCTGTGTGTGCTTTGTCTAATCACTATAGCGTTAAGTCTGCTGAGAAATGAGACTTTTTTGAATGTCACAATTCTTATTGATATCACTAAAAAAAATTCCTTTTGTGTTCTTCTTGGATGGTTGATCCCTTGATGTTACCGTATTAAGCTTAGCCTCCTTATGTTTTACAGTGACAGAGACATCCCATCACTAAATATCGATCTGCATCGTGTACATTGCGCCCGGAATCTAGAAAAATGCAAGATTTGTAGCGATATGGTGCCGAAAAAGCACGCCGAGGAACACTACCTGAACACTCATGCTCCGGTACGCTATCTAAATTGTGTTCTGTTTTTGGTTAGTTTCCACAAGTATCATCTTTGATTTTGATTTTGATTTTCCCTCTTGTGCTGCATTGAGAAGGTAGCATGCTCGATGTGCAAAGAGACCATAGAACGTGACGTTATCGATAGTCATGAAAGAGAAATTTGCCCCAAGAGGATTGCAACGTGTGAGTTTTGTGAGTTTCCGTTACCTGCAATTGATCTTCCTGAGCATCAGGTATTGTTCCCTTTAGAGACTTCCTTTTTCTCTCCCAAACAAAAGACTTTTTCTGATTTTGTTCGGGTTGTTTGGAAAAAATAGGAAGTATGTGGCAACAGGACAGAGCTCTGTTACCAATGCAACAGCTATGTTAGATTGAGAGAAACGTATAACCATGAAACCAAATGCCCTGGTACGGTGCTCAACAATGTTGAATCATCCAGGTACATTTCTTGATCTCTGCGCTTGTTTTTTCCATTTGAACTCTGATTCGGACATTTTGTGGCTAAACTCGTCATGGATTGTAATGTACACAGAAGGGTCCCGAGAGCAGCAGAAGGAGATGGGAACGGAAGGAGGAGAAGAGATGAGAACGGTGTTTCGAACAAGAAGCTTTTCTTCACTATAGCGATTACGGGAATCGCTGTCTTGATAGGATCATTGTTCTTTCAGAGGAAGCCTGAGGGGAGCTAAATGTAGAGGCATTTACTTTTGTGTGTAATTCTGTAAATTTGCTCATGATCCTTCAGACTGATTTCTATGGAAGGGTTTTAATGCTTACCGAGACAGAGATTTGAGATTGTTTAAGCGGATGATCCACCTTGAGACTTGCTTTTATATTTGGTTTCCAATTCAATAAAAAGATGTTTCAGATTTTGTTGCAGACATTATTGTAAACACTTTTGTCTTGCAAATGATGAGGAACAGAGGGATTAGTTTGGTTTGGTCTCTGGAATTCGGTTCAGATCTGGTCTGGAGAAATTTATCCGAAATTATAATCGAATTTGTTGATGAGATTCCGATATAACCGAATTGAGACGAAACGCAGTCGCACATAATCGCTTTATTCAAACGCTAACGCAGCCTCTTTCCATTTCTCTCTCACACACTCTCTCTCCTTTTTCTCAATCGATACACACGTGCGTCAGAGCGCCAAGCTTCGGTTGTGATCGCTTGCGACAAGTAGTGATGAAGAAACTGGGTGATCGGCTCTTGCATCGTTTCACCGCCGGCCACCACAGTATTGTCTGCTCTTCCCTTCTCTTATAATGGTTTCTTAGTCCTCTGTTTTAACCTCGCTCGCAAAAGAACGGTTTTAAACTAAGTTCAACAAAATTGCGACAGAAAAGTTTGGATTTTTTTAGCTCTGATGAGGAAATAAGCTTACATTTGCTGTTTACTTCTACCCTTAACTCTTCCTCCATGACTCTAGAGATGGTTATTAACTGTCATTATTTCCTTATTTCATCAAATTTGGTTTATTTCGCTGTTGAAAGATTTGGTCAGTGATCGGAGAGTTAACCAGTAGTGATACTGATATTTAAGTAAATACCATTTCGCTTGATTATCGGAGATAAACGTCTTTGCAGTTTGTTTTAAAGACCATTTCTACCGATCCTATATCTATGGCCTCTTCAAAACTCTTTAGTTTTTTTTTACAAGCAAAGTGTTGAATTCTTTTCTTGCACTAATACCAGGCTCAGAAAGAACAGATCAAGGAACAAGTGGTTTTAGACATAGACAGGATCTCAGGATGCCTCCTGTCCGGCTGCAAATCCATGACCGATATGTAATTCAACTTCTCCACACTATAAAATGTGTCCTGTTATGTGTCTTTGTGTTTTGGCTGAAGACAGAAATGTTGCAGGTTGTGATGGACAATGGAATCCTCCAAGTTACACTGTCAAAACCAGGTGGCATCATCACCGGCATTATGTATAATGGTATTGACAATGTTCTTGAAGTTCGTAACAAGGAGACTAACAGAGGGTATGACTCATGTTTCATATTTGATGATATTGATTCTACTGTTTTCTTCTTTAAGTTATATGAGAAGCCAAGTTAATCGATAATAATCGAATGTATAGGTACTGGGACCTGCACTGGAATGAAATTGGAGGCAAGGGAATATTTGATGTGTATGTTTAATAACCTTATCCAAACATGAAAGCTTTACAAGTTTAACAAAAGACAGGTATATGATTGGTGGATCGCTTGATTGTATGTATGCAGCATCAGTGGAGTGACTTTCAGGGTTATAGTCGAAACTGAAGAACAGGTTGAGATCTCATTTGTAAGAACATGGGTCCCATCCCTTGAGGGCAAGTACATTCCCTTGAATATCGATAAAAGGTCTCTCTTGCATTATGCATTTCCTTTAACAGGAAACAATAGTAGAAGAAGAGACATTGACTATATATGCTCTTTCTTATTTTCAGGTTTATAATGCTCCGTGGCTCTTCTGGAGTTTACACGTACGGTGTTTATGAACACCTGAGAGAGTGGCCTGGCTTTGAACTTGGAGAAACAAGAATCGCCTTCAAGCTCAGAAAAGACAAGTAATGTGAATGAGTATCATGCTATTGGGCTTACTCGTTTGTCAACAGAACTGTATAGTTGTTTGATATCTCATATATGGTGATTCCTTTTGTACAGATTCCATTACATGGCTATGGCAGATGAAAGGAGAAGGATAATGCCTTTTCCAGATGATCTATGCAAAGAAAGATGCCAAACTCTAGATTACCAGGAAGCTTCCCTGCTCACTGCTCCGTGTGATCCACACCTACAAGGAGAAGTAAGACTTGCATTTTTTTTCCTTCTGTCATTAAGAAACTAGAAGTACATTTTTGTACTGAATCATTTTTTCTTTTATCTGACAGGTAGATGACAAGTACCAATACTCGTGTGAGAATAATGATCTGAGAGTACATGGATGGATATCCTTTGATCCACCTGTAGGATTCTGGCAAATTACACCCAGTAATGAGTTCCGATCAGGTGGTCCACTCAAACAAAACCTCACCTCACATGTTGGCCCAACCACTCTTGCAGTAAGTGTCACTGTGACTAATGTGTTGGACTGTTTCAATGTTGTAGTCAGAATTACCACAATCTTGATCTTGGTTTTCATTATGGATATATCAGGTGTTTCACAGTACACATTATGCGGGGAAAACAATGATGCCTCGCTTTGAATGTGGTGAGCCTTGGAAGAAAGTCTATGGACCTGTCTTCATTTACCTAAACTCCACACCTAACAGAGATGAGTCACTCGGTTTATGGGATGATGCGAAGATAAAGGTACCAAGGGAAGCAAATTTCTTATTGCATTTTCAAGCGAGGGTTCACTTAAGTGGGTTTAATCTGTAGATGATGGCTGAGGTTGAAAGCTGGCCTTATAGCTTTGTGTCATCTGAGGACTTTCCAAAGTCTGAAGAACGTGGCAATGCCCGTGGTAGATTACTTATCCGCGACAGGTATCAGAGATTCTTTACATTCTCATTTTATTTTTTCATGCACCTTCCTTTATTGTGTTAGCAATCCACTTTACCGCTACAAATTTAATGTTGATGGTTGTATAGGTTCGTAAGTAATGAGTTGATTTCTGCTGGAGGTGCTTATGTGGGTTTGGCTCCACCTGGCGATCCTGGTTCTTGGCAAATAGAATGCAAGGTGATTCTCTTCCTTCCCCATTCTTAATCATTTGCAACAAGCAAAAAGATAGAAAAGATTGGTTCGGTACCTTTTGGATTCTTCTTCAACTGTTTATGTCTTATTCAGGGATACCAGTTTTGGGCGATAGCAGATGAGGCTGGCTACTTCTCAATAGAGAACGTGCGTCCTGGTGACTACAACCTCTATGCATGGGTCCCTGGTTTCATTGGCGATTATCGTAACGACACTATTGTTTCTGTGACTTCAGGTGAAATTAGTTCTATCAAGTTCTTTTCATAATTTCCTCCTATATATTCGCCAGTTCTTGATGGACGTAAACAACACAGGGTGCAAGATTGAAATGGGTGATATCGTCTACGAGCCTCCAAGAGATGGACCTACCTTATGGGAAATTGGTTTCCCTGACCGAAAAGCTTCCGAGTTCTTTATTCCTGATCCTGATCCCACTCTTGTAAACAGAGCTTTAGTCCATCCTCAAGATAGGTTTGTGAGCTACACTTTTGTGAAACGTTGCTGCTTGAATGTGCGATAAACCAAACTAAACAAAACACAGCTTTGTTTAAATATATGCAGGTTCAGGCAATATGGGTTGTGGAAGAGATACACGGATTTGTATCCAAATGATGACCTTGTTTACACTATCGGTGTAAGCGACTATCGCAGAGACTGGTTCTTTGCTCAGGTTCCTAGGAAGAAAGGAGATGTGCATGAAGGAACAACTTGGCAGATTAGGTTTAAACTCCAAAACATTGATCAAAAGGCGAATTACAAACTGCGAGTCGCCATAGCATCAGCAACCTTAGCAGAGTTGCAGGTAAAGCTTGAAACTTCATACTTTTGTTAAAGACTGTAAAGTTTTGATGGCATTTTCCTATTTGCAGGTTAGAGTCAATGACGCAGAAGCAAACCGTCCTCTCTTCACAACCGGACTCATCGGAAGAGACAACTCGATCGCAAGGCACGGAGTCCACGGGGTTTACATGCTGTACACGGTGAACATACCAGGAAACCGGTTTGTGCAAGGTGATAACACAATATTCCTGAAACAGCCAAGATGCAATGGTCCCTTTCAAGGGATTATGTATGACTACATTCGTCTTGAAGGCACTTCTTAAACACCACATTTGAAGAAGGTACATGTGTAAATGGAATCACATTTGATATTTATCAAACTTGAACCGTAAGATAATGGTAACAACTGATTCATATTGATATGCAAAACCAAAATTCTGACAATCAAAAACTGAACCTAAGACATAACAAGCAGAGAGGAAACTAGTGAAATGTTTTCTCTTAGCACAAATCAACAAAAGTGGACTGACTAGTGACGTGAACTACTTACTGCTACACTTTCCTGCAACTTGCTCTGCTGAGCTCTTCTTCATGAGTCCCTTGATACAAAGCTCATTGAGCAGCGCCAGAGCTTCTTTCGCCATACCTTCATACGCTATGCCTTCAATCAGAATCGTGTACGACGTTTCAGTCGGTTTACACCCTCTGCTGATCATATAAACCAAGAAATCAATGGCACGGTCCGTCTGCCGAGTCTTGCAGAGTCCCAGCATTATAGAGTTGAAGGTGACTGCGTTTGGCCTAACGCCCATCCGCTCAAACTCATGGAAAAACTTAATAGCCTCGTCTACTTTCCCTTCCCTGCTCAAACCTCCAACAAGAGAAGAATAAGTGATCGTGTCAGGCTTTAGATCCTTTGCACGCATCTCATCCAGCAGCTTTATCGCTTTCCCTGTCTTCCCTGCTTTCGCAAGCCCGTCGATAACAGTATTGTAAGTGATGAGAACAGGAGAACATCCTTTGCTACTAAGCTGGTTAAGTATCTCAACCGCATCTTCAACTTTCCCATCTTTGCACAAGGCCGTTAACATAGTGTTGTAAGTCACAATGTCAGGGTAACAGCCACGAGAGACCATCCTCTCCAGATACTCAACAGCTCTATCCATCTTCTTCTCCTTGCAAAACCCGTGAAGCAACGGATTGTAACTCAAAGAATTCGGCTGGCAACCATGTTTAGGCATCTTCTCCAATATCTCAATCGCTCTGCCAAGCAAACCCTTTCTGCACAAGAAGTTAATCAAGATATTGAAAGTGACAACACTCGGCGCAAACCCTTTACGCAGCATATCAGCAAGAAGCTTCTCCGCGTCCATCCATCTCCCTGTACTACACATACTCCTCAGGATTATGTTATGAGTAATCACATTCGGCTCACATCCATAAGAAGGCATGTCGTTTAAAAACTTAATCGCCTCATCTAATCTTCCTTCTTTACAAATACCATTCACAAGAACATTGTAAGTCACAACATCAGGCACACATCCTTTATCCCTCATCTCATCAAGAAGCATCATCGCCTGACCAACACCGCTCTCTTTGCAAGTAGCTTCGATCAAGATAGTGTAAGTGATCACATCAGGGTAACAATCTCTCTTAAGCTGCCTGTCAAGAACTTCCATGGCCTGCTTTAGCTTCCCGCTGTCGCAGAGAGAACGCAAGATCGTGTTGTAAGTGACGACATCAGGAGAAACGCTCATTCTCTCGAGAACGGATAAGGCGTTGTTGATCTCTCCGGCTTTGCAGTAGCCACTGATCATGACGTTGTAGGTTATGACGTCAGGAACAGCGCCAGAGCTTTCGAGAATCTCCAGGATCTTTGCGGCTTTCCTCGTCTTGCTCATTCTGCAGAAGCCGCGGATCAATGTGGTGCAGGGGATGATATCGGGGACGTTGCCGTGAGAAACCATGTTCTCCAGAAACTTAAACCCTTCCTCCAATTCTCCGGCTCTGACCAGCTGCCGCAATTGGGTGTTGCTCTCGACATCTTCCAACGCGAAAGACGACGAATTCGCGGTGCTGAAATGGCCATTTCCGTTGCTATTGCTAATCCCAGAAGGTGAAGTTTCGAACTTTTGAGCTCTGCCGTTGAGACCGGAACTCTCTACCTTGGAGGCTGCGAAAACGAGAGCAAGTCGATTCCTTTTTCGTGACCCAGGAGAGGCTTTAGACCTGAAATTACTAGTCGTACGCCCTGAGACGTCAAGCTTATTACTTCGTTGAAATTGTTGAATCAAGCAAAACCCTTCTTGTGCACTGCTTGTGGACACCATCAAATCCATAGATGACTGTGAAAGGAAATTAAAGTTGGGAACATAAACAGATAGACAAACTAACTTTAATCCTCCCTAAAGTATGGATTTTTCGACACCGAATAAGAAATCATCGAGAGAGAGGGAAAGGGGAAGAAGAAGAACAGAGGAGGCGGGTTGAGAGCAGTGAGTGAGTGAAAGGATATGGCAATGTTTTGTTTTTTTGGACTTTTGTGAATTTGGGCCTTACAACTAAATCATAAAGTTGGGCTTGGGCTTTAATTCCAAGGGGCAAAATGGTCCATTAAGGATTAAAGCAATGGAAGAGACGTATAAGTGAAAGCTTTGAGACACACGAATGTCATTATGTTGAGCATTGCGGCTCTCTTAAGCATTTCATCCAAAAACTAACCGAATTGTTTTGACGACAAAGTCAAGAGATTCTCTCCACTACACCCTCTTCTTTTATCTCACGTCCAAGGCAACATAAGTTCTCCAAATTCGCATCTCGGTATATATATACACACATATACGTATAGAAAAGCATGTACATTTACTTTGAGCTTAAGACCACAAAACCCACAAGACATTTCATCAATGTCGTCTGTTAAACTGAAGTTGCAAGATAAAGGCAATCATGTAGGTTTATTTTTCACCCTTTCTCATGATCTTCTCTATTTTCATTGAGTTAGCTTGCATAACCTAAAAAAGAAAACTGACTTTGTTTAGGTGGTGATGGATAATGGCATTTCACGTGTTACATTATCGAAGCCTGATGGAATTGTTACAGGAATCGAGTATAATGGCATCGATAACTTGCTCGAGGTTCTTAATGAAGAAGTCAACAGAGGGTAATGTGATATGTATAATATGTGATCCTATTAAGTTGGAGTATGCATTTTCTGTTGAATAGAAATATAAGTTATATAACCTTTCTAGAGATAGTCTCTGAGCTTTCCTGTTAGTAAGCGAGCCTAATTAGTTTCTTGTGAATCAAGATTCTCTTAAGAGCCTACAAACTCCAGCTATTGTATACATCATCTCTCTGTTTTTCTAGTTTAATTTCATAAATTTCTGATTTGGGCATAAAGTAAAAAGTATTCTTCAGGTACTGGGACCTCGTTTGGAGCGGATCAGGAACCACTGGTGCATTTGATGTGTAAGTCTTCTTTGTGAGCAGAGAGAATCAATGAAGCTCAAATCAGTTAATGCATTAACTACTATTTGCTTTTGAAGAGCAGAATAAAAGGAACGAAGTTTGAGGTGATAATGGAAAACGAAGAACAGATTGAGCTTTCTTTCACAAGAAAATGGGATCCATCACAAGAAGGCAAAGCTGTCCCTTTGAACATTGACAAAAGGTCCTTTTCTTTATTTACATAAAATTTCATACTTAATTCATTTCTTCAGATTATGATCTGAATAATTTGTTGAAAACAGATTTGTTATGCTTCGCGGATCATCAGGGTTCTACACTTACGCCATATATGAGCACTTAAAAGAATGGCCTGCTTTCTCAATTGCCGAAACTCGTATTGCCTTTAAGCTCAGAAAAGAGAAGTAAACTACAAAAATCACTTCTTCACTTCCTTGTAAACATCTTTGACACTTCACTAACCCTAGGAGCTGAGATTGTAGGTTTCATTACATGGCAATAACTGACGATAGGCAAAGATTCATGCCATTGCCTGATGACCGTTTACCGGACAGAGGCCAAGCACTGGCTTACCCTGAAGCTGTTCTACTTGTTAATCCTTTAGAGCCTCAATTGAAAGGAGAGGTAAAAGTTTTTCATTTTGCTTACTTTTTCAAGATTATAGAGAGTAGTTGATTTCTTGCGAAACAAGCTATACACTTTTGCTTTAACCGGGTTTTCTTGGGGGGTTTTAGGTTGATGATAAGTACCAATATTCGTGTGAAAACAAAGACATTGGTGTCCATGGATGGATATGCACAGAGCAGCCATCGGTTGGTTTCTGGCTCATAACTCCTAGCCATGAGTACCGAACCGGTGGACCTCAAAAGCAGAACTTGACATCTCACGTTGGACCCACTTCTCTTGCTGTAAGAATACACATCTCTCTGATCTAACATTTATTCTCTGAAATCATTTATAAGTTTTGACAAAAGTAAAGCGGGTTCCTTCCTCAGGTATTCATGAGTGCACACTATTCAGGGGAAGATCTAGTGCCAAAGTTCAGTGAAGGAGAGGCATGGAAGAAGGTGTTTGGACCGGTTTTCGTCTACTTAAACTCGTCTACTGATGATGATAACGACCCTCTTTGGCTTTGGCAAGATGCTAAATCTCAGGTTCTTTTTTAAATCTTGTTTTATATTATATTTGGGGAAAAAAAAAAAAAAAAACATTAGCTCTTCGTTCCAATTCCAAATTTGATAATTTGTTCTTATTTATCAGATGAATGTGGAAGTAGAAAGCTGGCCTTACAATTTTCCAGCTTCGGATGAGTATGTGAAACCAGAGCAACGTGGTAATCTTGTTGGCAGACTTTTGGTCCACGATAGGTATTTATACTGTTTTCATTTGTCATTGCTTTTACGTCCACGATAGTCTCTAGCCATTGCAAACTTCACATGAAGAATATTTGCATATATCGAATAATCTAATTTTATAAACTGTAAGTCTGTAAATTATGTTTTCAAAGGTACGTAGATAAAGATTTCATTGCAGCCAACAGAGGTTATGTTGGTTTGGCTCTGCCTGGTGCTGCTGGTTCATGGCAAAGAGAATGCAAGGTGACTTTTAAATGGAATTTTCAAATATTCAAAAATAATTGTTTTTATGACATTTCAATTAATTATTTGCAGGACTATCAATTTTGGACAAGAACAGATGAAGAAGGATTCTTTTACATAAATGGTGTACGACCAGGCCAATACAACCTCTATGCATGGATTCCTGGTTTTATTGGCGACTATAAATACGATGATATTATCACCATCACCCCAGGTCCTCCTTTTCTTCCTTACTTCTCATTAACTCCCCAAAACAAATATTTGTTATAGATAAACCCAATATAGTACGGTAATTAAATAATTTGATGTACGTGCAGGATGTTATCTATATGTTGAAGATCTTGTATATCAGCCTCCAAGAAATGGAGCAACTTTATGGGAGATCGGCTATCCAGATCGATCTGCCGCAGAGTTTTATGCTCCCGATCCTAATCCAAAATATATCAACAAACTTTATCAAAATCACCCTGACAGGTACATTTGATCTCATTACGTTTTTTTTCTTGGTTTTTTGTTGATAAACAAAAGTTTATTGAGTTTCTATAAGAAAGACACGTTTACTTAATCTCCTATAGACTATATCCTAGACAAGAGAGAACATATAAAGACTTAACTGATTGAATGGTAAATTACTATATCATGCATAAGCATGCTTGATGCTACTGACATTGTACAAGATATATAAGAGCTGGTTCATGTAAAAATACTAAAAATGGCCTTTTTATGATGTTGCTAATCTCTCGCAGGTTTCGACAGTATGGATTATGGGAGAGATACGCAGAATTGTACCCCGATAAAGACTTGGTATATGTAGTTGGCTCTAGCGACTATAGAAAAGACTGGTTTTACGCTCAAGTCACTAGGTTTTCCTCAATATCATCTCCGTTTTCTCTTTGCATATCTTGAATTTACGTTATTTTCTAACAAAATTTGTTATGTTTTCTTTTCATAGAAAAAGGGATAGCAAAACATATCAAGCAACAACATGGCAAATCAAATTCGAACTCAAAAGCGTTGAAAAGAATCACACCTACACTTTACGAGTAGCCATCGCATCCGCTACTTTTTCCGAACTCCAAGTACGTGTAATATCTATCAATCCGTTACATTATTTTACACATTAAATCATCAAGAAAGATAGTCTAACGTAATTGAAATGAATCTTAACTGACTCAAAAATGGGGAATGATGAAGATACGTGTAAATGATGCGAACGCAAGCCCGTTGTTCACGAGCGGATTGATCGGGAGAGATAACTCGATAGCAAGACATGGAATACATGGATTGTACTGGTTGTTCAACGTGGAAGTGGCTGGCTCTAAGCTTGTAGAAGGAGATAATACACTGTTTCTCACGCAGTCAAGGTCCACAAGTCCCTTCCAAGGAATTATGTATGACTACATCCGATTCGAAGCTCCCAGCTAATTAAATTTTCTTGCATGATTCTTTCATAAAGTGTAAGCAATTTGTTTAAAACGTTTGTTGATTGATTCGATTCTTTGTTTGCATGTGCGTTTTAAATTCTTATTTTTTTCCGAGAATATGGTGTTTACAGTTTCGAAAATTCTATTAGAATCTTGTATATCTTTATAATTGGAATTATATTTCAATAATTTTGTATTAAAAAAAAACATTCGATATCATTTTGACCACAATTACGTCATTTCCTTTTAAGTAGAATTTATTAGCATTGAAATAGATTTTATAAATTAATCTTATTGGCATAAATGGTACGAAATCTTAACAGTAATTTATTGATTAGTATATATGTGTCTTTGACTATTTTGTACTTTCAATCTTGTATACTGATAGAATGAGCATAGTTTTGATGAGATCTTATATTCGATCAAAATAATATATAAATATCCTTTCTGCTCTATCATCTCAATACGTTGTGACGTTGTGTTTCGTTATTTCCTGGCTGTTGTCAAATCAATTGGTTAGTAACATTATGGTTTATTTTTGGTATATATATAAGAAAGTATGAAAGTGAAATCATAGAGAGTTGTAGTTGAGGAAGATTTGTTCGTCTGTACGTTATTCATCGCTTGATTTTCTCAATGAAAAATACTTTTTTTTGTCTTAAAACATAATAAAAACAAAAAATAAACTCGTGAAAAAGTGTTCGTTGGAAAAGATTTGGTTAAGCGTTTGGCCAACAACCTGTTATATATGTCTTCTATATGTATGTGTTTATGATAGATCGATTATATATGTATATATGTGCTTTTCCATAACTCCAATCAACCACCCAACACAGCCGCATAACAACTTTTTCTTCAAGCATCAGCATTACTTTTATTCCTTTTCCTGTGATCGTGTGCATATATATGCATATATACATCTAAAAGTTTATGTTTTTATACGCATATTTTTTTTAATCATATGGGCATCACGTCGCATACGGTACGTTCTCACGGTGAACACTTTTTTCATGACATCAGTTTATGAACATCACCACAAAAAGGTATTTGTATGTTTTATGTCTTTAATCGCATGTTCCGATAATATAAATAATCCTATCAGTTTTACAACAATAACCTTTAGAGAATCAGAATACAATATTGAAGAATTAATTAGTTGTGTCACCATCACGAAGCCGAACCACTTTCAGGTAAATTGGATGATATGTTATGGTTAGGAACTTAGGTACATAGTTTCCTTAGAAATCAACCGAGTAGGCTGAATATTGTTGGGGAAAAGAAAAGACTAGAATTATGGATTATTGGGAGTGGTTGCTTTGTACGAATCTTAGCACGTGGTTACTAATACATATGTGCATACCAAATTAGTTTGTGGAACGACTTTGTGAATGAATTACATTCTAATTGATAAATTATCTATAAAATCTTAAAATACAAGCTGAATCGTCTACTGATCAAATGATTAATTCTTGTTATTGTATTGATAATACATTACACGCCTTTTTTAATATATTATCCGAGATGTCTCTTACTGGTATGATATAATGGAGTTCTCCGTTTATGTCTAGTTTATAGATAATGGAGAATCTGAACCCTATAAAGAGTTTGGCTCTACGTGGGATTGGGATTGTGTTATTTCTTGATGGATTAACTCGTTATATTTCCACCTTTTTGAACGAATAAACACAGGGGCCTAATTAGAAGTTTTGTTATATCAACCAACACTAAAAAGAAAAGTGTCGTTATCACTTATCATAAGAGCAAAAGAATAAAAAAAAAAAAAAAAAAAAAAAAGAAAAAAAAAAAGAGCAAAAGAAATTCTTTGTTTATAGCAGAAGAAAAGTCTGATGTTGCCTAAACCACTTAACTTACTTCTCTCTTTTTTTCCTTTTATTTCGTGTTTCTATTTTTGAAGTTCACATGTACCTTTGTTTTACTTTTTGTCTTTTGTCTTTGTCTTTGTCTTTGTCCTACTTCAAAGTTTTTGTGTGGGTAATAGATTCTTATTAGAAGAAAACCTATATAATGAATTTATGGTGTCATAATATTAACGACTCTTGTTCTAATTCTTACTTGCCTCATCTCTACAACTTCACATGTCTTATCATCTTTGTGGACAGAATTCGAGAAAAGCTCCAAGACAAATCCGCTGATCTAATCATGTTTCTGCTCTCTTCACATGTTTTCCAGCTCGTGACGACCATAGGTACGCATCAGAGAAGAAACACCATTATCATTCTCTTTATATTTATAATTAACTAACCTTTGTTTTAAACATGATAAAGAACCTAACTCCTAACAAAACGTTATCGTATGTGTATGTGTACGTGTTTGGTGACAAAAAGATCAACGGCGACACTTATTGAGACAGATAGGATGGATAGCTTTGATCATCTTCTTGTCTTTGTTTGAAATTTCAAACTCCCAAAACCAAAGTGATGGTCCAGAATCAACACAAGTCTTGCAGTTACATTACCAAGATGGACATGTACGTCGTCTCTTTACCATTTTTTATTACTAATCGGTATTCTTAATTAGCTTTTACTTGACAATTAGAAGAACCCTTTTGAAATAGAAACAAAAATTGGTTCCTTGATGTGCAAGTCACGTGGAGCGTTTAAGAAACCCTAAACTATATGATTGATAACAGGTGGTGCTGGACAATGGAATTTTCCAACTAACTTTGTCAACTCCTGAGGGATTTGTCACCGGGATCCAGTACAATGGTATAGAAAATGTGCTCGCGTACACCGGCCATGAAGATGATAGAGGGTGAGTGTATATAATATAAGCACTGAAGCACATGTATGTAACTTCTCTGTGATTCGAGTGTTTCAACTTTCGAGTGTAATATGATATCTGATTTGTACAGTTACTGGGACTTGGTGTGGAATTTTCCTGGAAAAACGGATAAAAAGACCAAAGGCACATTGGACCGGTAATTAGCTCTGTTTGTAGTTTTTACACTCCAATAATCCTCCAATGTGAAACTTACTTGGACTAATAATATTTCAGGATTGAAGCAACAAAGATGGAAGTGATAACGCAGAACGATGACCAGATAGAGTTATCGTTTTCAAGGAAATGGAATGCTTCTTCAAAGACGTCTGTTCCAGTGAATATAGACAAGAGGTAGTTAAATTAGTTAAACCAGCATCTCACTAAAAGCTTGTAGGTTTTGGAAACTACAGTGATGGGATTTGATTTTTCAGGTTTGTAATGCAGCGAAACTCGTCCGGGTTCTACAGTTACGCCATCTTTGAGCGGTTAGAAGGGTGGCCCGCTGTTGAACTTGATAACATCCGATTAGCTTTTAAGCTAAACCAGGACAAGTAATGTCTCTCTTCTAAGCGTCTACTAATCAGATTAGTCATGGAGTTATAATGATATCCACTGGTTATGTGTATAGGTTTCATTACATGGCGATTTCAGATGACAGGCAAAGGTATATGCCTCTGCCAGAGGATCGAACACCACCTCGAGGTCAACCTCTTGCTTATCCCGAGGCTGTTCAACTTCTCGACCCTATGGAGCCCGAGTTTAAAGGAGAGGTAAACTTATATTCTTACTACAAAACAGAGGAAACAGAGCAGTAAAACAGAGGAAACAGAGTATTGATCTTAATTTATCTTACAGGTGGATGACAAGTATGCCTACTCAATGGAGAGTAAAGACATAAAAGTTCACGGATGGATAAGTACAAATGACTCGGTTGGTTTCTGGCAGATCACTCCAAGTAACGAGTTCCGATCTGCCGGTCCTCTCAAGCAGTTCCTAGGCTCACATGTCGGTCCAACCAACCTCGCGGTGAGCATATGTTTCTTGACATAGATTTGATTCATAATTTGAGCAGAATATGAATGAAAATTGATGTATGTGAAATGAAAACAGATATTTCACAGCACTCACTACGTTGGAGCAGAACTAATCATGTCATTCAAAGAAGGAGAAGCATGGAAGAAAGTGTTTGGACCTGTCTTTATTTATCTCAACTCTTTCCCTAAACGAGTTGATCCTCTGCTTCTCTGGCATCAAGCCAAAAACCAGGTCGGTCTCATCTCATATAAATATAACATATGCATATGTAAGAAAGAAAGAGCTAAGTAAACTAACTGATTTGGCTGTTGTTACAGACAAAGATTGAAGAAGAGAAGTGGCCTTATAACTTCACCGCTTCAAGTGATTTTCCTGCATCTGACCGAAGAGGATCTGTTAGCGGTAGATTACTCGTCAGAGAGCGGTACAAAACTTACCTTATTTCTTCCTTAAAACTAGCCACTTTGTTTTAACATAACACATTCCTTAAAGTGGTTTGTTTGATTTAGTAACAGATACATAAGTAGTGAGGATATACCTGCAAATGGTTCCTACGTGGGCTTGGCTGCACCAGGACATGTTGGCTCATGGCAAAAAGAATGCAAAGTAAATTCTTATTAAAATCTATTCATCCTATTATGATTCCTTAATCTCTCTTGTTATTTATGAAGAAAGTATTTGATTACATCGACAGGGCTATCAATTCTGGTCTAAGGCCGACGAAAAAGGATACTTTTCTATCAAGAATGTGAGAAGTGGTCGTTACAATCTCTATGCATTTGTTCCTGGATTCATCGGTGACTACCACAAGGAGACCGTTTTCGACATTTCTCCAGGTTCGACTACTTTGTAAAACCACAGCGACACTGTTTCATAATTCATATACATTACTAACAAAGAGTAACATATCAGGTTCGAATATTAGCCTAGGGGAGTTGGTGTATGAACCTCCTAGAGACGGTGTAACTCTATGGGAAATCGGTGTACCAGACCGAACCGCTGCCGAGTTCTACATTCCTGAACCGAACCCGAATTTCACAAACAAGCTTTACCTAAACCGTGCTGATAACAAATACCGACAATATGGCTTATGGGAGCGGTATGCAGAATTGTACCCCGATCAAGATATGGTCTACAACGTCGACGTTGATGATTACTCTAAAAACTGGTTCTTCATGCAAGTCACAAGGTTAGTTTCCTTTCTTGTAATCTAATCCAATACGAATATAAAACTTTGTGCCAATGTGTGCAACATTGGTTTTGTAGGAAGCAACCAGATGGTGGATATAACGGTACTACATGGCAGATCAAATTTCTACTCGACGATAAAATGAAAAACTTCACCGGAAATTTCACACTGCGAATCGCTCTAGCCACATCAAATGTAGCGGAATTGCAGGTTCGGGTGAATGATTTTTCAGTGGATCCTCCATTGTTTACGACAGGGCAAATAGGCAAAGATAACACAATAGCAAGACATGGTATTCATGGACTCTACTGGCTATACAGTGTGAATATGCCTTCTTCTTCTCTTCGCCAAGGAAAGAACACCATTTATCTAACCCAACCGCTTGCCAAGAGCCCTTTTCAAGGACTCATGTATGATTATATTCGTCTCGAATGTCCTGATTCCGTCAATCATATCACTAGATCATAGACTTGTTTTCATTCTTTACCTTGTATGTTGATTGATATACAGAATTACAGATAGAAAATAATACACATTCTTTTCTTGATTGGTACTCTATGTCAAATCAAAGAAGGTTTGGAATCAAAACTAATAAATGAAAAAGACTTTAAGCTAATAAATGTACCAGATCTGTAATTTAGAGCTTTTAGTTTTCTACCAAGCAAGTGTGGAAAGAGATACAGAGATCAAAATCTAGGTTTTAATGCCTCTTTAACCATTTCAGATTGAGCTGATTGAAACTTACTAAAACAATAAGTGTGTCAAGGGGACAAAAAAACTGACAACATTGCTCTGTGTGTTTTCAAGTTTCAAAAGCGTACTCAGCCTGAATGCAAGAACGAGTGATGAAGCAATTAGAGCTCGGTTTTAGAGCTAAACCCAAACAGCCAAGAGAACATACTTGATGCAGGCTTCTGTTTCGGGTCATCTTGATTAGCATCGCAGAGGTTGTTAAAAGCATGCTTCAGATGAGGGGTCACCACTTTGTTCTGTAAAAAAAAAAGAAGACAAAAGAGAGTCGTGCATGTGTAGGCTTAACGAGGAAAATGCTCTGCAGGAAAATTCAGAGGGAAAGATGCAAAAAAATACCTTGAAATCTTCAAGAGGACATAAGTCTTTTCCGCCACAACCCTGTTGGCAGAAATGGATAAATTTGTAAGGAGATATTAGGAAACAGAAGATGATTGTTACGGAGAAAATGAGTCAAATCATTTATCAAAAGTGTGGAAGTTCTATGTGCACTACGATAGAGCTGAAGTTGGGTTTGGGTTTCTTAGTTAGATGAAACTTACTGGAAGTGCAATAGGATGCTCATTGTGCAGAACCTGAACGAAGTAATTAGTAGATGAAGCTGCAGGACAACTGTAGAGGACAAGCATGTTGTTCGCAGCAAAAGGAGCCATGGTGCTGCCTTTAAAGTCCCTCGTTTTAGGAGGCTGAGCAGGGAGTTCTAATGGTTTCTCCTTTTGTATTTTCTCAAACTCTGAAACATTTCAATCTCCGTTAAGAACAAGCAACAACATCAAGAAAACAGATGGAGCACAATGACATGAAAAGTGAAACAATGAACTAACCAGATCCATCAAGGAAAAGTCCAAGAAGACAAGAAAAGGGAACTATTGTTTCGGCATGTGCAAACCTAAGTCTTGCTTTTTCGTAACTTCCAGGTGGGAGATTTTCTGCATGGTAGTTAAAAAGGACGAATAATCAGATCGAGTTATCGAGATGACAAGCAAATAGTTCACTTCTTTTTCTGATTTCAAGTTGACATTACCTTCTCGGGCCTTGATAGCTTCCTCCATTGAATGCAAAACATCTTCTAGCAGTGGAATTCCCATTTTGTAGTTCAGGGAATTACCATAACCTTTGAGCATGAACACTTCCAAGTCATCTGTCCATTCCAGCAAGGCTACCTACAGTTGATTTTGTTACACATGACTAGCACTAAGGCTCAAATCCATAGCTTACGGATATCTAAAGCGCGCATACAAATATCAAACACATAAAAACATATCTGGCAAGTTGTACCTCTAATGGCGTGAAAAGTTCACAACTTTGATTAGTTACATTAAGCAATGATGCTTCCTGAAAATTTCAAAACAACTTTTAGCATTTCTGTCTATTCATCAGGAAAGGATGGTATAAACTCAAAGAACTTTTCTAACAAAACGCAAGAAGGAAGCACCTGCTTGCACAAGAACCAGAGAGACGAAATGTCCTGTTTGGTGAATTTCAAATCATGTCTCTTTGCAACGGAAGCTGTAATCTTATTCAGAACAGGCTCCTTAAGCTTATCCACAGCAGGCTCTTTAGCTTTTCTATAGCTCTACATTCATACACCATGCAAAGAAAAGCAAACCTCAGAAAGCAAATAACCTGAATGATCACTTATATTGACTGTGTCCCACTCAATCACCAACTATACCTTGTAGTTTTGACAACATTCGAAAAACCTCAGCTTTGTATCACTAGCACGATTCTCACTAGTTACAGCGAAAGCTCTATTACGGCCTGGTCCTAGTTCTCCTGTCTCCCTGAACAACCCCATTCCAAATGCCACAGCACTTGCAGACGCCCGAGGAATCTAACCAAGAGATTCAAAACAATTGATGAAATGTCCATAACCAAACTCTAGAGTTCACATTTTTCAAAAGCAGCCACTAACCTGCGTAGCTCTGATTGTATAGACATCAGGATGGTAATCATCTTCAAACAAAGTAGGAAACCGTTCCCTAACCCGAATACCGAGTTGGTACAACTCGTCCTCGCCTTGCCTGATAAGCTCACCACCTTTCACTTTTCCTTGCCAAGGAGATATCCATTTCCCTAACCATCCAGGGATTTTGTCTGCTGGCAGTTTCCTAGCTTCTGCATCTCTTACCAGCTCCTTTAACCTACCAGCCAAATTCTCCAGTTCCCGCAACCGTTTCTTTGTCGGAGATCGAGTTCCATGCCTAGCCTAACATGTTCAAAAACCAAAGTTTCAGTCTATATTCTTCCACATTCCAATTTGTCCATCACAAAACAAATTTTGTGCTTACCACAAGGTTAAGGTGAATAGGTGTACATCCACTAGGGACATTCGAGGCTTCAATCAAATTCTGAGCAACATCTTTCGAAACTGAGTATCTGCACACCAAAAGTTAAAATTTCCAAAAGAAATTAAGAGTCTCACTAATGAAATCACACAAATTTCCGCAATAGTGTGCCAATATTGTCGAGCAAAGGAGAGAAATCCGACTAATTAGGTTAAACAAAATTAGACCCAGATGCTAAGGTGCTTGTTCATGATTCAATTTCCTCGGGAACGACACACATACGATGGAAAAGATTTGAGACTACAATAAGGGAGAGAGAAGGAACCTGGTGACAGTGGAGAGGTGGTGACGGACATCGAAACCCTGATCCGCCTGTGAAACGACGAATAAGCACAAGAGTATGATCCATACAGTCTTCATCGCCATCTCTCTCTCTCAGGCTTTCTAATTTCCTTAAGGAGGAAGAAGTTTGCTCCAAATTTCTGTCTTCTTTTTTATTATTACCAAGCCATAACACGTCACTGCTCCACTGCTTTGGGTCCACGAGTTGAGGACCCACACGGGTTGCTTCTTTCACGCCACGTGTTAATTCCTTGCGTTTTCAGTCTTCTTTTTCCTTTTTTGAAGTTTTTCTTTGATGAAACTTACTATAATGATTTGAACCAAACAGGCTAGTATCTTATTGGGAACAATGTTAGTTTATTAGCTTGTAGAATGTTTATTTAAGCATGCAGACTATACAATATGCAATGTTGGTAGGATTTGCAAAATATACCCATTTAAGCCCGCTAATTTTTTGTTCACTTTAACATTCATAGTTTTATGGTCAAGTCTTTTTTAATCTCAAAATTTTGTAATTTTGTTAAAATGAATTGGAAAAGAAGAAACTTATATGAAGTATAACATATTTGAACGTACATTAGGTGTATAGGGTCATACATAGATCCAAATTGACAGATAAACTCATTCAGTTTTTCAGACTATTTCAGTGTTCTTGAGGAGAGCTTCTTTACAGCTGGAACATGTTAGCTGTCTTCTAGCCTTAGCCGCCAATATGCTCTTTCATAAATGTATAATAACCAATCTTACAGATATTTATTTCATTCATAAATTGAGATGGGACCTATTCAAAGCAACGTTGAGTCAAAAGCATGACTATTTCGTGACTAAGACTTCTCTCTTATTTCTCTTAAACAGATTGAAATGTGTGTCTGCACGTTAACCAATCATGGAGGGAATGAGTTCCACTTCCATCCATTAACATTTTTTCATTTGCAAAAAAAATCCAAGAAGAAGAAGCAGAGAGACTCATGGAGGAGTTCCAAGGTCGAGAGCCACGCGGCCAGATCATGAGCGAGACTCGATCCCTTGAGCTCAACCAACGAAAATGGTGGATCTCTGTTATCTTCTGCGGTTTCTTGATCTTTTCCGGAGACTCCCTCGTCATGCTTCTCCTAAACTTCTTCTACATGCAAGACAATCGATCAGAGAGTAATCAAGACCGACAATACAGAGGAACATGGACGCAAGCTCTGATCCAAAACGCTGCCTTCCCTATCCTGATCCCACTCTTCTTCATCTTTCCTTCACCGAAACCAATCCAGGAAACAGTCTCATCAGACCAAACCAACAATCCTCGTCCTCCCTTGTTTCGTGTTCTCTTGCTATACGTTTCTCTCGGTGTTCTTGTTTCTGTTTATAGCAAGTTATACGCTCTGGCGAAACTATACGTAGGTTGGGGCATTCTGGTATCAACTCAGTTGATACTAACATCCCTCTTTTCAGCTTTCATAAACCATCTCAAGTTTAACCGATGGATCATCATATCCATAATCTTCACTCTTGCGGCCGACTTTTTCAGCAGCCCTGGATTTGCTGGAACTCCTGATGAAGATGAAACCGATGCTTATGATATTAAGGCATGGTTGATCCTCATTTTCCCTACTCTTGCTTTCTCCTTGTCTCTGTGCCTAATGCAACTCGGGTTTGATAAAGTGCTGGTGAAGACGAAGAGGTACGGTAACAAGAAAGTGTTTCGTATGGTTTTAGAGATGCAGATCTGCGTTTCCTTCATCGCCACGATCATTTGCCTAGCGGGTCTGCTTGCGAGTGGTGAGTTTAAGGAGTTGAAAGGAGATAGCGAGAGGTTTAAGAAAGGGAAAACTTACTACGTTCTGAGTTTGGTCGGGCTGGCTCTCTCGTGGCAGGTCTGGGCGGTCGGGCTGTTAGGTCTGGTGCTTTTGGTGTCAGGTGTATTCGCTGATGTGGTTCATATGTGTGCTTCACCGGTTGTGGCTCTGCTTGTTGTGTTGGCTTTTGATTTCGCGGATGATGAGTTTGGATGGCTGAGAAGAGGTGCTTTGCTTGGAGCAGTCTTGGCTCTAGCGTCTTACTTCTATTCCCTCCACAAAACAAAGAAGAAGATCGAAGAACTGAACAAAAGACAGAACAACAACAACAACAGTGAAGCTTAAGTCTCTGCTTTTGTCTCCAACATGTATAGATAAATACTCTTTATTACTTTATTATATGTGTCTTGCAGATACAAATACTCTGTTTTGTCATACAAGTAGTATACATTCAAAATGAGAGAGTGAATGATATATGTATGTATCCCAACAATAGCTACAAATAATTGAATCTATGAGTAACAGTTTGAAATTTCTGTAACATATTACATAACCCACTCCAAGAATCTGCCAAAAGTCTTTGAAGAATTCTTCTTCCAGAAGGGCTTGATCAGTGTGGAATTGCCGGTTTTCTGTAAGCAAATACAAAGCTTCATCAGCCAACAAAAACGTACAAGTTGCATGTGATCAGTACATATACAAAGCCACAGTTGACATACCTTAAGGCAGAGACTTCTGGTTGTATCACAAACTGGGTGATCACTCGGACAACAATGACGACCATCCTTGCAACACACAGCTGAATCTAGCTCGCAGCATTTCCATGAGAAACATAAACCAAACAAGTTTCTTGCACAGCAGCACGTCTCTCCAGCTGAACAATACGTGAAAAGGTTGCATTTTGTGGGGCCTGGAGGCGACGGTGGAGGCGGGTTCGGATGAGTCTTGACAGGATACGAAGCGAGCATGTTGATTCCGCATACTCCTTCTGAATTCCCGGTGTTACGCTGCATGTGCATAAACCCATCCATTCCCCATCTCTTTCCCCAAGAGTTTTTCAAAATCCAATAATCAACACCGTTCTGTGAACCATATCCTACGATGAGCACTGCGTGGTCCAATGATGTAGAACACGGGCCAGAGAATATTCCCTGCATCAAAAGGTAACATTTTTCAACCTTGAGCATTCAGAAAAAAAACAGAGTGGGTGTATCTTTAAGCTCTCACAACTTACTTTAGAATATAACTGAAACGCTCTCTCGCTTCCACAGATGCCAACACTAACTGGCTGAGCAGCAACAGCCTCCAGTAAAGCTTTTTCGTTGTTTGATTTTACATCAGTGTAGCTATCAATGGTCACAACATGTCTTTTCAACTGCAAAACAGTTAGAGACTCATCAACGTTAAGCAAATAGGGAGAAACAGGGGAAAGAGAAGAAGTGAAAGCAATACCTTATCCTTTTTGCAGGTGCCGTCACGTTCTTGATAAGGATAGTCTTTCTCTGTATCTATTCCATGGTTTTTAACGACGAACTCAAAAGCATAGTCCATGAGACCACCGTTGCAGCCAGTGTTGTAGGACTTGTCACACTCGATCAGTTCCTGCTCAGAGAGGCTGATGAGATCTCCTGTTACAATCTGGTTTATTCCCTCCATTGCTCCAGTCGCCGAGAACGACCAACACGCTCCTGTAAATGTACCATAACAGAGTCATCCTTCTAATAATCAACACGGATACATCTGAGAACCGAGTTCTGAAATTGCTACCTAGCTCCTACATTTGTCCATTATAAATGTCACACAAGAGAAAAAGGAATCTATATATGCCATAATTAGACATGAAAAGAAAAGTAGGCTTTTATACTCCTAAAAGGTAAAAAGCGTGAAAAAAATGCAATATTAGATCACTATGACACAAACTACGTCATGATTTGGTCTTCCTTGTCAATAATCCTCAAAGATCCAAGATTTTCTAAAGTTTGTGACTTCTCCGATCTAAATTCCATCTTGATCTTGAATCACCACCTAACTCACTGAACTAAAAATCTCTTATCAAATCTGAAATTTTGATTGAAGGGGACGAAATGTAAATTAAATACCGCAGCTTCCTTGATCTTTGACATTAGTAACAGCTCCTTTCTTCCTCCAATCAACAGAATCTGGAACCTTTGCGCGAACGTTATCGCTAACACCCATGCTCTGTTCTTTAGCCATCACCGACGGAGCCGGAGCAGAGAGTCCGAGACGAGAGGTCTTGAACTCGTGGTGAGTCAGATCCGCGAAGGCATTGAGGGAGAGAGAATAAGTTGAGTTAGCGATGCGATTGTGTTGGGTGACGAAGTCGTGATTGTCTCTAAAGATTTGAATCCTTTGTTGCCTCTCTTCTTCCGAGCCGTATGTTTTGCCGTGTCTCTGGCACCAGTCGTCGAACAGCTCGGAGATGTCATCGGAGGACGCCGGGAAAACCAGAGAAGAAACCAGAAGGAAGAAGAAGAAAGTGACAGAGACGAATGACGACGATGGTGACATTTTTTTGTTTAGTCGTCGTGGAGATGGTTTTGGCCTAGAAATGGGGAGAGATTTGTTTTCCCATTTCTTCTGGAGATTTCAGCCAGTAAGGTTGGAGAGTTCAACGTGTTACAAAACGCGCGGTTTATGTTAGCGTTTATAACGTTGAAAAAAGCGTTTCGCGTCGCGTTGGAAATTTAATGATAAATAGACCCGGTACCAACAATTGGGCTAGACCAGGCCCATTGTAATCAAAACACATTAGCTTACTAGTACACTGTAAATCATTTGTTTTTGTTGTTGATGTTGTTAATTGGTCAACACTAAAATCATTGTTAAATGTGTGAACTTATCACACTTTTAAAAGCAAAAGAAAGCGTTTTAGGTTATAAGACCACCACTCCCTAGTGTAGGTTAATGAGCAGTGCGTTGGACCTACTTGCGACTTTATGGCAGCATCCCTTTTAGTAAACAAGATCACGCGGACACATAGCCTAAAGTTCTCAGAATTCATATAAACATAAACCTTTCCACAGATACAGAATATAAATCAGTCTAAAAACGAGGACATGATGTATCGAACTTATCAAATGTTATCTAACATTTTCAAACAAATATTGTATTGAGTATTGACTTGTTGTGATAGAACGAGCGACAAAGAAAGGAACACATCCTCGCACTATTGAAAAGGAGATAGTGTGGCGTTCAGTCTCACCTAACTGTCGACAAGTAAAGGCTACTTTAGTACTTTTACTATATAATAACCCAACATATACGAAAGTGGCTTTCTTAATTTTTCTTTTTTGAATTACCTAAAACACTGTTTTAACTTTTAATTCACTAGAAAATTCCAAGAACATTTTGTTATTTTATCGCATCTCAAAGATCAATAGATTAAAATGTCTCATATAAATGCATGCTAGATGTTATTCTTCTTTGCAAGTATCCACTATATATAGTTGAAAAAAGTTGTAGACCAAAGTTTGAATATCTGGTTATAAATTCAAAATGGGGTTGGCTGTTAGGTTTGAAAAATCGGTTCTTGATGTCACAATATTCGGAGACATTCGATTGAAATATATTCTTATGAATTCGAATAAACGAACATAGCTTTATAATGTAGTGGTTTCTATCAATGTGTGTGTATAAAGTGGGCATACGAAAATAAAAGATATGAAGAATAAAAAAACAAATCCTATACGTATAAATAAAGAAAGATTTAATATCATGCTGATAATGATGAGCTGTCCTTTCATAATCGCTTTTGATTCAAAACGGTAGAAATTGACAAACAAAGGGAGAAGAAGAGAAGAAGAAGAGTAGTGGAAAACAAAAGAGTTAAATTAACGCAGAAACAACAAAAAATCTAAAGGTTTAGCTTTTTTCCATCTGATCAATCATCGAGAAAAATACAAATTATTTCTTCCATGTGAAGCTCTTCAATCAAAGAAAAAGAAGAAGACAATCGTCAAATGCTTGACTTTGGTTTAGAACAGCTCAAGGTGATCATCATTTCAGCTCTTCTCTCTAATCATATCGCTGCGAATCGTTTGGAAAGTTTCGCTCTTTATCCTCTCAATGTGCTTTTCCGACTTCTTAATTGATTAATTTAGGGTTCTTCTGTGTGTCGTAACTGTTTTGCTGATTGATTCTGTGAGCTGCTCGTTGTTTTCTTCTAGAAACTGAGTTTTCAAGTCGATTACTAATCACTAACAGTCGGCAGTAGATCTGATCGGTCTTAATTCGGCTGGGTTTCCATCTCTATCCCTAGGCAGTACTAGTAATAGTGTATCTCCACTAGTTTCAAACTCCATCAGTGTTTTTAAAAGTTTGAGCTTTTCCTGTTAGATTCAGTAATTACTTTGAGATATTATTGATAAAGCTTTGTCTCTTACGCAAATGACCTTGAAATTCTACTAGGTAGATTGGTTCTTTGATGGGATGGGACACCAAATCACAAAGGGTTATGATGCCATCAGATACTAGTGCGTTCTATCTTCAGAACAATTGTCATGGCTTCTTCTGGATTGGGGAACGGAGTAGGCACTTCGAGGTCTGCCAAAGGTGTGAAGACTTCTTCTAGCTCAGTCGATTGGTTGACAAGAGACTTGGTTGATATGAGGATAAGGGACAAGATAGAGACCGATGATGAAAGGGTAAGTCTTGCATTTATCATGAGCTTGCTTATCTATGTTAATGGAGTATCTAGGTAACAGTGTGTGAGGTTTTTTGTGATGTGTTGCAGGATAGTGAACCAGATATTATTGATGGGGCTGGTACTGAGCCTGGCCATGTGATTAGAACCACAGTCCGTGGAAGAAATGGTCAATCAAGACAGGTCGGTTTGTTATGCTTAAATTGATTTACGTTGTTATCTAAGTCTTTTCTCATAGAGATGTTTATTTGGATTTGACAGACTGTCAGTTACATATCAGAACATGTAGTTGGTACTGGTTCCTTTGGCACGGTTTTCCAAGTAAGTTTGATTAACGTCCCTGTTATTGATTTGGGGTCCATTCTTCAGGCATTTATGTTTCCTTCTGGTAGGCCAAATGTAGGGAAACTGGGGAGATTGTGGCCATCAAGAAGGTTCTGCAAGACAAGCGTTACAAGAACAGGGAGCTACAGATTATGCAGATGCTGGATCATCCCAATGTCGTTGCTTTAAAGCATAGCTTCTTCTCGAGAACAGATAATGAAGAGGTTTACTTGAATCTTGTCCTTGAGTTTGTGCCTGAGACCGTCAATCGTGCTGCAAGAAGTTACAGTAGGATGAACCAGCTGATGCCATTGATATACGTTAAACTCTACACCTATCAGGTAACCAATTCTTAGATTTGAAACTTTTTCGTTTCCTTTTTGTAGTTTTTCTTTCATGAAGCATCATTAGCACTCACTTGAATTTGAGTATCAATATCTTGTAACTGCATGCCAGACTGATAATTTTTGACAAGTTTGTTAATGGTTACAGATTTGCAGGGCACTTGCTTACATTCATAATTGCTTTGGTCTTTGTCACCGCGATATTAAGCCTCAAAACCTGCTAGTAAGCTCATTTGTATCTTTGTTTCAAAAGAGATTTATAACAGATGTTTCTTTGCTGTGGTCTAATTCTGTTGAATTCTTTAATAGTTTCTGAGTTCTTTGCCTACAAGTAGGCAATATTCATACACTGGCGTATATTTGTTACATTAGATAATGTCATACGAGGTTTAGATTCTGACATGATAAACATATGGTTATAACATGCCTCGAGCTCTACAATGCTGTATACTGTTAATGTGTTTTTCACAGTTGAACATTATTGAGAAATGATATTAGTTTAAACATGATTCTGAAAACTTAATTTTTGGAAACTAGTTGTATTTTGGAGCTAGTTTTGGTTTAAGGTAACATGTCTGGGGTCAACTAGTTGGCTTGTTTTAAATTAATGCATTTAGATTTGACTTTAGGACTGTTATTGTGCAGGTGAACCCACATACACATCAGCTAAAAATCTGTGATTTTGGGAGTGCAAAAGTGTTGGTAAGTTTTATTGACGCAGGTTTTTAACAAATACATTTGTGGAGTATAACAAAAACTCATTCTCCGTAGGTGAAAGGAGAACCCAATGTTTCTTATATCTGTTCTAGATACTATCGTGCTCCAGAACTCATTTTTGGCGCCAGCGAATACACAACTGCAATCGATATATGGTCAACTGGTTGTGTGATGGCTGAATTGCTTCTTGGACAGGTTAAAGCAAAAAAAACATGTTTTAGCTGTGTGCTTTTTTTTGTGATATTCATTCTGTTTCTTCCCTCTTACTTCTTCGTATCCCTTTCTAACTTGTCTTACAGCCTCTGTTTCCTGGTGAAAGCGGAGTTGATCAGCTGGTTGAAATCATTAAGGTTAGCCTTGTATTAATTCTTAAAAAGTTTGTCTCAATATTTAGAGCAAACCACTTGTCTTGGGCTTGCAGTGACTGATAACTTAGAGAGCTTTTGTTTACAAGTTGTTCTTCAATCTTGTGACTGCTCAGTTTAAGACTTTAAGTAATGCACCTCAACGTTTTCTAGGAAACTTATCTTCCTATTTCCTTTGCTTATTTTTCCCATGCAGGTCTTAGGTACACCAACAAGAGAGGAAATCAAGTGCATGAATCCAAACTATACAGAATTTAAATTTCCACAGATAAAACCTCATCCATGGCACAAGGTATGTCTTCTAGACTTCTAGTTGGAAAAGAACAGTATTATCTGGCATAAATTTGGCTTTAGAATAATCTATTTGTGTTTGTATCATCAGGTTTTCCAAAAACGTCTACCACCAGAAGCCGTTGATCTTCTATGTAGATTCTTCCAGTATTCCCCTAATTTGAGATGCACAGCTGTAAGTAATCCATGTTATTATGGCCTTCGTTGTGTGATATACTTTCCTATTTGTTTCAAAATCAGGATCTAAGGGTTTAGCACATTAAAGAAAAGTATGGTGTTGTTGTAGTTGGAAGCTTGTATCCATCCGTTATTTGATGAGCTAAGGGACCCAAACACTCGTCTTCCCAATGGCCGGCCACTTCCTCCGCTTTTCAACTTCAAACCTCAAGGTACACTTCCCTTGTTTTGCTCCTGATGCTAATAGTTGTAAATCCTTGTTAACATTTTGGTAATTCAAAATCATAAACTGATTTTGTGTGTGTGTGTGTGTGTGTGTGTGTGTGTGTTTGCAGAGCTATCTGGCATTCCTCCTGAAATCGTGAACCGGCTTGTCCCAGAGCATGCCCGTAAGCAGAACCTCTTCATGGCTTTGCATGCCTAAGAAGCGTATCAGTTTTTGTTTTTTGTTTTGCTTTTATGTATAAGAAGCTCTCTTGATATCGGTACTTTGAGCAGCAAGATGGCCATTTTACGCCGTCTTGGCTTTTGTTTTTGGTGAGTTGGTTTACTGGAAACGAGGGTGCATGAATACAACAAATTTGCTGCTTATAAACCACTTGTTTGTTCGACGGCCACTAAGAGACGAAGGAACTATTCAAAGTCAATTTCGTGTTAGTGACATTAAAATTTTATATAGTAAAAACTAAAAAACGCACTTTGTAAATCGAATTATTTGGTATTTTTTCATTTTATTCAATTAGAAGAAAAAGTAAACCCAAAAACAAAAGAAGGATTCGAGAAACAGTTTAAACCCTTGTTGTCGACGCTGGTCCGAGTCCAAACTCTCTCAACTCTGCAACTTTGACTGTGTTTGTCTCTCTTCTTCTCATTCTCAAACTTGGGTTTCAACTTTCCGACATGTCGTTGTGTACATCTAATTTTCTTCCTTCATCCTCTTCTATCAATCTCTTCTGCAACAAATCACTTAAACCCTTTATTCTCCCTCTCGGATTCGCCACCTCAAGTTCTTCCTCTGTTGCGCCTCTCAAATTCTCTACCACCAATCACGTCCTTAGCTCTCGTTTCTCTTCAACCCGTCTCCACAGACCCCAGTTTTGGCTCCGGTGCGTCTCCGAGAAATCTGAGCCGTCTATTTCGGTCGTTCCCGGCGGCGCTGGTAAAATCTAACTTCACTCTTTTGTTAATGCCCCATTCAGTGGATTTCTATTCCTATGAAACAAAATTTGCTAGATTCTTTATTCAGTCGTTGAATGGGATTGTGCTATTGGTTTGAGATAGAATCACCAAAGATTATAATCAATGGATTTCGTTTTCGTTTCAATTTATGCAGAGGAGAGAGTGATTGTTCTCGTTATCGGTGGAGGAGGGAGAGAACACGCTCTTTGTCACGCCTTGAAACGATCTCCTTCTTGTGATTCTGTGTTATGCGCACCTGGAAACCCCGGTATTACGAGCTCCGGAGATGCTACTTGCATACCTGACCTCGATGTATCAGACAGCTCAGCTGTGATCTCTTTCTGTCGGAAATGGAACGTTGGTTTGGTGGTTGTTGGCCCTGAAGTGCCCCTTGTTGCCGGTCTCGCCAATGACCTGGTTAATGCCGGTATCCTCACCTTTGGCCCTTCTTCTCAAGCTGCTGCTTTGGAAGGCTCCAAGAACTTTATGAAGAATCTTTGCCACAAGTACAATATACCTACAGCTAAGGTTAGAAAGTGAATCTTAGGCTCATTTCTTACTTATTAGTCTACTGTATGTAGCCAGATTGTTTTGTAGCTTTGATCTCATCTTATAAAATCCAATTTGATGTTGCTAATACTTGAATACCAATTCAAATGCAGTATAAAACATTTTCTGATGCATCGGCTGCGAAAGAATATATTCAAGAACAAGGTGTACCAATCGTGGTTAAAGCAGACGGATTAGCAGCTGGAAAAGGAGTCACTGTCGCAATGGAGCTAGAGGAGGCTTACGAAGCAGTTGACTCTATGCTTGTCGAAGGTGTGTTTGGTTCTGCAGGATGTCAGGTGATCGTGGAAGAGTTTTTGGAGGGAGAAGAAGCTTCCTTTTTCGCACTTGTGGATGGAGAAAACGCCATTCCTCTAGAATCTGCTCAAGACCACAAGCGTGTTGGAGATGGAGACACCGGTCCTAACACAGGAGGGATGGGAGCGTATTCTCCTGCACCGGTCTTGACCAAGGAGCTTCAGGACGTGGTCATGGAGACTATAATACATCCCACTGTTAAAGGAATGGCAGAAGAAGGATGTAAGTTTGTTGGCGTTCTGTTTGCTGGTCTGATGATCGAGAAGAAATCCGGCTTGCCTAAGCTGATTGAGTTCAATGTCCGGTTTGGAGATCCAGAATGTCAGGTAAGGGAAATAAACAAAGAACACTGTTTAGTCTCCGTTTTGAGTGTTGTTGTTCTGAACATTTGCGAACTTCTTTGGTTAATGCAGGTGCTGATGATGCGTCTAGAGTCTGACTTAGCGAAAGTTTTGCTAGCGGCTTGTAGAGGAGAGCTAAGTGGTGTGTCGCTTGATTGGTCGAAAGATTCAGCGATGGTGGTTGTGATGGCGAGCAGAGGCTATCCAGGTGCTTATGAGAAAGGATCAATCATCAGAAACCTTGAAGATGCTGAAACGGTTTCTCCCGGAGTAAAGGTTTTTCACGCGGGAACCGATCTTGATTCAGAAGGGAATGTTGTAGCGAGTGGAGGACGTGTTCTTGGTGTCACGGCTAAGGGAAAGGACTTGGAAGAGGCGCGTGATAGAGCTTATTCCGCGGTCCATCAGATAAACTGGCCTGGAGGTTTCTTTAGGAGTGATATTGGCTGGAGAGCTCTTCGCCGGGAACAAGTGGTGACTACAAAAGAGTGATGAGAAATGAATTTTTTTGTTGTTGTTGTAATGCTTGTAAACGAAGAAAACCAAAACAAAAACTCACTTCCATCTGTTAGAGATTATTCAAATTTCAGAATAACTTTTTTTCTTATTTAATTTGGGTCATTTAAACATGAAAGAAGAGACTGTTCTTTTTCTCCTACGATTTCATTATATAGGGGGTTTAAGATTTTTGCACACAAATTAAGAACCAATTTTTAAGGTGCACTGGTTTCTTTAGAAATTTTTATGGCAGATTCGTATTTTGTTTTAAATTACGGGTGTGATTTGAAAGAAAAATCTCAAATTATCGTGAAGTTTGGGAAACGAAGGAGATAGTGCCAGTGGCATCAAAATTCTAAAACCTGAATCCCCCCCAGTCTTGTTCCCTTCGTATCAATGTTCCCAAGACCACCTCCAGCTGTAACTAGAAACATCTCGAGAAATTTCTCGGATCTCAGAAGTCGATGTTTTTCTTCTCCTCCGACCGCCGGGAGCCACTGCAAACCCAGAGATGACGTAGCTGTCATCGCTGATCTCATAGAGAAGCAGCACTGGTCAAAGCTCGGATTTCATCTGAAAGACGTAAACCCCAACGAGCTTTTCCAACAGTTGATAAGTTCGGAGCTTGACCCAGATTTGTGCCTCAGATACTATACCTGGTTAGCGAAGAACCGTGACATCTCTGTTTCGCTAGAGCTCACATTCAAGCTATTGCATTCTCTCGCGAATGCGAAAAGGTACTCAAAGCTCCGATCTTTCCTTGATGGGTTCGTGAGGAACGGATCCGATCATTCGGTTCACTCGATTTTCCACTCGATTTCAATGTGTGGCAATGTCTGCGTCAATTCGATTATAGCTGATATGTTGGTATTAGCTTACGCGAACAATTCGAGATCCGAGCTAGGATTTGAGGCGTTTAAGCGGTCAGGTGATTATGGTTACAAGTTATCGGCTTTGTCCTGTAAGCCATTGATGATTGCGTTGCTGAAGGAGAATCGGTTCGCGGATGTTGAATATGTACATAAGGAGATGATTAGGAGAAAGATTCAACCAAATTTGTTCACTTACAACGTCCTGATCAACGCCTTGTGCAAAACGGGGAAGATGAACAGAGCAAAGGATGTTATGGAGGACATGGAAGTGTATGGAGTCTCTCCGAATGTAGTCAGTTACAACACTCTCATCGACGGGTACTGTAAGCTTGGAGGGATCGGGAAAATGTACAAAGCAGACGCGGTTTTGAAGGAGATGGTTGAGAGTCAAGTGTCACCGAACTTGACCACGTTCAATATATTGATTGATGGGTTTTGGAAAGATGGGAATTACTCTGGGAGTGTGAAGGTGTTCAAGGAGATGTTGGATCAGGACGTGAAACCGAATGTGATCACTTATAATTCGCTGATTAATGGTTTGTGCAGTGGAGGGAAGATAAGCGAGGCTATTGGTATGCATGATAAGATGGTGAGCGAAGGTGTGGAGCCTAACTTGATTACTTACAACTCTCTTATAAACGGGTTTTGCAAGAACAGTATGGTTAAGGAAGCTCTTGATATGTTTGAGTCGGTGAAAGGTCAGGGACTCGTTGTTACTGCTAAAACGTATAACATGTTGATCGATGCGTATTGTAAGTTAGGGAAGATTGAGGACGGGTTTGCATTGAAGGAAGAGATGGAACAGGAAGGGATTGTACCGAACGTTGAAACTTATAACTGCTTGATTGGTGGTTTGTGTAGAGATGATCAAATGGGAGAAGCTAAGAAGCTTTTTGATCAGTTGACTAGTAAAGGGCTTACCGATCTTGTGACGTATCACATACTCATGGATGGTTATTGCAGTAAAGGAGAGTCGAGAAAAGCAGCGACGCTTTTGAAAGAAGGGATGTTAAAGATGGGTCTTAAACCGAGACATCTGACGTATAACATTTTGATGGAAGGTTATTGTAAAGAAGGAAACCTGAAGGCGGCAACGAATGTGAGGAAGCAGATGGAGAAAGAGAGAAGGTTGAGGATGAATGTAGCGTCGTATAATGTGCTTCTTCAAGGATATTCCCAAAAGGGAAAGATGGAGGATGCAAACAGGCTTTTGAATGAGATGCTGGAGAGAGGTTTGATACCTAACCGAATAACGTATGAGATAGTTAAAGCAGAGATGGTAGATAAAGGTTTTGTTCCAGACATTGAAGGGCATCTATTTAGCGTCTCCACAAGATCATAATCTGCTATGCACAGAGGTTCATGTGTTGTATTGGAAACTGAGAGAAAGTTCTTGTAAGGTTACTGTTTAGCATTCGTGTCATTAGGACTAACACCAAAATAGGATTTGTATTAGACTCTAATGATGGTTTAGCTACTAGTTGGATACATATCACAAACATAACTACGAGTTGGATAAGAAGGAGGAGATGCTCAGGCAATTTGACATGGACATGGCTTACGGTCCGTGCTTGGGTATGGCAAGACTTGATCGATGGGAGCGTGCACTGCGTCTTGGGATGAATCCTCCCAACGAAATCGAGAAGCTTTTGAAAACCGAGAAAGTCCAGCAAGATTGTCTGTGGCACGGTCGTGTCCAGCCCTTGTATGATCCACTGTGACTTGCGAAAACTTTGTCTTTTGTGGATGTTTGGTTCAGCGGCTGGCTGAATCACCCGCCGCTGTTATGATGTTTAAAACCTTTGTGGATGTTATGATGTTAATGTTTAACACCTTGTCAATATTGCTGTTCTGAAGCATATGTTCTACAAGTAAAGTTTCAATTCCATCAGCAAATATGTGTAAAAGTTGAATCAAATTTCCACAGAAAAATTCCTACTTTCCGATGAACAAATACTCGGTAGGAGAGTCTTCATGCTCGAGCCTCACAGTGGCAAGAATCTCAGCTGATTCATGGGAAGGACCAGAGACACCAACAGAAGCTGTTACAGTATAGGTAATACCAGGAGAGACCTGAGTTGTGATGTCTTGTTCAAGGCCTTGCCAAGTATCTTTCCTGTTAGTCACAACGGCGTAGCCACAGCTCGAGGAATCGGAGACTGAATCTGAGCTAAACGGGTCAGAGGAAACTACAAAAAGCTTCTTAGCTTCTCCCATTTGATCATCTCTACACAAACCACCAATCAAGCAGTTATAAGTTTCAACGTTTGGTACAAGTAATCTTAGCTGTTCCATCTCTTCTTTCAGCGCAAACCCATCCTCAATCTTTCCTGACTTACAATATGCATCAATCAGCATGTTATACGTTTTAGCAGTAACAACCAGTCCCTGACCTTTCACCGACTCAAACATATCAAAAGCTTCCTTGAGCATACTGTTCTTGCAAAACCCTCCACACCTTCGCTCACCATCTTATCATACATACCAAAACAACTAATTCACTAAAAGTCAAAACAACTAATTCACTAAAAGTCATCAACTAAAACAAAGTCATTCACTACTTTTGTGGTTTTGTACTCCTGAATATATATTTTTTTTTCATTTCCACATTAGTGATCTCCTTTAACAGTCTCCATGGCCACATCCTGATGATCCATGGTCAAGACCGGTGCAGGAGTCTACGCTCCCATCCCTGCTGTGTTGGGACTGGTGTCTCCATCTCCAACACGCTTGTAGACCTGAGCAGATTCTGGATGAATGGCGTTTTCTCCACCTGAGCAGCTCGCAAGCAATACCTGTGCATTGTTCAAAATGTAAGACTCAGAACGGAAACTAAACTAATCCGTGTTCTTTGTTTTTTCTTTTCTCCTTACCTGACATTCAGGATCTCCTCTAACAATAGTGTCTCCATCTCCAATGGCGTTTTCTCCACGGGAAGCTTCTGCTTTAACTACGATTGGTACACCTTGTTCTTGAATATATGCTTTCGCAGCAGATGCATCACTAAATGTTTTATCCTGCATATTTCAATTCGGATTCAAGGTATTAACTATTAACAACATCAAATTAGATTCCTTAGACTAATAAGATACAAATGAGCTAAAATTCCAGTGTCTGACCTTAGCTGTAGGGATGCTGAACTTTTGGCAAAGATTCTTCAAAAATTTAGCAGCAGCTTGAGAAGAAGGGCCACAAGTGGGGATACGGGCTTCAACTAGGTCACTGGCGAGACCAGCAACAAGACGCACTTCAGGGTCAATAACCACTAAACCCACGTTCCATTTCTCACAAAAGGAGATCACAGCCGAGCTGTCTGATACGTTATATTTGTATCGGAAACAAATATTTGTTTCCGATAATATTTGGGGGTTTTGTTTCCGATAATATTTGGGGGTTTCGTGTTATGCTTAGGTTCATGTATCGTAGTGAACAACAAAAAAATTCCCACTAAACTTTGTTTTCGTCTCTTTGCGCAGATTACTATTTTTTTTGTGCCAGAGAATTTCTTTGTATTTTGCAGTGAAGGTGATGAGATAGAAGGATGACGAGAAGAAACGAGTGGTTTCTTTTATGTTCTTCTCCAAAGTTGATTTGCGGCTGCGCTTTTGTTTTCCTAAACGTGGAGTTAACACTGTTTTATACTACAGCTAGAATTGACTTTGTTCGAATCTAGTTTTGCACGGTCAATATAAACTTGGATATTTATTTTTAGAGCATCTCCAATAAGCCTTCTTATTTTGAGGGGAGCAAGTCCATAAAATGAAGATTTTAGGATGGATTGTTCCAAACAATGAATCTTCAAATTCTTTAAAAATTGATTAATTTGCAAAACAGTCCTTAGTATTTACAAATATTACTAATAATGATTAAAAAGTTCATAAATAATATGAACCATATAATTTGTATGATTTGCTTTAGTTTGTCTTAAGTTTGTTTAATGTATTTTTATTTTGTGTGAACTTTGTTTTGAATTTTATGTTTCTTCTATTTTATTTTATTTTAATGTGCTCAAGTTTTTCAAAATTAAATTTGATATTATTATTTGTGAAAACATAGCTATAAGGACTAAATAGAAAATGAGATTAGTTTTGAGATTTTGAATAATGAAACCTCAAAAGTTGAGGAATTGTTGGAATATCAAAATACTCAAAATTTTAAAGATTTGAGGACTTGTTGGAGATGCCCTAACAAGAAAGTCAGGTTTTATTTGTTGCTAATTTGAAAAAAAAATTGGGGATTCTTTGATCATTTTCCCTGGTAATTGAGTAACTTTTTAGTTGAGGTTGTAATTTTGCCCTAATTTTGTTCACTAAACGTGCTGTAACGGTATTTTTGGATTGTACTTTTTAATGTGGTTAAAATTTTATAATGTTAAAAATATACTAAGAGTTATTAAATCAGAAATCTATTACAGTACAAAATTCTAAAACCGACATTAAGAGCTTTCCTAGTTGTGTTTGGTGTTGGTCAGTTTTTAATAGCCTATAAAAACATAGAGAGGCGTTTCTCTCCATCTTATCTCTCAAACCTCCTCACACAGGGAAAAAGAAAAACAACCTTCGAATCGATGTCCAATTCCGAAGAGCCACCGCATAAGAAGAGGAACACGGAGCCGTCTCCGTCGTCGTCTTTGTTATCTTCGCTGCCAGATGATGTCGCTCTGAATTGCCTGGCTCGAGTTTCGAGAGTGGATCGTGCCGCCTTATCTCTCACCTCCAAGAGTTATCGATCTCTAGTGGCTTCGCAGGAACTCTACAAGACCCGATCGCTGATGGGTCGCACCGAAACATACGTCTACGTATGTTTACGAACCCCTCCTCCTAACCCAAACCTACGCTGGTATATCCTCCGCCGTAGAAACGGCTCCTCCGATCTGATCCCGATCCCTTCGTTACCCTCTCAGCCTCCGGAAGCATCCTCCGTGGTGGCTCTGGATTGGGGAATCTATGTAATCGGTGGATTGATTAACGGAAAGCCCACTTCCGATGTCTGGCTCTTGGATTGTCGGACTCACACGTGGCGCAGCGTCCCTTCAATGGAAGTGGCTCGAGCTAACGCGGCTACTGGCGTCGTGGACGGGAAGATTTACGTGTTAGGAGGGTGCGATAATGTTAAGTGGGGAGAGTCGTTTGACCCAAAGACTCAAACTTGGAAAACGTTGCCGCTGATTCGGAAGAAAGGCAGTTCGGATGTCGATGTCCACGGCAGTTTGGTGAGCGATCAAAAGGTTTACTTATTTTCTGGAAAAAATGGAACCTTTTACTACTCGCCGAGGGAACGTAAATGGGGAAGAGGGAATCGTGATCCAGTGAGAGGGAACCGAAGGGATTGGTGTATGGTGGATAATTTGATCTGCTGTATTAGTAGTTACGGGGGTATATTTTGGTGTGAGCCAGATGCGTTGGATTGGTGTGAACCAGAGGGGATCATGTGTACAAAGGAGCTCAGGGGTTTGGACTCTCTGCTCATGCGTCTCTTTTCTTCCAGAGTGGTCCACTTTGGTGAGGAGTTGATCCATTGGTGGGACCAATATAAGGTCAATCATGTTATCCCCCAAAAGTTTGGCGTAAGCCAGGAGTTGGAAGATTTACTTCCCGGGGCCAGAATGAGCACCTCTGGTCGGAACATCCTGCTCTTCTGGGACGTCATCGAGGGTGATCGTCTTGAGATCTGGTGTGCGGAGATCTCCTTGGAGAGACACGAAGGAGGCGATGTTCGGGGCAATATTGAGTGGTCTAGTGCTGTCATGACCGTTGATCCTTTCGTAGACCACTACAAGGTTTTGCATTCTGTTTCTGTCACTCTGTGAACTTATTATCTCTATTTTACTACTCAAAATCTTTCTTTTTTACTACTCAAAATCTTTCTTTGTAACATTATCTATTAGTTTAACTGTTCACATTCGGTTCAGTCATTCTGCAGTTTTACTTATCTACTTATTCTATTAGTTTAACTGTTAACATTATCTATTAGTTTAACTGTTAACATTATCTACTTATTCTGCAGTCACCCCAAGTCTTCGTTCCTAGTTGACAATTAGAGAAGATCTCATAACGTTTTATTTTTAAAAAATGCAATCTATGGAGTTATCTTTCACTTTTATCATCTTCTTGTGCTTTAATCATCATGTGAAAGTAGTTTATTTGTAGATACGGCTGTTGATTTTTCAATGGCTATCGATGGACATTTAACTTTTATGTTAAGATCGAGTTATTATATTTGATTTATTTTGTACGGAAATCGGTCTACATAATTTTCGAATATATAAGATTTGAGTTATTCTTTGCTAAACCCTCATGAACAATCTGACTGAAAATCAAGATACTCTGCTAATTACTATTATCAGATGTTGAAACTCGTATCTCTCTGATTCGGTTTGGCTGCGGTAATTACGGAAACGTTCTGGATTAGTAAGTTGTTATGCCTCTATGGGTATATAACGACCAGCATACTGAAGTTGAAAAGGACCATCTTAAAGAACAGGTATTTCATCGACTCACTCCATTGCGGAAATAGATTTGCAAAATCGTATTATCGCGTCGGATCGTTTCATTCTTTACCAGCCTGCATTTTGATTTTTGTGTGACGAGATTAAGCTGTTTGTTGTTGCGTTGGGTTCAAGTTTTTTCGTTTCCTGAAAGCATGAGACATTTCAAGTGATAATATGTACAGCTCTTGGTAACGAAAACTCTTGGAACATGTGAGCCGCTCGATATCCTCAGACTTGTTTGACATCACCATTCGTACATACCTGCGATCATCCAAAATACTAACTAATGCTGAAATCAAACAACAAGATTGACCAAGAAAAATGGGAGAACTTTCCCTTGGCCAAAAAGGAAGGGTTGAGTAGTTGTCGGTTTACCGGATCTCAGACTCCTTCTTTTCACGAGCTCTGACCTGAGAACAAAACAAAAAAAACTCATTAAATATTACAGAGCAATGAAAGGTAACAATATTGAAGAATCACAGAATAAAAGATCAATAGCACCAACTTAGGAAATGCGTTCAGTGCGTCTACCGATGCCAAATCACCAATGTTGATAGCTCCTGAAAAAAATGCACTGGGTGCGTCTAACCTGTGGTCTAAATCTTTTGAAAGATTTAAGTACAAGAAGTATCGAACATTACCGATAAAAACGGCTACGAAGTAATAGCTCGGAAAAGATACAGCCTGCAGCCCGAACATCAACTCCTGCTCCATACTGTCTACTCCCAGACAGCAACTCAGGAGCTCTATACCATGTAGCAGATACCTGCGTGAGTAAGCAAGTATCTTTTACATCCGAATGGACTTCATCACCTTCTGAATCAGAATACTGGCTGAATCCTGATCGATCACTCACGCTTTCATCAATGGCTGCAGCCTTTTGTTTTGCTTTTTTTTTCTTTGTTTCAGACTCTGTATATTGCTCCTCCATGAACACTGCCCTGTGAAAATGCGTGTTTAAAGTCATCACGAAGCACACAGATTACAAGAAAAGAAAAAAAAAGGGAATAAAAATACATTACCATGTGCTAAGTGATTCATCACATAAGAATATGAGAAGCTTGAGCCTTTTTGATCTTCTCATACTCAGAAACTAGAAAACCCATTACCTTTTCCATATCATCGAAGCAGTTTTCAGCCATCCAATCTTCCGGTGCATATAACATCCAAATCAATATCTAGTTAGACATAGGAGGACATCAAGGCATATCTATAAGGAAATCCAGTTAAAGGCTGTTGCCATGTACCGTCATCACCTTCTGAATCAGAATCTTGGCTCAATGCTGATCGATCACTCGAGCTTTCATCAACCCATGATTACCGTGATCTACTTTGCATCTTCACAATGATGATCGACTAGAGCATCAGCAGCCTCATGCACAGCTTGTGCCTTCCCTTTCTTCTCTCTGAACACACACAAATCAATAAAGAGTCTGAGAAAATAGTACATATCATTATATTGCTTACGAAAAACTGTAGTATCACAAGAGCATATAGCATCACTATCCTTTACATACTCCAGAAACAAAGCAATGTTCATTCAATTTTACACTATAGTACGAAAAATTGAAATAGACCACAAATTCTCAGGTCAGAAATATCTCAGTGTTCCAAAATTTTTCTCTTGGATGAGAATGGGAAAAGCAAACCTTAAGGACTTTCCGTTGCTTCTGATTTTTTTTTTTTTTTTTCCGAGGCGACTTCTACTTCTATTGAAGTAAACCATGGAGACCGAGAGAGAGATAGAGTTGAGCGTACCTGGGATTTACAGAGAAAAGTGCTTAGTGGTCTAGAAACACATTAAAACGTATAAACAGAATTCAATGCAATCTAGAGAGATCATCGAAGAAGAAGATACTTGTCTTTAAAGGCAATGACATCAGGCAAGTCTGGATTGCTTGACTCATAGAGCAGTTGTAGCAATTCCCGACACTCCCAACAATTTTCTTGAACAAAAAAATCGATCATAAATGATATCATACTCTGTGTTAACACACGAAGAGATGAACCTGTTGTCACTGCAATTCACCATATAATTTGTTAGAATATATTCCTTTCAAACACAAAAAAAAAATCATTAGAAAATGCAGGAAAACTAAGAATATAAAGGTTTCGGTGTGAAGGATGGTGAGACTTCTACATGGAGAAGGGCGTGTTTAAATAGAGAAATGAGCAGCTGGTACTCTTTTTAGGTTTAGTCACTCTCCGAATATATCCTTCATTAACTACATATCTTACTTGATGGAAAGTACTAATGTGATTGACAGTCTTCTATATTCTCTTCCGATTACAAATATACAATTGAGAAAGTTCTCAAAAACTTAATTCTTCCACGTCAAAGTAATGAATGCACGAAGTAACTTGAGGAAGAAGATATAAAATTTGATATTTGGTAATCGGAATTAACTCACACGATTTGTAATATTATTCTAACTTGGTAACTTGGTATTAATATTAAAAATCGGATTGCTAACTTAAGGAAATTCAAGAAAACTTAATTGTGATAATAATAATATATATATGGAAAGGTCGAACAACTTTAAGAAGAAGTTTAGCCTCGTTTCATGGAAACGGAAATTGTTATGTTATGGAAAAGAATCATTTATGCAAATAATATTAAATGGGCTATAGTTGAAGAGAAAGGCCTCGATTAAATTTACTAAAGTCCATTACATGAAGTAAACGAATTAAGGGAAAGCCCAATGTCTGAATCTCTTAAAAGCCTATTATCTCAATTTCACCCGACTAAGATCCGCGTGTATATCCGTTTTCAAAGTAAATAATTTTATTAAATAATTAAAAAATCTCCAAAAAAAGGAGGAGGTGACACCTCAGCAAAAATGCATGGTCGGATTAAACTTTTGTTTTAATTTTGTTTTATTGGTTACATTTCCACGTTGCAACAGTCGCCAAGAGGGTACGGGAGTAATTTCCGTTGAATACTGATCTTCCCCTAAACTAAGAAGATAATAAACACTCTAATCTTTTCTTCAATCACTATGTTCTTCAATCTTTTCTTCAATCAATCACTCTCGAAGAAACTCTTTTCTTTCTTTATCCGTTCAATCCCGTCACCGGAGAAATTCCGACGAGCTACAATTCTCCGATTCGGTTTGTTAATCACAATAATGGACCCATACGCAGCAAAGAAGGCCAGAGCTCTCAAGAAACGGTTGCGAGAGAACGAATCCGTTTGGGACAATCTCCATCAAATGGATACGGCGCCGTTAGTAATAGGCGAGATCTTTCAGGTCTCCGATGAAATGGCTATTCTTCGTGATGAATGTGTTAAAGCCGCTGCGCAGCTCTTTTCAGCCAACCCAAGAAACCCTACGGCGGCGGCGGCGGCGGATGCAGCCGACGGTGAATGTGCAGAAAACTCCAATCACGCGAAGACCAATGAAGAAGAACAAGACATTCATCGCTCTCTGGAGAGAGATCTTGAAGGTCTCTCTGAAGACGAAGAGGAACCGGAAGACGAAAGCGATGCGGGAATTGAAGTCTCCGTTTTATTGGGCAGCATTTTCGATCAAATTGATACGGCGCCGTCAGTTTTTGGTGAGATACTTCAGGTATCAGATGAAATGGCTGTTCTTCGTGATGAATGCGTTAAAGCCGCTGCGCAGCTCTTTTCAGCCAACCGAAGAAACCCTACGGCGGCGGCGGCGGCGGATGCAGCCGACGGTGAATGTGCAGAAAACTCCAATCACGCGAAGACGAATGAAGAAGAACAAGACATTCGTCGCTCTCTGGAGAGAGATCTATTGAGGATATCTTGGTGAGCAAGGCGAACCAAGTATTGTGGGCCATTGAAGCCCATTTATGAAGTGAAGCGTGTGAAGCCCAATCGAAGAATATTCTAGAGAAATCCTATTGTGATAAGGATTAGGAAGATTTACATTATTTGGTGTTATCATTATATTAATGTTAACCCTATATATATGGGTCTTATTCTCTTGTATCAATAACACAACTCAATAATATATTTACCCTTCTATAATATTTGTCATGGTATCAGAGCAATGATCTCCACACTCTCATGACCCGGCCCAGAAAGGGCCCGACCCCCGACCCTAGGATTGATGGTCTGCGAGATTAATGGCTAGAATGGCCATTATCTCGAGGGGGAATATTGGGATACTGTAGAGGTTAATGGGCCATGAGGCCTTAACCTCTAGAGAGTGTGCAAGATAAAAGTCCCACATCGGAAAGTGGGAGGGACCTTGAATAATATATAAGGGACTGAGGCCTCTCCACCTATTGCCAATTGGTTTTAGGTTGGATGCCGAGGAAACTTAACAAGATCTTGAAGGTCTCTCTGAAGACGAAGAGGAACCGGAAGACGAAAGCGATGCGGGAATTGAAGTCGAAAAGGAAGGTGTCAAAATTGAAGTGAAGATCGAAGAAGAAACTCGGAGTTTCAAAGCATCCAACACGATCCAAGCTACTTCTGCTACATCGATTTTGGCGAGGCAAAGGTCTAAACTTCTTGTTTCTGCAGAGCGTCTGGGTAAGTAAAATCCTAACTTTTATGTTCATTAGTTCTTGAATGATGGATTGTGATTGTAGGTTCATTAGTCCTTAAATGATGGATTGTGATTGTAGGTTCATTAGTCGTTGAGATTGTGATTGTGATTGTAGGGATTAAAATCCAATGCTTTATTCTATTAATGTTGGTTTGAGAATTGAGATAGATTGTTTTTGTTTCCATTTCTGCAGAGGAGAGTGTGACTGTTCTTTTAATCGGTGGAGGAGGGAGAGAACACGCTCTCTTTGACGCCTTGAAACGATCAGCTTCTTATGATTCGTGCGTACCTGACCTCGACGTATCAGACAGCTCGGCTGTGATCTCCTTTTGTGAGAAATGGAACGTGGGTTTAGTGGTTATTGACCCTGAAGTGCGTCTTGTTGCTGGTCTCGCCAGTGACCTAGTTGAAGCCCGTATCCCCACTTGTGGCCCTTCTTCTCAAGCTGCTGCTAAATTTTTGAAGAATCTTTGCCAAAAGTTCAGCATCCCTACAGCTAAGGTCAGACACTGGAATTTTAGCTCATTTGTATCTTATTAGTCTAAGGAATCTAATTTGATGTTGTTAATAGTTAATACCTTGAATCCGAATTGAAATATGCAGGATAAAACATTTAGTGATGCATCTGCTGCGAAAGCATATATTCAAGAACAAGGTGTACCAATCGTAGTTAAAGCAGAAGCTTCCCGTGGAGAAAACGCCATTGGAGATGGAGACACTATTGTTAGAGGAGATCCTGAATGTCAGGTAAGGAGAAAAGAAAAAACAAAGAACACGGATTAGTTTAGTTTCCGTTCTGAGTCTTACATTTTGAACAATGCACAGGTATTGCTTGCGAGCTGCTCAGGTGGAGAAAACGCCATTCATCCAGAATCTGCTCAGGTCTACAAGCGTGTTGGAGATGGAGACACCAGTCCCAACACAGCAGGGATGGGAGCGTAGACTCCTGCACCGGTCTTGACCATGGATCATCAGGATGTGGCCATGGAGACTGTTAAAGGAGATCACTAATGTGGAAATGAAAAAAAAATATATATTCAGGAGTACAAAACCACAAAAGTAGTGAATGACTTTGTTTTAGTTGATGACTTTTAGTGAATTAGTTGTTTTGACTTTTAGTGAATTAGTTGTTTTGGTATGTATGATAAGATGGTGAGCGAAGGTGTGGAGGGTTTTGCAAGAACAGTATGCTCAAGGAAGCTTTTGATATGTTTGAGTCGGTGAAAGGTCAGGGACTGGTTGTTACTGCTAAAACGTATAACATGCTGATTGATGCATATTGTAAGTCAGGAAAGATTGAGGATGGGTTTGCGCTGAAAGAAGAGATGGAACAGCTAAGATTACTTGTACCAAACGTTGAAACTTATAACTGCTTGATTGGTGGTTTGTGTAGAGATGATCAAATGGGAGAAGCTAAGAAGCTTTTTGTAGTTTCCTCTGACCCGTTTAGCTCAGATTCAGTCTCCGATTCCTCGAGCTGTGGCTACGCCGTTGTGACTAACAGGAAAGATACTTGGCAAGGCCTTGAACAAGACATCACAACTCAGGTCTCTCCTGGTATTACCTATACTGTAACAGCTTCTGTTGGTGTCTCTGGTCCTTCCCATGAATCAGCTGAGATTCTTGCCACTGTGAGGCTCGAGCATGAAGACTCTCCTACCGAGTATTTGTTCATCGGAAAGTAGGAATTTTTCTGTGGAAATTTGATTCAACTTTTACACATATTTGCTGATGGAATTGAAACTTTACTTGTAGAACATATGCTTCAGAACAGCAATATTGACAAGGTGTTAAACATTAACATCATAACATCCACAAAGGTTTTAAACATCATAACAGCGGCGGGTGATTCAGCCAGCCGCTGAACCAAACATCCACAAAAGACAAAGTTTTCGCAAGTCACAGTGGATCATACAAGGGCTGGACACGACCGTGCCACAGACAATCTTGCTGGACTTTCTCGGTTTTCAAAAGCTTCTCGATTTCGTTGGGAGGATTCATCCCAAGACGCAGTGCACGCTCCCATCGATCAAGTCTTGCCATACCCAAGCACGGACCGTAAGCCATGTCCATGTCAAATTGCCTGAGCATCTCCTCCTTCTTATCCAACTCGTCTGTTGCAACACCACAAACCAAAAAAGTTACTAATAAGAATAGAAAGCCAACAAGTTAACTGGATAAATACAATGGCTAAGTTTCGATCGGACCCTAAATCTCATATGAGGATTGGACTTAAACCCTAGGATCGATTTCTTCCTATTCAAATCGATTAATTTCATTAAACCAAAGGGATAATCAAATCAAATCAAATCATATCACCCGAGTCCCATCCATGGAGAAGAAGAAAAAAGGGATAAATTTTGGAGCAATTTAATCCTGCGAAATCCCAATCATATGAACAGTAAATGAGAGAGAGAGAGAGAGGGGAAATAGCAATGCCTAAGAAGATGTTCGTATATAAACAGATAGATGCAAAACCATACCATTGACATCGACGGAGCCGTGAGAAATCAACGCCGCCGGCTGCGTAGCATCAGAATGTTGAGTAGCCGCATGTTTGGGGACTTTCCGGGAAGATGGTTTGGACTTGGACTTGGAGATACCTCCGGTATTCTTGCTTTTCGTCTGCTTGAAGAAACCCTTCAAATTCTTCGCTTTCGACGCCATAACACCCTTCACTCTCTCTCTGACTCTCTCTCTCCGGTTCGAATTTTGAATCTTTGAATTTACCTTTCCTTTAGCTTCTCTGAGACGATTGGGAGAGATGGCGACTTTTTATCTCGGTGTTATAAATTAAATCCGCCCACTTTATGATAACGGGCTTGGGTCTCATCCTAATTAGTGATATGGGCTTATTCTTAGCCCAATTAGCATATTTTATGTTGTCCACGGTAAATTTAGGAAAATTTATGTGATTTGTTCCAAAGTTAAATGCTTAAATTAATTGACTACACACAAAAATACTTAAAATTAATTAACTAGTTAGCCATACAGTGCTAGCAAATAAAAGCATATGGACAATGAATTATCAATAACATATGCATGATGCATCGAGCTATCTCAATTTAAAAATTAGGGAATTTTCTTCTGTTGATCAACATTGTTGGACATGTTTCTCGTGGCTTGAAATGCATATTAAAATAAATTGCCAACACTATTCTATTAAATGAGTCATAAAAAGAAAAACATGAGAATAAGAGTAAGACTAGTAACATTTAGAGGTGGAGAGTCCAACGAATGCCTTCTCTTGGACAAGGTAAAGGAGCAGGCAGAGCTATGTGCGATGGCAGCTTCTCTCCCGGCATCACTACCGATACATCCACCGCCATGTTCACCGGAACCTACCACATCATTTTCTTTACATTAGACAAATAGATACACATAGACCCAACAAAAACATACAGAAAAAGAATGTTGTTCAACTTTTGCAGGGCATGTGAAAACGAATTAATTAGCCATTGATACATACACATATGACATATGTAAGAAAACAAAGAATAAAGTACAACTTGGGTTTTGGTTTTCACTTTCCGAAATTGGGATTACTTTTCTTTGCACCGAAAAGCAAAACAATTTTATTTTGCAATGAAAAAAATAAAATTTAATTCTACAGTAGCAAGTTAATGCGCTTCGGCTTTATTAAAAGGACAAAAATTCTTTTGAGAAAATGCTTTAATAAACAACTTGTTTTTGTTTTTTGTTATTTTTGCTTACCATGGATGCTTGATGAACAAGTTTCTGGAAGTGAGTGGACCCATCTCTGCTCTGGCTCTGTGTTTGTCTCATCCGATTTGGTGAATCAAATGTAGAATTCTCAGGCCTGAAGAGATGCTCGAAGATGGCCATTATCAAGAACATGGAGATGAGTATCGCCGTAGCTACGAACCCAAATGAGATCGCATTCATCGACGTCGACGATCTCCATGGCCCTTCACTCTCTCCTTCTTTGGTACTGTATATGCTCCACGAGCTCGTTTCGTTCATTTTCTCCTTGTGGCATGCGAACTTTGAGCTTGTTTTCAAGAAATTAGATCAAAGACTTAATCGGACAACAAGAATCAGGAGACTGGACTCCTTCGAATCCTTCTTGTTCCTTTGTTTCTTTTTTTCTGTCAAGAACGTGGAGAGTAACAAATAATAAGAGGAATATTTCACCACAGCAAACTCAGAACTCTAGATCAAGAACAATCCCAAGCTAAGAAAATATTAAGGAATAGAAATTGAGGTGTATTCACGTAATCGACGACAATGTCTACTTTAATATTCCTTGTTTTTTTGGTAAAGAAAGTTGAAAAGCAAAGCATAGAAGAAGAAACAAAACACACTCTGTCGTTTGTTGATAAGGGATTGTATATGTAGTTACAAAAATTTAGAATATGGTGTAAATATTTATTTATATATTTATAATGTGCATATAAAGTATGAAAAAGAAAGAATTAATTAACAGAGAGTTAGTGGTGATAATGGTCCCTAACTAGTAGGAACATAATAGACATATAAATATTGGTCACTGGATCCTATATTCCTATGATCCCATCCCCTTCAGGACCTTCACTGTCTTTTGTTAAATAATCTGACAACTTCACACTTCATACTTTTTCTAATCTAGTTCATTTCTATTCTCAGCTTTTTTTTTTTTTTAATTTAAATCACCCTCTCTGCTTTCCTATAAACATGGGCGCGTTAAAAAGGTAAAAATAGTGGTGTGGAAGTTGTTTAACAATTTTTATTTAAAAAACCAAACAGTTGACATGAAGCTATTACATTTTCTCAAGGAATTGGAATAATAGCGATGACGACGACCCTACTTGAAATGATAGTCTCTATGTAAATTTGTATAGAAGCTGTGATTCGTTACTTGATAAACATTTGGAATTTTGAAAACAAGTTGCGAATATTAGTTGCTTGATTAGTGTAGTCAGGGGGAGGCATAAACAACGTAAAGAAAAAGCTATACAGTATAAACTCTATAAATTAATAAAGTTGGGACTTTGATATTTTATTAATTTATAGAGTTATTAAATTATCGATTTTGAATAAAATAGTTGTTTTATTAAAAAATAATTAAAATAAATATTAAATTAAATAAAAATAAGAAATTTTAAAAGTTTTTATATTTTGTATAGGTTCATTCTAAAATTAGGGATGAATTCTAAATATATTTGAGTTTTAGTAGAAAAGAAGTGAAAGTTATACTTATATTTTAGTATATTATCATAGATATGTATTTACATAAATTTGTATTTATGGTAATTATTAATTTATGATATTAATGGGACCATATATTTACATAGGAGTTTCAAAAATATTATTATCTTATTATTTTATCGAATTTTGCTAATTTTTATACTGTCCCGACTTGGGATTGGAGAAAATTATTATTTTATAGAGTTTATTAATTTATCGAATATCAATTTATAGAGTTTCTATGTATTTGTAAATGAACAAAAGTATATTGTATACGATTTATATTCCTTGTCTACTTTAAGATATTGCTATGTATGGTTATGGTGTTTACTACTAGCTAGCTAGTGTGACATCTTTTTGTTGTTATTTCATTTTTATCCACGACAAAAAAAAAGCATCTAAGAAAATAATCAATGATAATTGAGGATGGGGTCTACGTGTTATCAGAAAAGAACAACAAAGAGAGCCTATTGGCTACTTTAAGAAAAAGTTTACCCATATACAATAGTTTGGTAAATTAATTATCATAGTAAGATTTCAATTAGTTATCCTAATTAAGGAAACAATGATGCATTGTTTGTTTTAAGTCTGTCTTGCCCTTAATCACTAGCTCCACAGTTCTGTATGTAATCTGGTCATGTCATGTATTGCGCGAACTTTTTATACGTGATCCATCTATACTACGAGAAAACTTCCATTTCAGTATGCTGTATGTTAATTAAGATCGATAATAATGCAAACCTAAAGTTCTTGTCTTCTGGCGTGTGCAAGCTAACGTTTTTAACTAAAAACACGTACAACAACTAATATTCGCTTTATTTGTACGTCCAGCGATTTGAGGCCATAGGAAATTAGCATACCCAAGAAAATCAGTCAAATAAAAACATATTTATTTTTTGAAGAGAAATGGCATACTTTGTATACTTAATTAATTAGGTAATTAACAACTCCCATTTTAAAGGGTGTACGTCTTTACCTAGATAAACTCTCGAGTGTTGATTCAATTTGATAAAGTTTTAGTTTTCACTTAGAATTTATATATGAAGTCCTTAGAGTTAAAATATTCTTATTAAGGTGAAATTTTAAAATGTAATAAATACTTTTCAAGAATTTGAAATTATGAAGAAAAAAAGTTGAACACATGCATTTGGTTTGCAATGATGCCAAAATCTACCGCAATCGAATATAGGCAACACCATTATTCTGAGAAAGATATATAGCTAATCTAGCTGCGGCAAAAGCGGAGAGACCTCATACCTATCTACAAAACCATTCACATGAGACGAATGTAACGAATAATAAGGTTTCACATATCGTTTTTAACTCTCTCTAATAAGGTTTAAAACTTTAAAATCATTTTGAACAGTTTTTTTTTCGAAAACTTGAGCGAACATATTTCTGACTATATAAATCTTAGTTCACGGGCAGAGCAAGTGTTTCAGACAAAGTTGTCAAAAAAAAGAAAGATATGTATATGACAAACAATTAACTAAATTTCATCATTCAACATCCTTTTGCTGATTGTGACATATACTTCATTTTTTTAAAGGTCTGAACTGAAGTCACCCAAGGTTCGCTTCAAAATTTGTTGTGAAGTATTGGTGCTGTATGTTATTATTATAACTGAAGTTGGTGATGAAATCCGTTTTAATTATCAGGGACCTAATTATTGTAAAGAAAATTTGGCATTTAGAGAAGAGTGGGGGCTTAGGTGAGCTTACCAGCAAAGCAAAATTCAAAAGTAGGAATGATTTTAATGTAGAAAATAGAATTGGAGCTTTTGGCTTTTGTGACTCATATATTCACAGATCATTCATGACAGAAAAGAGGCCATCATGTGACCCTTCTTTTCTATTCACTCTTTAGCTTTTCTTTCACCTTTGCTATTTTCATTTGAACCATTTCTTTTCTTTCTTTCTCTTTTTGCCAAGTCCTAAAGAAGTTTCTCCAACCTGACAGAACCGGTAATGGATAATAAAACAAATTTGGCTAAAATTTCAGTGCGAGCAAACATGACATTCTGAAGAAGAACCCATCTATAATATAAACGGAGATATACATATATGCCGATATTCGTTAATGCCACCTATATATATATGAAGTCTGAAATTCAAGGTATGGTAGCTTTAATTTTTATAAGCGGCAAACTGTTATCCGGATTCAAAAATCAAATAAGTAACGCAATATTATAACAAAAAGAGAGAACTAGCGAATAGGTATGAAATAACAAAAACTAATAAAATAGCATGACCGCAACAAAAATTAACAAATGATTATTTCGGAGCATGAATGGAGAAATATTGTTTTCTAGATATCACTTTTAAAAGCTGACACATGGATTTAACCTACAGTACTACTCGATTTTCTTTCTTTTTTTTTTCCTTTCACTACTCGATTTGAAATTTTTAATTGTTCGGTTATCCATATAGTATATTAGTTTAAATTACTAACGAAAAGATAATAACATCTTACTAAAATTCAGATGATTAAAAATGAAAAACCATTGAGGGTATGGTTCTTTTATTAGTCAAAGTTTTATTTTTCCTTTTTGACTGCAACTTTCCTAGCGTCGTTATCTAGGCTAGCAAGCTTCAATGGCGTAAAAAAAAGAAGAAGCAAAAAGCTTCGGTGCAAGGAAAAACAGACACTGCCTTTATTAGTACGTATTAGCATCTTCGAAGTATAAACAGACACTTCCTTCTAATTTAACCTTTTTTTTAATGAAGTTGGACACTACAAACAAATAAAAATTGAACTAGCTCCCAAACACAAGAAACATACAATATCGTTGCTTACTATTCGAGATCATGGATTTTTCTCTGGTCAATTTATTCATTCATGCTGCATGCATGCATGTCGCTCAAACTTATATATGGTTTATATGGTCATAACTCATGACTCATGGCCTCATGGGATAAAGAAAAAAGAAAATAAATTAATTAATTGGTAAGATCATCTTCAACTGATGCGATGAAAGTTGATAATCAAAGTCTACAACTCTACATAGTGGATATATATATGATCGATGAGAATGGGTTGACAACAATAAGGATGTGTTATATAAACTCTTATAAATTTGACTTAAGAAAAATGGGTTCGTTTTGGGTATACTCGAATGGATAATTTATAAGTTTGTAAGAAACCAAGCCTTTGAGTTTGAGGCCCAATTCGGAAACATTCGAATCCAACGGTCAAGCTTTTATCGTCAATTAAAAGAGCTATAAAATAATCTCAGCCGTCCGATGCTTCCCTTATGTGAGGGTTCGTCGTGGACGTAACTCCCCACTCCCGCTCCCCTGAGTCCACACACTCGACACAGAGGCCAGACCCAACCTTCGTCCCCGTCCTCATCCGGTTTCCACTGTTTGATTTTCCGGCAATTCTAAACCCTTCTTCGTCTGTTTCTTTCCAGGTTTTTTCCTTATTCCCTCGGACATAAATCCTGTTTCATCCCCTGAATTTATTGCTCTGTTTGCTACTAATCAGTAAATTGTTTGGCGCCTGGGAAATTGATTCTCCTTCTACTCCAATTGTTTTCCGGAATTCACTGTTTAGATTGGAACTTTTGATTTCCATTGTAATTGTGTTAGTGTTTGGTAACTAACTTATGGTGGTTGAGTAAAAAGACAGGTTTTGTCAATTTGTGTTCATGTAAAGTTTGGTCTTTTAGAGATATAAGAACACGCCACAAATAGATTTCCCAAAGTTTATATCTCTTAGTCCAAAAAACTGATCTTTTGTCATTAAGCTTCTTATCTCATCTTGTAGGGGGACTTTTTGTTTGGTCGGGTTTATGTAGTGGAATTAGGTCATATGTGTAAGCTTTGGTCTAACAGAATCGTCTCTGACTGAATATTTTTTCTGGTGTCATGTTTGCATATGTAGAACACAATAGCAAATAAATCAATCGCTTCTTTTCATCTATACTAAATGTTACCTGTTTCTTTCGCGTTATGGTCTTTTGAAAAGGAATTGATGCATCTAAGTAGTTGTTTTTGGTCGACTACCATAAATATATTATTTTGATTCTCCATACTAACCTCATCCCTGCAATTGTTTCATCCCCTGAATTTACATTCTTAAGTTTTTGCTCTGTTTGCGACTAATTAGTCAATTGTTTGGCACTTCATAATCCTTCTGCTCCAATTGTTTTCCAGAATTCTCTGTTTAGAATTTTGATTTTCATTATAATTGTGTTAGTGTTTGGTAACTAACTTATGGTGGTTGAGTAAAAAAGACAGGTCTGTCAGTTTTTGTTCATGTAAAGTTCGGTCTTCTAGAGATGTAAGAACACGCCACAAATATATTTTCCAAACTTTCTATCTCTTAGTCCAAAAAGCTAATCTTCTGACGTCTTGTAGGGGGATTTTTGTTTGGTCTGGTTTATGTGATGTTAGGTCATATGTGTAAGCTTTGGTTTAACAGACTCGTCTCTTTCTGGAATTGCGAACTGAGTATCTTTTCTGGCGTCATGTTGGCATATGTAGAACACAATAGCAAAATATCAGTCACTTCTTTTCGTCTATACCAAATGTTACTTGTTTCTTTTGCGTTATGGTCTTTTGAAAAGAAAGTGATGCATCTAAGTGGTTGTTTTTGGCCGACTACACTATAATCATTATTTTGATTGTCCATACTAACCTTATATTTTGGATGCTGCAACATATCTTGAAGATTGGTAATGGCCACTGAAAAGAAGGCTATGGATTGTATCCTTTTATGCTAGTCGCTTATACATGTTCTGTATTTCCTTACTCGTTTGATTTTGATTCAAACAATTCTCTCCTAGTTGATTTCAGATGCTCTTTGCTTTACTAGATTTTTGGGACAGTTTTGATACTTTGTTCAATCAATTTGTGTTTTGCCCCTTAACATTAACTCTAGCTGAGCCTAGGTTTGCTCGAACTGTACCAGACCCTTATTCTACAACAAAGAAACATGTTCAGGTATTTAAAATCCTATTAGTCACATCCTTAATCTCCTCTCTGTAGAAGATTGCTTATCTGATGTTGGTAATCTTTTCAGTCTCCTCCAACAGATGACACAAACCGTACTGTTAGAGAGTCCACTACCTCATCTGTTGCGGTTAGTCCATGTGCTAATGGTAAGAAACTAGTCTTGTAAATCTGTAGCTACTTTGTCAAGTGATTGTTGCTTATGAATTGTGATGCGTTTTGCAGGATCTGATGTAGTCTCTACTCATCCAAATGGAAACGGCCGAGCATGTGCTGCGGATTCTCTAAAGGTTTGATTTTGGCCCTTTGCTTTTGTAGCTCATCCAGCTACTGTAATTTCACTGTTTGACGTTCTATCATGTTCATCGCTGCGTCAGTCGCAGGGAAGAAACCGTGACAAAAACAGCTCATATGCCTATAATGACTCGACTCTGCGTGGAAATGGAGCAAAACAAAGCCATTGTTGGTCTCAGGCTTCGCTGTCGGCTCCTAAGCCTCCTGGAAATTTCAATGGCGCTGGCAGATTTCCTCCCAATACACAATCCCATGGATTCAGACCAACATATAAGGTATCTACACCTATCTGTATAAATAGTTTGAATACAAAGCTCTCTTCTGTATGTATTATCCAGAGAATCTGAGGTTGAAATCAAATTTTTTGCTTACTTAGTGTTTCCTCTCAATGTAAAAGGTTTGATTCAATTGCTTCTTATTGTCTTTTGAAGGGAAATCAATCCGCAGGACAGTTCTTGACCTTTGCCAATCAAAAGACAAGCTCTGTCCCATATTGTGGGTACGTTAATGGAAACTCAGTTACTGGTTACGCGGATCACAGAGATAATCACAGGAAACCTGAGAGAAATGCAGAACATGATTCCTTGGTTGAATTGAAATGTGGTCCGAGAACACATGCAAAGACTCGTCCTCCATCTGAGTCGTCATCACTCGAGCAAAATAACGCGTTTGCCTCGGCTCTTCGTAGAGAGATGTTTAACCTCCCTGATTTCCAGACCGACTATGAGGACGCCAAGTTTTTCGTAATCAAGTCCTACAGCGAAGATGATGTCCACAAGAGTATCAAATATTCCGTGTGGTCAAGCACTGTCAACGGGAACAAGAAACTCGATGCAGCTTTCCGTGATGCCGAAGCAAAAACACTCGCGGATGGCAAAAAACGTCCAATTTTTCTCTTCTTCTCGGTGAGTAAGCTTCGAGCTGCGTTTTCTTTTGCTTCTTGTGAGCTAGTCTCATGTTTTGACTTTCTTTATTCAGGTGAATGCGAGCAGACAATTTGTGGGAATAGCTGAGATGGTTGGATACGTAGACTTCAACAAGGATTTGGATTTCTGGCAGGTTGATAAGTGGAGCGGCTTCTTACCAGTTGAATGGCACGTGGTGAAAGATGTTCCTAACTGGGAACTATGCCATATCATGCTTGACAACAATGAAGGCAAGGCAGTGACTCATACGAGGGACACTCACGAGATCAAGCTCAAAGAAGGTCTCCAAATGCTTTCCATATTCAAGAAGTATTCTGCGGTGACATCTTTGTTAGACGACATGGACTTCTACGAAGAACGAGAGAAGTCTCTTAGAGGGAAGAAGGAGAACAAACCAGCCACTCTTCGCATGGATATCTACAAAGAGAAAGACTATGATGTAACAAATGCTCATGACCTTTTAACAAACTTGTTCATCCTCTCTGACTGTGTACATAGATCTTCTTGAGCTTTTATCTGAACCTTGATTTTGTGTTTTTGGATCAGTATGAGATGGAAGGCAACAGGAGAATGAATCAAGAAAGAGGATATAACTGGAGCAGAAGTAGCAGTAGCAGAACAGAAGCATCTCTTGTCAATCTCACCAAGAATCTCTCCATAAGAGGCTGCTCTGGATCCAAGAAGTACACTGCCAATTAATTCAACATGAGACATTCTTTGATCTTCAGTTCTTTATTCTTTTGTTATTTATGAATTGCCTTAGTTAGTTCTGGAATCAGTAGGTTGCGTTGTGTTTTTTACTTTTTTATTTACTCTTCAGATGTCATTCAAGATACATATTCATTTTCAGGTTCTCAATAATAATTTAATCAGTTTACAGTCTTCAGATTTAGTGTGAAGAATAAACAAAGCTAGAAAAAAGATCTCATTTTGTTACAGGACTCCAGGGAATGGTCTCGGAAACTCAGAAGAAGGCGGTTCTGTTATTTATCTTGGTTTTTTGTCCCACATCGAGAAATAGGGATGAATGCCTTCCAAGTCTAAGAATATAAAAAGGAAGCTAAGCCTCACTTCCAATTCATACCTTTCTCGGCCTTTTGGCTAAGATCAAGTGTAGTATCTGTTCTTATCAGTTTAATATCTGATATGTGGGCCATCGGCTCACACGATATTAACTCTATTTTTTAAGGGAGAAGGCCCGTTCAGATAGCTTGCTATCTGGGCTTTCACGAGTCGCCCATGCGTTGCACTATTGCACGGGCCCGGCTCAACCCGCCAAAATTAGTATAATCTTCGTATTAAATGAATAGCATGTGATTAATTAGAGGACCATGATGAAAATAATTACATTTTGATCAAAACCTTGACCCAAATGTTGAGGACAAGATTAAGCTAACATCGAAACGCATACAACTTCTTAAACCCCTAGACTTTGGAACCGAACTAGACGAGAAGACATAATTCTGTGTGTGAGCAAACAATGTCCGAAAATCTGAAGCATACTCTCGATCATACAGCGTCTCAGGAATCGCTAGAGAGACTCGCAAAGGTTGCGAGAATCGAGGAAATCAGTGACGAAGAAGCAGAGGAAGAACAAGGATTGGAGTCGGAGCTATTATCGATGAACCCTAGAGTGCAGCGGTACTTGGTAGCCATCGAGTATATCGGAACGCGTTTCTCCGGTTCACAACAGCAGCCCACGTACCGCACCGTCGTCGGTGTGTTACAGGTTTCTAGAATTCTTCTCTGCGAATCAGTGCTAAGAATTGTCTGCAATTTCACATTCTCTTTGCCTATTATTCGATAATTTGTTAGATTGATTTTCATCGGCAATTCCGTCCCCTATGGGGAAGAGTCTATATATTGGCTGAAATTTTATCTAGGAGGATTCAAGTGTGAATTGATTGCATTTGTCGACCCATTGCAGGACGCGTTTCACAAGTTTATTGGCCAGCCAGTTAAGATCTTCTGCTCAAGTCGAACGGTAAGAGCTTTTCATAAGTTTATTAGCCATAGAGTTATGAAATTTTGGATTTTTTCGACCACCTAGAACTGAAAATTTTCATTATTGTAGTTTGTATTAGCTGACATTGTTATGTCGTCTTGTATTGCTCTAGGATGCAGGAGTGCATGCACTATCAAATGTTTGCCATGTAGATGTGGAACGCATCAGTAAAAGAAAGCCCGGTGAAGTGGTATTTGCTTTTGCACTCAACTGCTATTCATATTGTGGCTTAACATTTGGAATTTATCAGTGCCTGTGATGATTGTATTAGCACCCCTCACCGAACTCTATTGTCTTAAATGCAGTTACCACCTCATGAACCTGCTGTGGTCCAGAAAGCTGTGAACCATTTTTTACAGGTAAATATTTGATTCTTCTTCTTCTTATTTAACGGTTACTCACACAATTTTTTTTGTCATGTAATTAGTGAAGTTTACTTGAAGTCTCTTGGCAGAGTTCTCTAATCTGTATTTTCCTGATGGATTTTACTTGGTTTTACCTGGATAATACTGAACATCTCATTACATTCCTACGTTTTGATTCACCAGAAAAATGAGGGGGATGTTATGGTGATTGATGTTCGGTCTGTCCCAAGTACTTATCATGCCAGATATAAGGCCCGGGAGCGCACGTAGGTATTCTCTACACATGGCTCATTATCTATATGTGCTTTAGAGCACTAGGTTATGCTGCAAAATTATCATTATGCTAACTTTTAAGTATTTATATTGGGAATTAAAGATGTTCGAACTCAACTGAATGGGTCCGTCCCTGCGATTGATTATACGGAATGTTTCTGTGACACTTACTGTAGATACTTCTACCGCTTGCTGTCGGGCCCAGATCCTTTGTCCATTGCTGAAAAAGACCGTGCCTGGCATGTACCTGAGGAGCTTGATCTTCGCTCTATGCAGGTTCACCTACTTCTGTTTTGATTAGCTTTCCCATTACTATGATCAATAATCAGCTTTGTGATCCAAACGATTTCTTATCCCTTAAAAGGAAACAACTCCTTAGTCCTTACCACACTAAAAAGAAGAGATCTCTAACGACGATCGTTTAATGATTGGTGCACAGGAAGCATGCAGAGTTCTTGTTGGACCTCATGATTTCAGCTCCTTCAGGGCATCTGGTTGCCAGGTACACGATCAATATTAAAATGTACTGAATGGTTGAATATTTTCCCCATTCCCATTCATATAGTCCCTGATCCATGCATCTGATTTGTGGCTTGGTAGAACTTAAGTATATGTTTCTTTGTTTGTGACCTAGTACGAATGTATGAATAAGATTGATCTCTCCTGTAGAATACACTTTGTGTAATCCTGAGCAAGTTTTTACAGTAGCTTGTTCCTTGATCCTTTCTAGCTCGGCTCTAGTATTCTGAGCCATCAACAGCATATCAAAGTACCCTTATTCTTCCGGAAACTCCTGATAATTTTGACGAATCATTTTGCTCTGCAGGCAAAGTCACCTATGAGAACTTTAGATGAACTAAATGTGACTGAAGTACCATCAACTCCATATTTTCCATCTATCACAGAAAGGTCATTCAGTAACCTAAACAATGGAGATCCTCTCACATGTTCAAGTCAACCCAAGACTGAGAATGCTACAAATGCCGGCGAAGTTGCGGGGTCTACAGATGGTGATACTTTTGGAATGAGAAGACGGCACCGTTGCTACGTAGTAACAGCCCGTGCCCGCGCTTTTCTATACCACCAGGTTTGATATATATATATTGATCCATTTCTCTTTTGGTAGATCTTGTCTATCAGTTATTGTCTCCTCACGTCCTGTGTGAACTTTCGAAATGAGATGCAAACCACTTTTGATTTTGAGATACTCTTGAAGTCGTTTGATTTCTAGTCTCTTTATGCTGTGCAGGTGCGGTTGCTTGTAGGAGCACTGAAATGCGTAGGCACTGGAGAATTGACGGTACCAGAAGGTATGTCTCTCTCTCCATGTAGAGTTTTACAGTTATGGGTTTGTTAAAAAAGCTCTACTGAGGTTATCTATGGATTTGTTTCAGTTGAACGGATCCTGGAGGCGAAGACAGTGACTGCAGCCAAACCCATGGCTCCTGCTGCTGGTCTGTATCTTGGTCATGTCAAATATGAATTTCCATGAATCTCTGCAACAGTGGAAGAAGAGTCTCAGAATGGGTTTTGATCAGAAGATGAATGTGTGAATTATGATGTGGATGCTTGGTTTACACCATGATTCTTAACTAGGAGCTATGAATCTGCTGAATATGACACATTGATTTATGTCAAGTTTTGATCTCCTTTTCATTAGTTCGTTCCGGTTAAATAGCAAACGAGATTATACAAAAATTCAATTTGGAGTCAAATCCCAAATGAAATTTTTAAGACAAAATTGGTTTCAACTTTTAATTTTATTATCAAACGTAAAACAAAGGTGGACTTAAAAAGACACAAACGAGACGATCTCTGTTTTTATTTTTTCTTCTAAAACATCCATAATGTGAAGCAGGATCAAAGTCCGAGGTTGCTCAGAAGCTGACTCCATCTGGGAGTTTCTTCATCGAAAATGTATGTTAGAGGCGAAACCAGCACCCCACTTCCTCCAATCTGCAGCCACGTTTCATTACATCATTGATCAGTACCAACAAATGCATTTCAAGCATATAGAATATGGTTTTCCCTGATAAGTTTTAAGGGGATGTGCAAGTAAAAGAGGGATGGCTTTACTAACCGCTCTGAGTTGCTGCACAGACTCGTATAGAGCTTTCTTGGGCACACATATCACAATTGCATAAAACTCAACCAATACTTTTCCATCTCGTTTACAGTAAACTGGACTTATTGTTGGTCCCTGCACATCACAAAAGAAACACAATCATCTAATCTATAAACTACAATCTGTGAGATATTACATTGAAAGGCGTTCTCTGTTGGAATGTTCTCAAAATTATACCTGCAATCCTGATAACGATGGTTGGGCTATCACACGTGCAGCTACTTCCTCAGCATCCGTTCCTCTCATGTTTGCAACAACCTGAAGTAAAACAAAGGATGAAAGAAAGAAAATGTAGAGATAAGGAAAACAAAGTTACAATTACTATGCACACACATACAGTGAATTGACCATCTGCCTTCAAATGAGCCTCCAATCTCTCGAGAATCTCATGCACTGTTTCTAGTGCTCCTGTTCTCTCAGTCAATGCCCTTCTGCTCGCCACCAGTGCAGCCTGATAGTTAAAGAATAGTAAAAAATCTTCTGGTAAACACAGTGCGGAACAATAGTGAAACTAGAAAGATCTTCACATCAGACCTGGCTTTGCAGCACAATCCCTCCTTCAATCTCTTTCAAGTTGTTCTCTTTAAGGGTTGTCCCACTGCTCACAAGGTCTAAAATGGCATCAGCTATCCCCATCTAATTAACAATAAAAAGACTGTGTCAACAATAAGTATTAAGTACAATCCATCATCTCAAGCTAATAAGCTAATCATCATCTCAAGAATAAGGTAGCTCTAAAAGGGAGCATAGTCGAAATCTAAGGCTGATACGCAAATAACATAAATCTCACCGCAGGAGCTGCCTCTAGTGCTCCATCTGCAGTTGAAAACGCCACATGCTTTAAACCGTTTTCTTTCACAAATTTGGGGCCTAGCTGCAAAACACAAGTTGGACGATTCCAAAACAATGAAATTCCATTCTGAACAAAAATAAAGGACAACAATGCACCAAAGGAACACTTGTAACTCATCATACATAAGTGAATCCTGTAGCAACTCGTAAAGGTCTTTCCTCAGTCCATTGAGGCATCTGTGCTAGTTCCTTCAGAGAATTTATGTTCTCGAATATCCCATAGTTGGGTATCTGAAATCATATGAAAAAGAGAAATTAAGAAGTCGTAATAGAGATAAAAAAAAACACACAACTACTATAGGTTGGAGCGTACCGCAAGGGAGAGATGACATTCTCCAAAGTTGAGAGCATCGTGGACAATGATAAGATCTTCATTTCCCTATAAACAAAACTCAAACGTATCTCAATCCTGATGCGAAATTGACCTCGGGAAGTCAAGTCTATAAGAATTACGAATGCCATTTACCTGACCAAATTCACTAACTATGTCAAGACCAACGATGCCTAAATCCAGATCTCCTGAGAGTAACTTTCTGACAATGTCTTTTGGCCGTTGAAACCAAACTTCAGTATTTGGCAACTGGAAGACAAGATAAAAAAAAAAAGAGATCTCTACTGCAATTTGACCCCAAAAAAAAAGAACTCAATGCACAATTTTGCCTTTCTCCAAATGCGTACCTGGGGAATTTGGGCAACATATTGCCGCGGATTGACTTGTTTGACGAACAATTGGCAATCCTTCATGAGAATGGAAAAAGTTTGTAAATTAATAAAAAGGAGTTATGAGTTTGCAAATCACAGTGGCCAACTTTGCTTAAAAATCATTACTTCAGTGGATGAAAACACCAAAATGAAACCTTATAATCATCCAATAAAGCAAACAAGTGAAGATCAGCAATCACAGCAAAATCATCAGTCGACCTTTAGCTTACAAATATCATCACGATAAACATTCCAGTCCAGAGAGACAATCACAATTTGATATATTTAATTTCGATTAGATACGATTCTTTCAACATTGCGTCTTAGCATCTAGATAAGCATTGCGTCTTAGCATCTAGATAAGCGATTCCCAGAACAAATTGAAGCTTTCGCAACTCAGATAACAACTCAGATAAGAGAAAATGAAGCTGATCGAGAACTTTAAAATCTCCATGGAAAATTTCCGATCACAGTCCTCAATTTCCAGTGGAAACAAAACGGGACCACAACCACTCACCTTGAGAAGATCCAGCGTATCGGTGGCCATGCGCCCCTTACTCGGAAGCCCAAGACGAATCTGGTCCCTCCCGACGACAGCTACGGCGTCGGTGGCACCGTTCTGGACGGAGCTCTGAGAGTAGGAGACGCAGGAAGTGACCATCCTCAGGCATCTCCGGCGAAATCCCTTAACGGAAACAGCGGCTGAAGGAGTCGGAGAGAGAAGAGAGAAAGAGGGTGCGAGGCAAGAAGGCGAGTTTTGTAAAATGGCATTTGCGATTGACATGGTTGCTCTCTCGGTGGTGGAGGAAAAATGGTCGGCGGATATAATTGCAAAAAGCTCGGCCGTTATAAAAGCCGGAGTGTGTCCACGTGGAAATTCGTAAATTTCAAAATTTAATTAAAAATAATTTTGATACTTAAAGAGGTCTTTTTATTGAAGGTGACAAATTTGTACAGAAGATATTATCAATCAATCGTATCAGAGGAGACAGAATGAGTAAAATGTGCACTGAAACTTGAAATGTCTCTTCTTGATGCCTCTGGTTGTTTTAGTCCTTGGTTCGTTTGGTGTTTTATTACTTCTTGATTTGCTTCAAGAGAGCAGCAACAGATCCACAATGTGTTGACTCGTTATTGCATTTCTCACAACAAGCTTGTAACTTCTCTATCACACTCTGGCACCTGCACTCACAAATCCACACATAATCTAATTAGCATCTCCATTCAAAAACTACTTGCTTGATAACACATTGTGGTACAAGAATTTCCAGAGAGTGAGGTTGCTGTTAATCGTCACTTAGCTACGTTCATCATATGATTCATGATCCTATTCTTCAAACATTTCATGAAACTGTATAATGCCTTGACTGGATTGCTACAAAGATAACTCTATGCACATAAAAATGGACAATGAGTATTACAACCACTGGTTCATGCTTTAGAGTTTCCCAAATCAAAAGCCTGACATCATATAGTTCTCACCACAATGTCTCGTGAATTCACACCATCAACATCAAGGAGCACTGACACGTGAAACAGAGTGATTATGATCCAAGACAAACCACCCAAAAACCACCTCACATTGGAAAATTGATCCATAATCACCAAACCAAACATCACAGTTTCTGTGAACGAGATTTTTAAAGTCAATCATGGATGCATCAAATCGATTAGCTGAAAACTACTCTAAACCCCAACAAATAAGATCACAACGATACTATCCAATTAAATGGATCCCCCAATTCAAAGCAATCCGAGGGAATCTTTCAATAAAACAGAAATCAATCATTTCGCTATCAAAATCGATTCCACGGACAATCGCAATGAATAATTAAACCGGTAACAATCAAACGGAGGAAGATAATGGAACAGAAAGGAATCAGAGTCACCTTTGAGAAAGAAAATTGTTCTTCGAGAGACAGGCTTGTATGTCGCAAGCCTCTTTCTTGCAGGGTTCTTTGCTTGGTTGAGTCATCTCTATTTCTCTCTCGCAGCCTTTGAGGTTTTGATTTCACCGTTGAATATAGTTCTCCGATCACCGACTTGGCATTTCTGCCTCTCTATATTCATCGGAAATTTGGTCAAAGAAAAACCAAACCAAACCGATCAATATTACAGAACCGACTTAAATCATTCAGACCACTATAAATCGAATCAAACCGGATCAGAATTATTCTTGTCGATTGTACTCTTAGTTATTTAACGGCACGCAACTGTTAATTATGTTTCGTCACTAACGGGAAATCCAAAGAGCGCGTGAAAAGAGCTTTTTGATGTTGACGCTCATAAAAAAACGCATCTCCTTCTGACACATTCTTCCCTAATTAATATCTCATCTTTAATTTGTTTTTCTCTTGGTCAACACTTTGTAATTGCATGTGAATACTTTGTGGCTTATAGTTGTAATTTACAGATTGCTTATCGTGTAGTTAAAAAGTTAAAAGTCTAACCAATGCCTGATGGGAGAGAAAGAGAAACAAGCTCTTCGCTCTAGATCAATCGATGACCATACGATTATATGGGTCTTTTGTGTGGCGATTTAATGGTTTCATTAGCAACTACTAGCTGTTTTTTTGTATATACTCCCTGATGTATTAATGTCCATTGTCCAATTCTGAAACATATGCGAACTTAGTTTTCTTTTCTTAGTTAAAGATGCATGTTGTTCAAAAAAATCACACAGAAATACGAAAAAGTAAAACAATATAACATGTCACGAAGAAGAACGTGAACCGTTGAATTATCCTTGCTCACACTTATGGAATTAGTAGCTTACAGTGCAACGGCCCACCCACCAAACTATACCATATATTGATCATTGATTAGTGTACAAATAAGGTAAATCGAGTTAATTTTATACAGCTGTATTAGTATAAGCAAGCACAAACCAAAAATAGAAAGAAACGAGTAAAAGAGTGTTCACAAATGCAAACTCTTCGTTCAAGTACTAACAGTCACTGACTCACTTATTTGCTTTAATTCTCTCTCTAGGGAAACCCGAGGCGTCACACTAAACTCTTGAGACTTTTATCTCTGTCTCTCTCTCTCTCTCTTATTCCCAAAGCCAAATCAAAATTCACGTTCTTAGAAAATAAAACTTGTTCTGAATTATTTTCGTCATCGGAATATGAAAAATCCGGCGTGACGTACGTGTTTCTCTTCTTCTCATTTGCTCATCGCTTTTAATACAAAAATGGGTGCAGTGCTAAACCTTTTGTTTACCGTCACTATCCTGTTCACAATCTCATCACCCTCACGTAAGTCTGTTTATTCCTTTTATCATTGATTTGTTTAATTTTTCTCAGTAGGGTTTTGATCAATAGTGATAAAATGGTTGCAGATGGGTACGACCCTTTGGATCCGTTTGGTAAAATTATCATGAAATGGGATCTTATTCAATCCACACCTGGCCGCCACATAGTAACTCTTCTTTTTCTTGTTATTTCCTCTGCATAACTTATTATTCTTGAGTTGTTTGTATTTTAAATTGATCATTCTTGTAAAAAATGTGTATGATTATGGCCTTATGGGACCCGCATGAACCTCAGGGAAGCTGGGTTTTTTTTTTTGTTCTTGGGAGAATCTGGGTTTAGGATCAATACTGAAAGATATAACAACGTAATTAGAAAATGAAAAGTGAAAACATTGATAAAATTAACAATCGTATAACTAAAATAGTGTCCGAATCTTCAGCTTGAGACGAATTAGTTACTCAAAAGTTTGTTTTGTTTCCTGCAAAGTTGGGGATACATCTTTTAATTACCACTTTTTTCTCCATTATATCTCAAATTAATTTGATTTGTGTAAAAAATCATTATCGTTAAAAGTTAAAGCTTGAGAGATCTATTTTTGTTAGTTTTCTTCACGTTAAGTCAAAGTCTGATTATGTATTTATACACAAATGCTTGGAATAATCAAATTATTTCTTGACGTACAGTTTTAATAAAAATCCTATAATCGTTACACAAATGTTTGGAATAATGAAAATTAAATGTTGCAGGTACAAGTAACGATAGAGAACATGCAAGAGTACCGCCACGTGGATAAGCCAGGTTGGAAGCTGAAATGGCATTGGAAAAACAAAGAAGTCATATGGAGCATGGAAGGAGCCGAGACCACGGAGCAAGGAAACTGCTCAGCCTTTGCCTCCAGCGGAACCCTCCCACACTGCTGTCTCCGGCGACCAACCATAGTCGACCTTCTCCCCGGAACTTCTCTCAACACTCAAGTCTCCAATTGTTGCCGTGGAGGTGTCTTGACTTCAATGACTCAGGACCACGTCAACCACATCTCAGCTTTCCATATGGTCATCGGAAGCTTTCCTGATTACGACTCTGACGAGTTTATAATGCCTTCTAATTTCGATATCGGTGTCCCTGGTTATAGCTGCGACAATTCTACCTCCGTGGCCGCTACTAAGTTTAGCCAAGATAAAGGCCGTCACAAAACGCAAGCTCTAGGTAAACAAAATCATCTTTCCATTTTCATATTTTATATAGTTTATCAAAAATATAAAAAAACTTGAAAACGTACAAAACATAGATTTATATTGTTTGGTGTTGTGTTTTGTTTACTGAGAGCAGCAACATGGAAGGTAGAGTGCGTGTACTCGCAGTTCAGGGCATCACAATCACCAAAATGCTGCGTTTCACTCTCTGCCTTCTACTACCAAAACATCGTTCCTTGCCCTGCATGTAGCTGCGGCTGCCGTAGTCCTCAATGCGTCGAGTAATTATTTTATTTTCTTCATTTATGTTTTTATGCCTATATGTCCTTTTAAAATAGCCCTTAAGGTGTTTTTGTCTTGCTGGCTTGTTTAGGCATGGTAAGACGCCGTCGTTTCTGAAACAGAAACATGATCCTGAGGAGGAAGTAGCGCCTGTGGTGGAATGTTCGAACCATAACTGTCCCATCCACATTCACTGGCATGTCAAAGTCAACTATAGAGAGTATTGGAGGGTTAAGATCACAGCAACGAATCTCAACATGATGAAGAATTACACTGACTGGAACTTAGTTGTGCTTCATCCAAACTTAAAAAGTGTGCAACAAGTCTTCAGCTTTAACTACAAATCCTTAACACCTTATGGCAACAGCATCAGTAAGTAATTTCATATTAAGAAAATCAGACTTTTTTTCTCACTCAAATTATTACATCTTCTAAGTTGTGGATTTTCTTGGTGTGGTTTTAGATGACACAGGGATGTTTTGGGGGGTAAAGTTTTACAACGATGTTTTGCTTCAAGCAGGAGATTATGGAAATGTGCAAACAGAGTTGCTGCTAAAGAAGGATATTGAGAAATTCACTTTTAGAGAAGGTTGGGCATTCCCAAGGAGAATCTTGTTCAATGGCGATGAATGTGTGATGCCTTCTCCTGATGACTATCCGAGGCTGCCTTCTGCTTCTTCTTCTTCTTCCTCTGTTGTTGTTAGCTTTGTTACAATCGTTTTCTGTTTTCTCCTTCTTATTGTTTGATGAAGACGTTTTCATCTGAACCTGCATTGTTTTGGCCTTTTCATAAACAACGTCTTGATAAACAGAGTTTCATTTTGCATCAAAGTGGTTTTAATTCATTAGGAAGCAGGTTAGGTCATGTTACATTCAACTTTTAGTAACATATTGTGAATTTTAGAACAGAGAACAGGACAAACTTTTTTAACTTATTATCAATATTAACATCAAATTGAACAACCAAACTTCTACACTCAACACTTAAAAATGCTCATGCGCATAATATAAAAATATGCTAGCATGGCAATTGATTTTTAAGAAAGTAAAGTTTAGAATAATATAAGATTATATACCGGTCTGTATTGTGCAAGATAATTATACAGTTTTGCCCTGAAATAAACGACTCAAAGTGAGTAAAACTGCATATGAAATTCTTTTCTTAAACAAATCGATGAATCGCAAAAGCAAATTCCACACCTTTCTATTTGTCAATCTAAATATAAAAATATTCAGACATGATCTTGACAGCTTGATTAGGATGATTCATGCTTGTCCGGGTATTTGAATACAAAATATATACATAGAAGAAAACTGTATAAAATTTGAAATATTATGCAATTTTTTATACTCATACTTGTGCTAATAAACTGCTAAGAATTTTGTTTAGTCAATGTTCTCCTTAATGCGCTTTACTTGTTTTCCAAATCTTTTAAACCGTATAATTAGCATAAGGCGAATTTCTAATTAGTACTACGAGCTATATGATAAAATGGAAGGAATGATTGTGTAATCAGTAATGGAAGTAAGGCAATATTATCTATGTTATAATTGTTAATACTTGAAGTGTGTAACAAGGCAATATTTTTTATAATACGAATTCTAAGAAATGGAAGTGAGGAAAACCCTTACCCAATCAAAATATTTTCAGAAAGTCTTTTATTTTACTTTTACATATGTCCCAATGTCTTTTGACTCTTTTCCTTAAAATATCCAACAAAATGGCAAGTATATTATAATAAAAGAAAAATATCTATATCAGATTCGTAAGCAGAAGAGAAAAAAAAAGGAAAAGAAAATGAAAGAATATTCGGAGCCTATATTTTTGCGTGAAACACAAGTGGCCCATTACCATTTGGTAAATGTGGGCCATCCCGAAAACTTGACTCTTTTTAAAACCCGCCTCTTCCTCCTCACCAAACCTTCACTTCGCCTTCCTCTCTCACACTTTATTCTCAGATCTGTTTCCTCCATCTTCGATTGCATCTCAAAACCCAGCTATGGCTACCCCTTCCGCCTGGAAACTCGATGACCACCCCAAGCTCCCCAAAGGCAAGACCATCGCCTTAATCGTCTTAGATGGCTGGGGTGAATCTGCTCCTGATCAGTACAACTGTATCCATAACGCTCCCACTCCTGCCATGGATTCTCTTAAGAACGTATGTGCCTCACTCTTTTACTCTTTGATTCGATGCTTTTCTCTTTTGTCAATTGATTCATCGAACCTTACTTTACTTTTTTTCCATATCTTCTCCACACAGGGAGCTCCCGATCATTGGACGTTGATCAAAGCTCACGGAACCGCCGTTGGACTACCCAGCGAAGATGATATGGGTAACAGTGAGGTCGGTCACAACGCTCTCGGCGCTGGTCGTATCTACGCTCAAGGTGCTAAGCTTTGTGACATCGCTCTTTCTTCCGGCAAAATCTTCGACGGTGAAGGCTTCAAATACGTTTCCGAATCCTTCGAGAAATCCACTTTGCACTTCGTTGGACTTCTCAGTGACGGTGGAGTCCACTCCCGCCTCGATCAGCTCCAGGTATTGACCTTTTTTGTTCTTCACTTTTGCTTTTGATTGTTGTAATTGCTTTTTGATTCTCAATCTTGTTGTTGCTGTTGTAATTGCGCAGTTGCTGATTAAAGGTTCTGCTGAACGTGGTGCTAAGAGAATCCGTGTGCATATTCTCACTGATGGTCGTGATGTTTTGGACGGTTCTAGTGTGGGATTTGTGGAAACTCTTGAAGCCGATCTCTTCAAATTACGTGAGAATGGTGTTGATGCTCAGATCGCATCTGGTGGAGGTCGTATGTACGTGACATTGGACCGGTACGAGAACGATTGGGAAGTTGTTAAACGTGGTTGGGATGCTCAGGTTCTTGGAGAAGCTCCCCACAAATTCAAGAACGCCGTTGAGGCAGTGAAGACGCTGAGGAAGGAGCCTGGTGCGAATGACCAGTATTTGCCTCCGTTTGTCATCGTTGACGATGCCGGGAAAGCAGTTGGCCCGATTGTGGACGGTGATGCTGTTGTCACCTTCAATTTCAGGGCTGACCGTATGGTTATGCATGCCAAGGCACTTGAATATGAAGACTTTGACAAGTTTGATCGTGTGAGGTTCCCCAAGATCCGTTACGCTGGAATGCTTCAGTATGATGGAGAGCTAAAGCTGCCTAACCGTTACCTTGTTTCTCCCCCGGAGATTGATAGAACCTCTGGTGAATATTTGGCTCACAATGGCGTCCGTACTTTTGCTTGCAGGTTCTTAAACTTCTTCTATATTGTTGCTTGCTCATCAGTTGTCTTTGCTGATGAATCAAAGCTTAGTGATATGGCTAGCATTTTTTCCACTAGAGTATACTCTTGATTCTTGAGCTGATCGTATTTTATCAATGTATGTGTGGCTTAAACAGTGAGACCGTGAAGTTTGGGCATGTGACATTCTTCTGGAATGGGAACCGATCTGGATATTTCAACGAGAAACTGGAGGAGTATGTTGAAATCCCAAGTGACAGTGGAATATCATTCAACGCACAGCCAAAGATGAAAGCTCTGGAAATTGGTGAGAAGGCTAGGGACGCAATCCTTAGCGGCAAGTTTGATCAGGTGCGAGTCAACATTCCAAATGGAGATATGGTGGGTCACACTGGTGACATTGAAGCCACGGTTGTTGCTTGCGAGGCTGCTGATCTTGCTGTGAAGGTATTGCTTTTCTTCTTTCTGAATGTTTGTTACTGAAAAGTAGTAGTTTTCGTGTTATGAGAGACTGACTCAGTCCACATGGTGTTGCAGATGATCCTTGATGCGATCGAACAAGTGAAGGGCATTTACGTTGTGACTGCTGATCACGGAAACGCAGAGGACATGGTGAAGAGGGATAAATCTGGCAAGCCTGCTTTGGACAAGGAAGGGAAGCTTCAGATTCTAACCTCTCACACACTCAAGCCAGTAAGTCCACATCTGTTACTTTATCTGTTGTAAATCATTTGGATTGGATTTAATGTGACATTATTGATTGGAATTGTGCTTTAGGTGCCAATTGCCATCGGAGGTCCAGGATTGTCAGAAGGAGTGAAATTCCGTAAGGATCTGGAGACACCAGGGCTTGCGAATGTAGCTGCAACAGTGATGAACCTCCATGGATATGTGGCTCCCGCTGACTACGAGCCCACCCTGATTGAAGTAGTGGACAAGAATTGAGGAGCCTGATTAGTTTTCAAGAGGCTGAAACTCTAAATATGATGTTTTGTTGCTTTCAAATTTAATAAGGTTTACTACAAACACTTTGCATTTTTTATTTTGGCTTTTGGCCAAAAACGTTGATTTTTGTTTAATGATAGTTATGATTTTTCTCTTCCAAAAGTCAAATTTGCACCACATGAGATCCAAGCGTAACGTTGATCTTTGTTTTAATGATACGGTTTTTCTTTCTCTTCCAAAAAATCAAAGAGTCAAATGTGCAATACATTTGATTTCACAGTAATTGTGTACATTAAAGAACAGAGCTGATCTGATCTCAAGTAATAAAATTTCTTGACCACTGCAAAAAACATACAACAGAGAATATCAGAACCTTTTTACAAAGTCATGACTCATAAAAACTTGAACCAATACAATGTCAAGCTGCGTCTCCTTGAAATTTGGAACTAATACAAAACTCAAGCCATGTTTAAACAGAAGCTTCCATGGCTATGGCTACGTCCTCTTCCTCTCCAGTGGCTAGCTTGGCTTCTTTCACTTTTACTGAATCTTCAACATCGGCTTGTTTCAATGCCTGTGCTCGGAACCCGACCATAATCTCCTCGGCTTTCTCAAGCGTTGACAACAGATTCCCATAGCGCGCCTGCAGTTTTTGCTCCGTCTCCTTTTGCTTCATCACTTCTTCCTCCAAATTCTTCTTCCTGAAAGATGCAGCCATCTCTTCTTGCCTCTTCAATGCTTTAAAGCACTCTACTTCCGTTCCACCAATCTCAATCTGCTTCAAACTTCCCTCTATTTGGCTCCACACGGTCTCTGCTCTTCTCTGTCAAATGGACAAATACATACTTTCAATAAACTTGACACTAAACTAAAGTAATGAGTGATTCAACGATATAGTTTCAGAGTTAAAATTAAGGCAATGTGGACTAGATTTATACCTCATGACCCTTTGTATAAGTTTTGTACTTAGCCTTCATGTGTTCTGCCTTCTTCTCATCCTCCTCCATCTTTTTTCTCGCATTCTCCATCTCCACTTGCAGAGCTGCAACTTTCTCCGCGTTCGCAGCAACACTTGAGAGCCCATAAGCGTTTCGAGTGGGGAAGTACATGAGATCGTTCACGCATGTGTTGTGAGCTTCTACGAAATCATCAAGTGACTCGTTTTCATGTCCCATAGACACGCAAAGAAACTTCCCCTCCTCCTTTATCATTTTGTCAGCCTGTCAAAATACATGGGGAACCTTTATTAGAATCCCCATACGTGTATAACAAATAAAATATGTTGATTCAAACAAAAGGGCGGATAAAGCATTCATCTATCTATGAAGCAGGAGAGAACTAAGGATTCCAGAGGTATGCTAACAAATAAATCAACTGAACAGCAGAAATAAACTGACATAGGGAAGGTATTATTCATAAACATACCTCTTGGAGTTCATTTTCCTCAAAGTCTTCAATTGCAAGAACTTGAGCACTAGAGCTGTTGGCACGCTTGCCTCCTTTCTTTTTCTCAGCTTTCTCATCAAGAGGATACTTTGCATTGTCATGCTCCAGCAACTGAAGAAGCTCCTTTCTTACCATTTCATCTGCAACCTCAATTGGATTAGGAGGCACAACGGAACTTTTGTCTCCATTGGCTGAAACCAATGAATTCCTAATTAATTCCAATGAAGCCGCTGGAGGTCTAGGAAGATCTCTCTGCAAAACCTTGGACCTTTTCCTAAGCAGCGCCTGATATCTTGCTTCCTCCTCAGCCTTTTCCCTAGCTATCCTGTCTGACATGTCTTCCTCAATTATCTCTTCTGGCTCTTCACTTTCCTCCGGAGGAGGCTGTGCAACTATTTGGTACTCGTTCCTTGGCTGAGGAAGCCCAGTCAGACCAGAGCGTAAGCTCCTTTTAGCTTCCTCTCGTCTCTGCCTCTCAAGTTTTGCACTCTCGTGCATGTCCATGTCTTCATTGATGTGAAGTTCATCTCTGAAGGGAGTACCTCTGGGTGTCATAGCAAAAGAAGAGCCATCCCTAGATGGCGTCCTAGATGGCGTCAAGCCAATTCTGGGAGTAAAACCAGCACCACCAGGAGTCATGGAAGGGGTCAACATTGGATTAGGAGTTTGAACAAGATTTTTCCTCGGAGTGACCCCAGTAAAGTCGGAAGGGTGCAATTCAGGATTTTCTCCTCCAAGCAAAGGTGTCTGAGAGTCTCTTAACCGAGCCAGGTTTTCTGCTTCCATCATAATAGAATCACCTTTACCAGCAGGAGTTCTTTGTGGCGTCCTCATGGGGGTCATCCCTTGCCTTGGTGTTTGCGAGTAATTTGCCAAAAGTGCACGTGTAGCAGCACTGCCTTCAGTTAGCTCCTCATTCTCTGCAAGAAGATCACTGGCGTATCCCATCTTTGCAATCTCTTCTAGCTCGTGGTCTGAAATCTGCGGTGGTGGTAACATCAGCTTTGACCTCTTCCTAACAGCTTCTGGATCATTCAGCTTGTTTGCTTGCAATATAGCAGCCGGAGCATCCTGCCTCTGAGCAATTTTGTTCCTTGCAACATCTTGTTTGCGTAACTGTGCTTCTACATCAGCCCTTCTTTTTCCTTCAAGTTCTTCAATGGTAGTTGGAAATTTTACTTGGTCAGCAGGACGATCTTCATCTGCAGTATCATAGAATCCAGCAGGTGCCCTCTTTTCAAAAGGAATTTCTGCATTATAGTCGATTCCCTTTCGCTTCCTCTTCCTATGCCTTCCATCGATCCCAGCAGCCTTTAGTTCTCTCCTCTTCTGCAGAGAAGCAAGCCTTCTAGCTTCCTCAAGTTGCTTTTCTCTTGCTTTTCTTTTAGCCTTCTTTCCCCTAGTGTTAGCCAATCTAGCTCTAGCTTCAGAAAGCATCTCTTTCTCATCTTCGTCCATGTCCACTGGATCAGGACGAGCGGGCTTCGATTCTGGATTGGGATCAATCTCACCAGGACGTAGTTTCCGTGGATCATCCGCTGGTTCATAATTCTCGTCCTTGGTACATGCTGCATCAAGAAGCTTCTCATACCTTTCCAGGCACTGAGATGGTGTACGGCCCACAATAGGAGCAATTGTTCTCCACTGAGTCGGCAGAAGTTTTGCAAGATGTAGAAGTTTCTCATCTTCTTCTCTGGTCCATTCAGTCTGCAAAACATCATCAAACTTACTCAGTTTCTAATTCAATATCATAACAGTGCCTTAAAGTACTCCAAAAGTCCTAAAATTTGCCTACACTATCATTAGCAAATCAATACATAGATACAACTAATTTTTCGATTCGCAAGCTAGCAAACCACCTATAAGCCTAGATTCCAAACCATTTGTTCACTGTTTCCCAGATCCAAAAAAAACTGACACGACCACTAAAATGAAGGAAAATGCTTATTCTACTGACCTTTTTGATAGAAGGATCGAGCCACTCGTACCAGCGAGCTTTACACTGTTTGGCCGACTTACGAACGAGAAGAGACGAGATCCGAGCCCACTGGTTCTTCCCGTACTTCATCACGGCGGCCTTGAGAATCTCATCTTCGGTGTTCTTCCACACCCCTCCCTTGATCATAATCCTCATCTTCACTCAACTTTTCTCTTCCAAACCCACTCAAATTCAAGGTCTGTTACCGCTAATGCTCGCGGCACAACAACGAACAGGAGGAAGCGAGAGAGAGTAACCCTAGATTAGGGTTGGAACCAACGAGGAAGAAAAAGATTGAATCGAAATCTAGTCCTTTTGTTTTAAATCGTTTTTTACTCAAAATTGAGGAAATGTTTAGTTTGGGCCAACTCAAATAGCCCAATACCGCACTAATATGGGCCGAGTGATAATAGCATAAGGACATCTGCGTTTTATGTCATCTTCGACACCCATTCTCTTTTTCCTCTGAAATCATAGCAGAGAGCTAGTAGCAGTAAAACCCTAGTAGAACAATGGTGAAGCTCACGGCTGATTTGATCTGGAAAAGTCCTCACTTCTTCAATGCCGTTAAGGAGCGAGAATTGGATCTACGAGGTAAACTTCTTCTCTTCCTCGTTACTTTTCTAAGGGATTTTGCAATTCTAAACGCATCTGCTCTCGCTAATCCTTTGTTCTTTCGGGTTCTTTTGTTGTTGCAGGTAACAAGATTCCTGTAATCGAAAACTTGGGTGCTACTGAGGTACTTTCGCTTTCTATACAGTTTCGTTTCCCTCTTTGAATTGGAGCAGTTTACTCCCTTGTCTTAGTTAGCTTCAGGAGTATTTGTGGCTATGCGTATTAGTTTACCTTTAAGAGTCAGTCTTTTCCATGGAATTCGTTCCACATATTTAGGCCAATGTAATTTGCAGGCTCTCTAGATTGTGCTATAGTGAATCTCCTTCGTATTGTGTATCTTCTGTTGAATTGATTTCACAGGCTTATTAATTAACTTGTGCTGTTTTCCTCACAGGACCAATTCGATACTATTGATCTCTCTGATAATGAGATCGTTAAGCTAGAAAACTTTCCACACCTCAACCGCTTAGGAACTCTGCTCATAAATAACAATCGGATCACCAGGATAAATCCTAATCTTGGAGGTAACGTCGTCCTCTTTGTGTGTGTTGAAATAAAATGTAGACTTGAAACATTGTTTGCTTTGTTGCTTAACTGTGATGTGTTTCGTTGTGTGGTTGTTCTTCTGCAGAGTTCCTACCGAAGCTTCACTCTTTGGTTCTTACAAATAACAGGCTTGTGAATTTGGTTGAAATCGATCCCCTTGCCTCCATCCCAAAGCTGCAGTACCTTAGTTTATTGGATAATAATATCACCAAGAAGCCAAACTATCGCCTTTATGTGATTCACAAGCTAAAGTCACTTCGAGTTTTGGATTTCATCAAAGTCAAAGACAAGGTGAGGACCTTTTTCTGTGCTTTCTCCACTGTCCATCTTTGCTTTACTCTAGAAAAGTTTCATCTAAGGAAGCTTGAGATACAGCGATAAAGAAGACCATTTACCTGACAATCATTGTCTGCTTACAGGAGCGAGCTGAAGCTGCGGCTTTGTTTTCATCTAAGGAAGCAGAAGAGGAGGTTAAGAAGGTTTCTCAGGAGGAGGTTCCAAAAGTGTCAGATACTACAGAGGAAACAGAGACTCCGAAAGTGGTGGCTCCAACAGCTGAGCAAATTTTGGCAATCAAGGTGCGATTATCTCTAATTTGGTCAAATGGATTTTTCAGCTGAGTAGCAATTTAAAAATATAGAAACCACAAAAGCTGTTGAAATAGGAGAGAAACTGGAAAGTAGATAGGACCAAGCCCATTCGTTAATTTGTTTGTCTTTTATACTAAGTAGGTCAAGGCTATGTCTTTGATATTAACTTCGGTTTGTTTAATTCCCTGATGTTCCAGGCTGCAATTATCAACTCCCAGACGATAGAAGAAATTGCCAGACTCGAACAGGTCCGTTGCCTTTTGGATTATATACGTGCCTGATGAGGTTGCTTTTTGTTGATTTTGACAGTCTTATTATGTTTTGGCTTGTGGAAAAATAGGCTTTGAAGTTTGGCCAGGTTCCTGCAGGCCTGTTAATTCCTGATACTACAAACAGCGAGAAGCCTGCATCTGGTGTTAATGACGGTTCTGGTCCTATGGAGGTACGGTTCTTATCATAAAATTTTACTCCTTGTTCTATGAACCTTAAATGATTTGAGTAGGTAAACATTGGGGTATGATCACTTCAAATACTCTGCGGGTACTGTGTAAAAGCTATGTGAGAACCAATGCTGTCATTTATCAAAACCGGGAACTTAAAAATAGTGTAAAATAGGCTATTTAAGTTCCTGTTTATTGTGCGCTTAAGTCCTTGTGAAGAAATTAGGATTACTACGCTATTTGTTTGCTTGACTGGTTGCTGGTTCTGTTTTGAATTCATAAAAATATTCTCATGGATGGTCTGTATACTAATATTCCTGCACTTATTGTGTCCTACAGGAATAGAAAGTGTGGCAGTTGCTCCTCCAAACGTGGTAGCTGCTGTTCGAATGCTCACAGCAAATTGTTTCTGACAAGCTTCATTCACTGTCCTGTAAGGTTTCTGTCACTTCCTTAGGAAACTGAAAACTACCTTGTGCTCAAGAGCATCTGTTTTTGAACCCTTGAAGAGAGTGGTAAAGAGGATTGTAGTCTACATTCGCAGAGGGCGAGAGAGAGGGTGCACACAGTATTTTGCTAATGCTCTTTTTCGCATTATAGTGTTTTCTCAAATTATTATGTAACTTATCGATCAATGTCATCATTTACTGAGAAACTAAATTAGATGAGAAATCACTTGACCAAGCGTAACAAATGTATTTCAATCTAGATGACTTGCCATATAACGGATCTCTTAATCAGGAACCACATTAACTTGAATAGATTTTCTTCGTAAACATCGAACAACGCCAAAGCAAAAATAAAGATAAGAGGATGATTGATGTTTTTCTAGGAGTAGTTGCATGACTCAGGAGCAATGCCTAGGCGGGAATTGGGGACGTCAAACAATATCCTTAAGTTCTGCTGTTGGAGATTGGCGATCACGTTTAGAACAGCGTTCGAGTTTCGCGGTATCCCGGCCATCGATAGACAAGCTTGCGTTCCCGCGCTGCTGTGGATGAGCGTATTCTCCATCGGCAGCACCAGGTCGAGAGACGTCATGTGCAGAGTTATCTTTGGCGCCATTTTCTTGTTCTCCGCCACGAAACACGTGTCGAACGCTCCCAACGCCGAGAACGGCCCTTTCACCTTCATTCGGAACAACAACGAAAAACTCGCTTAGAAGACTGAATCAATTTTCATTTTCAGAGAATTTTGTAGCTAACTGGAGATTTAGAAAAATTACCTGCTTCCTAAACTCGAGTCTAATGGCCTCGTAAACGGGTTGAATAAAACGGGTAATCACAGTGCCGGAATCGATGATCGTTCCGGCGCCGGTATTCGAATCAAACGACAAGTACGTAACGTTAATAGGCACGTGAACCGAACCGACACTAACTCCGGTGAGATTGACATAGTAAAGAGATGGCCGGCGAGGGTTACGGAGGAGTGGTGTGTATCTGATGGTACTGGGTTGACCCGCCGGGCCCAGTTGCAACGACCCGGAGAAGAAGTACGACCTGAAGCTAGGGAGGCAGTAGGAGAACACGCCAGAGTAAAGCGACGACGTTTGAGAGATTAACGACATGGGCCCGCGTCCGAGGCCCATTAGTCCTTGCGGAGGTAGAGAACTCCCGGAGGCGGAGGTGAGGCAGCCGAAGGAGAAATTGGGGATGACGTCAGAGGCTAGCGTCAGCGTATCTTGGACGAGTGAGGCGGAGAAGGACGAATCTCCGCCGTAGGAATGGTTGAAAGAGCAGACGGCCGGTGGTGAGGGTGAGGAGGATGGGCACGTGAGGCCACGTGCTTGGGTGCATTGTGCGGTGGAGCAAGAGACGGTGGAATAAGTGGAGGAGGCGTTCGGAGTGAAAGAAGAGGCAACTACAGAGGTGGAACAGCCGGAGCAGCCGGAACAAGGGAGCCAAATGGCGTCGCTGCTGGTGTCTAGGACCATGTAATTGATCTGAGGAGGAGTGCCAAAACTGGCTCGGACTACGTAGTTGCCCGTGTGGAGGAGGTTGTTAGCGGAGGCGACGGGGACGGAGGTTGGGTTGGGTTTTCCGGCGACGAGGCTGGAGAGGTAGTTGAGGCGAAGAGAGTCGGCGGAAGCCATGTGGAGGACGGTGTCAATAACGGAGCGGGAGATATGATTGGCTGCAAAAGGTGAGCATTTGGAGTTTATGGGGATGATTGAGAGATCGTCGGTTGCACATGGGTCACGTGTGGAGGTGGTGAGTGTGAACGACAAGAGAATGGCGGAGAAGAAGATGAAACGGAGAGTTGAGGAGGCCATGTTTTAGGTGATAATGTGATGTGTAGTGTAGTGTTGTACTAGAGATATGGTTTAGATAGTGTCGCATTTGCTATGTCCTTTATATAATGTGATGGCCAGAGAGATGTCTAAAAGTACGAAAATGTCCCTCACCGTCGTGGTATGATTGGTGGGATCCGGTCACGTTTATCTGTACTGGCAGTAATGCTTTGAATCATCCATTGTTTGCTAAGTTCACGTGCTTTCCTTTTGGATTTAAGTAGCTTTGTATATATTTTTAGTTTCTATAACATGTGTCATAAAACACAACTAATTAGCAAACCTAAATAGTTCACTACAAGTTGTAGTCTACAACGCGAACCAGAGTCTATACCACCTGTAACCTGTCAGCATTGTATCCGACAGATTAAGTTTAAGAACTTACTTATTGTTCAAGTCGATGATTTTGTCATTCACAAAAGTCTCTGGCTGCAAAGTGCTCAACGTTTATTTTGCAAATCTGAACATCCTCAAATGGTTCATCCACACTTTTTAAAGATGGAAAAAACAAATTTTGAAATATTCATTTTCTTGGATATTATTCATATACACTGTTTGAAATGGCAAAAGTATTTAGCAAAAAACTAACATAAAATTCCAAAAGTGGTGCACTGCTAATGAAAGAGAATAGTCTTCTAATTACTATAAGTCCGTCCGTGAGCCTCCATTATCGTCTTGCAAACTTGCAGTGACAAAACCCACGATTCCTATTTCGTCCTTTCCTCTAATTGTTCGTTCACGAGACCTTTTATCATACTGGAAAGTGTCATATTCTTTCTTTTATCCCTCCAATATAAAATGCATTTACATCTACGTCCAATCATATATTTCTTATCAATTTGCTAAATGACCCTTACACTATTGAGTACTGAGTGACCATTTTTACTATGTTACGACAAACTTGTAATATATGCTGCTACACTTGTAACTTGTAAGAAAATCTTGGATCTTTCGGGGCGGTAGAGGCTTGGCCGGTTGAGATTTTCCTGGCATGTATACTTTAATTCTCGCAAATAATATTTCCATGATTTTAAGATCAGCCAATGCCACAAAGCCAAGTTGGGCTATGTTCGAGCTAGCTTGCATTGACAACGAGTCCGTTCGGAATTGTGTGACTCGGTAAACTGTCTTTAATAGTGATTGATGCAACAACTGACATTATTCAATCCTCGCCATAAAAAAGTAAAAGCGATGAATACGGATACAACACAGTCACACAGATACTGAGCCTAAGACTGAGCCAATCAATGTTTTTGTAGCTCTTATTAATTTACATTCACACCAAAGCTTTGGAAAGTAAGCAGGTGGATTCTTGCCTAGCTTCCATAGCTTCAATAAAACTTCACATAATTAAAATATAAAAATATGGTTTTGGTATCCCTTTGCATATGTACATCTCCTGTGAATGAAAGATGATTTGATTCTCAGTTAAAGGCTACTTGTACCAGAAGAGAGAAACAGAGTATATGCAAACTTGTTTACCTGATTACTCCGTAGAATCCTCTTTGGGTTTAATGATCACAACAGGACAGTGCGCGTGGTTGGTGCAGTAGTTGCTTACACTTCCCAAAAACATCCTGTTTAAATAAAATAAAAATCAACACTTGCATTTGCTAAGGTTTTTCTTCATCATATATCATACATGTTGCGTGAGAGATAATATAACCTATCCAAACAAATAAGAATTGCAAATTCAGCAGCTTCAACTACGTCTACTTTAGGCGGATTTTTTTCCAATCCTAGCTTAGACCAATGTGAATCTAACTATAAACTATTAGGCCAAAGCTCTTTCATTTCTGAAGTAGAAGCAGATTCAAGTTCATACACAGACAAACAGGCAAAGATGAGGATCAATAGTCAGAATTTAAGGGACAACTATTTAGTTTGGAAACCAAGATCAATAGCCATGAACTTGATTTGCAGCTTCCATTAGTCTATCAACATAGCAAGAAACAGAGTAGAGGAAGAGATTGATACCTTTTAATGCGTCCATAAGCCCTTGAACCCATAACAAGCAGATCAGCCTGCAAATTCTCTACTGTTTCGCAGATCTTATACTTGGGATCCCCAACAACCACTTGGGTTTTCACATTCACCTGAGATTCGTAATTCATCACCACATCCTCAAATCAATACACTTACATAAACCACCAGTGAAATAAAAAATACTCTAATAGAAACTCGCTACTGGGTCTCGATTATGAGGCAAAGATCCACACTTTTAGACGGGAAATCAAGTACAGACTCACAGATTTATCAGCACAAATTTGACGAGCGTGTTCGAGGATGGTATCAGTGATCCGTTTCTGGTGTTGCTCGATTGCAGCGGTGAAAGCAGGAACCTCGAGACCACCTTCATCGCAATTTTTTAACAGAGTCAACTCAAACAAACACTATACACGATCATATAATACTTTCACACAATTAATTAGCAGACTCAACTGGGACCACCGAAAGGTATGGTTCCAGGGCTTACGCCGGCGGCGACAGAAGGAGAAGGCTGAACGTGGAGGAGGACGAATGATGAATCCGGAGAAGACGATGAGAGCTTAAGGTTGTCCAGAGCCCACCTCAGAGCTTCCATACTCACCTCGCTTCCATCCACCGCCACGACAACGCAAGTCAAGCTTCCTGAGACATCCATGACTTTTTTTTCCTTTTTCAAATTCAATCTCTCTAGAACTTCTCTGAGCTAACGACGTTTCAGTTTTGTGATTCAACTCAGGAGAGAGACGACGATGGCGATCACGTCTCTGCTTTTTAAAATTTCACGGCGGACAAAAAGGGCATATCGGTCATTTCTGGGGTAAATAATGTAATTAAATTAGGACGAAGAACTGTGGTATAAATATAGTAAGTTACCTCCGCGCGTGGGGCTCAGACGCGCTGGCATTCGTTGTTTGACTTTGTTTCATTTTGTGCGTCTCTTCTCTCTCTCACTCGACCCCGCGATTTTCTGATCGCCAATCTCCGGTTTGTGTTGTCTGTTTCTCCCGGCGAGAGTTTCCTAGCGATGAAGAAAAACACTGAAGTCTTCGATTTCAATGAAGAGGACGAGCTCGCTGAGTCTACTGCTGGAAAGTTGTTGGAAAAATTCGCAAACCCTAGTCCGTCCAATTCTCCGGCTCTGCAACGCCAACGCATCCAAAGCTGTAAGTCGCTGCTCTTCTTCGCTCTTAAACGTCACACGGCGATATAAATTTCTCCCCCCAGTTTCAATTCCGAAAGAAATTTGGGAACACTGAGTTAGAAATTGTAATCAATTTAATTTTTCGTACTAGTGTCAAATTGAATGAACATTGCTTTGTTTCTGGAGTATGTAAGAGATGGTGATGCTATATGCTGTTGTGATACTACAGTTTTTCGTAAGCAATATAGTGATGATTGTACTATTTTTGTTTTTTTATTGATTTGTGCCATTTTCTTAGCGAGACTTAGAAGCAAACAATTTGGTTGTGTACATGTTTGTATCATATACGGATGCTAATGGACATGGTTAATTGCTGTCAGTTTGCCAGGACAAACGTGTTCATAAAGAAGAAATGGAAGGCACAAGCTGTGCAGAGGCTGCTACTCCTATAGCCGATCATCTTTGTGAAGATGCTCCGACTTTAGTAACAGAAGCTGATGAGTCAACCAGAGACCATTTGAGTACAGATGTAGATCAAGATAATGATGGAGTGATATTTGGTTTGAATACCGAAGACCATGCAAAAGAAACAGATGTGGATCACGGTAATCATGGACTGATGTTTAATTTGAGTACTGAAGACCACATAGAAGAAACAGATGTAGATCATGGACTGGAAAGTTTCTCTTGCCAGCCAGACGCTAAAAGTTTCTACGCTGAGACGTCATCATACAGTCAACCGCAGCTAAGATCACCCTTTTCAGATTCTTCATCCAGTGTATGTAATTCTATCTTGTGTTGCTTATCTTTTGTATGCTAAATAGCCTCTAAATTTTTTAACTTGCATTTTTGAATCTCTCCACATTAGGAGGAGGAGGAGCAGAACGATATGATGTCAGCTATTGATGAAAGCTTGAGTGATCGATCAGAATTGAGCCAGGATTCTGATTCAGAAAGTGATGAAGGTACATGCAACAGCTTTTAATAGATTTCCTTATAAGTATGCTTTGATGTCCTCCTTTGTCTAACTGGATATTGATTTGGATGTTATATGCACCAGAAGATTGGATGGCTGAACACTGCTTCGATGATATGGAAAAGGTAACGAGTTTTCTAGTTTCTTAACCAATGGCTTTAAATCTGCGGCCAGAATTTCTTAAGCCTTTATAGTTTATTGCAATCTTGTGTGGTTGCAAAAAGATAGTTAATACTGATCCTATTTTTTTTTTTTTTTTTTTTTTTATATTAACTAAGGATACCTTTTATTGATCCTGAATGTACAAAGTAAGAGTTACAGTTTGTGAAGTGACGTTTTCCACTTTGCAGATTGACAGAAGCACGGCTGTTATCATGATTCCAGAGTATGTTGTACTTAAGGATATGCCTTGTGCTGCATCTCTGGTAATCTTTTCAAGCAATGGCGTCAAAATAAAGAGTTATCATGAAAATAATGAAGAAACCCCATTCTCTTGTGAATTTGGAGTTGAAGATATAGTTAGTATTCAAAACAACTGGTACCAAAATGTGAGTTTTTCATCTATGTTGTGCTTCCATTTTGAAATATACTTTATGCGCTCATTTCCAATTTTATATATGAACCTCTCTCAAATTGACAATTTTGGCTGCCCACTTTCGTAGATTGGATTGATCATTCTCAAAATCCGAGTTCTATTGAAAGATGAAGAAGGCCATGAAGATATGCAACAACACACCACAGGTATGCTTAGTTATTATATATACGCACACCATTTGGGTTATCCTGTATGTTTCTTGCAACAAGTTATCTTGTCATAATCCTACCAATAAAATTTAGTGTTAAGTCATCTTAGGCACGTGATACTGTATATTGGGGGCATTTTAGTTATGGCAAGAGTCATAAGAGAGATGTTTATTTAATTTTTACTTCTGCAAAAACCAAACAATGGGTTTTTTCAACTATTTCCCACACAAGGGGATACCTTTTCTAACTTTTTATATTCTTCTTGTGGTTTTTCCAGACATCGAGGAGTTAAAGTTTGCTGTTAAAGAACTCAATTGGCCTGAGAAGCAACAAAAAATTAACTCGCTTCATGTGAAATACCCGGCTGTATGGAATGCTGACCTCACGTAAGCTTCTTATATTACAAAATGCTAATTGGAAAACACATTTTTTCTGCCACTTTCATTTGGAATATGTAATTGCATACTCTGATGATGAAAGATTATTTGCTGAATAGCAGAGCTCTGGGAAATTGTTGACAATGAGTACGAATGAAGGACCTAATTCTAGTCAGGAAATTCAACTTTTGTAAACAAAACCTCAAATAAAAAGCAAAATGCATATAAAAAGAAATACTTACACTTAATGAGGGATATAGCTGGACCGATTCTTTAGAAAAGTGACTCTAGGCTCATATTTAGTTTTGGTTACAGTTTGAGCACTTTGGTGACGTTTTTCTGTTCCAAAAATCATCCCATAACCGTTTCTTTATTGTAGTGATGACGTGGAAGTATCAGGGGACAACTTGCATCAGAAGAAGCGTTATTTTCCACGGTAAGAGTGCTCTATAGGACCTGTATTTATGTCCTTTTGGAATCAGATGTTGTCTTCTGTTCTACTTTTGGGGTACAAATTTCCAAAGTACCTCACTACTTATACTTTACGGCTCTCTGAAGTATGTAAATGAACATGTGCATTTCGTCTTAGGTAGAATTAGGTTTTTTAGCAGTATGCAAGTTTGTGCGTGGAAGAAATGAAGGCTTAGCTTAAGCATCATACATGAGTTATGCCATAAGAGATGAGTGATATGTAGAAGTGATATATTTCTTAGGATATGTAGTATGTGGTACTCTAATGCTCATTTGTGCTAATGTAATGTTTTCTTTCAAGCGTTTTTATCTATATCTTGCACCTTATGGCATGCTATCTGTTGTATGTATCTCCAGTCTTATTTCAAGCACTGGGAAATAGCATTTTCATATTAAACTGCTAGTTTTCTGTCCTTTTCAGATTTGATGAACCATTTGAGGATGTTATCTATCCAAAGGGAGACCCAGATGCTGTTTCCATTTGCAATAGAGATGTTGAGCTCTTGCAGCCAGAGACTTTTGTGAATGACACTATCATTGACTTCTATATTAAGTAAGTTCTTAAACTTACTTTCTCTGATGCACAGATTACTGGTGGTATATACTTTGGCATGCAGTAGTTAACTATTTGGGTTTGCTATTAAGTTTTTTGTTTACGAACATGGTTTTGGACATTTATCTCTCTCACTGGGTTGATGGTCTTAGTATAATTCACAATTTTTACATGTGCAGGTCCAGTCATATTGAAAACTTCTTGTAATGCTAAAACTTATTTGATTAGATGCAGTATTAACAAATCACATCTAACTTTCGGGTGTATTCTTCTATTGTTTGCAGTTATTTGAAGAATCAGATTCAACCGGAGGAAAAACATAGATTTCATTTCTTTAACAGCTTTTTCTTCCGGAAACTTGCTGATCTCGACAAAGATCCATCAAGTATAGCAGATGGAAAGGCTGCTTTTCTACGTGTCCGGAAGTGGACAAGGAAGGTGGACATGTTTGGGAAGGACTACGTTTTTGTGCCGGTGAACTTCAAGTATGAAAACTTTATGGTACTTCTCTTTATGTTACATGTATATGAGTTCTAAAGCTGACATTGCTATATGTTAATGACAGTCTTCACTGGAGTTTAATAGTCATATGTCACCCTGGTGAAGTGGCTAATTGTACAGGTAATGTCATATGCTTCTTTATTTATTACGATTACGCGTCTTAATCATTCAGACAATGTTTTTATTATTATGAATCGTATGACAGATATAGACTTGGATGACTCTACAAAAGTACCATGCATATTACATATGGATTCTATAAAAGGGAGCCATGCAGGGCTTAAGAATCTAGTCCAAAGGTATGTTCGTCCTCTAATCTCTACCCACTTCTGATTTTGGCAGCATTAAATATATGTCACCTGTTTACGTTTCTAACTTGCCCAAAGTGATGATAATACTTTCCTGATTCATTGAGTAAATATCTTGTAGCTCCATGATCTGATCCTTTTGAATCAAGTGTGGAACTATATTCATGCTCAAGTTTTAAGCTGGGTAGTGCAAGTATTTGATAACAACATTTTGCTGCTTTTAGTTACTTGTGCGAGGAGTGGAAGGAGAGGCATAAGGATACATCGGATGATATTTCTTCCAGATTCATGAATTTGCGGTTTGTATCACTTGAGGTGTGGCCTCTAGTCTTTCTATATTTTTCTATTCCCAGACCAGATAGCAAGGAATATGAGAAAACCACTTTAACGTTCTTTCTTTGTTGTGAAACCCCTTTTTTCCTGTTAACTAATTGAAATTTTTTCTGCTGTGAATGATAGTTGATGTAATTTCTGATCTGCTCTTTCTATTTCAGTTGCCACAGCAGCAAAACTCATTTGATTGTGGCCTCTTTCTGCTGCACTATTTGGAGCTATTTCTTGCCGAAGCTCCCGATAATTTTAGTCCTTTCAAGATATATAATGCTTCCAACTTCGTAAGTCTATTTTCTAATTGCTACCGCTCATGTATTACTGTAGTTCATAGAAGGGTAAATAGATCAGTTACGCCTCATACATTTGATTCGTGTATAGTTTCTTTTCCAAAATGAATCTTTTCATAAATAACCAGCTTGTCTGTCTGTTATCGGTTACTTGCAATTATGTTTCCCATTTGTATCTATTTTGGTTTAGTGTACAAGTTGTCTCTTACCAGCCTAATCAGGAGAGAATCTTCTGCTTGCTTCCTGATATCATGAGTCGGTTCGAACGAGTCAAAACATATAGTGTAGTTTTTTTCATGGAAGTTGAAGTCCTTTACTCTAAGAACAGCTGGGTCTGTATTCTAATCAGTCTCTTTATCTGCTGATCATGCATTTTCTATGATTTTCTCAGCTTTATCTGAACTGGTTTCCTCCTGCCGAGGCTTCATTGAAGCGTACTCTGATTCAGAAGTTAATTTTTGAACTCCTTGAAAACCGTTCACGGGAAGTTAGGAACGAACAGGACCAGTCCTGTGAAAGTCCAGTGGCGGCTGATAATAACGATACGGGGATCGAGGTTCTTTCGGAGAGATGCAGCCCCTTGAGAGACTGTAACGGGAATATGACACAGACGGAAGACGATCAAGGAATCGAAATGACTCTGCTTGAAAGATCTTCCATGAGGAACATGCAGGTTGCTAATGATTCCGGTATGGTTCTAAGGGATTTATTCGACTCAGGAGCCAACAACACAGGATCGTTACTTGGACAACTACAAGAAACATTCGAGGAACCATCTACGTTTTATCATCTTAGTAACGACTCATTGCCAAGAGAGGTACTAAAATGAAAGCAAGCTAAATTATCAAATATCCTTATTTCCGACACGTAAATTAACATTTTAATTTGTTTGTCTATGTATTGAGCAGCAAGTAGAGATGGAAGGTGATGATCAGTTTATGAGTCTCAACTCTGGAGAGGGAAACTTTCAACGCATCGCTGGAGCTGCATCTACGTCATCCTTTTCATGGAACCTTGATATTACGCCGGAGCAGAAAGAAGATGAGGTTGATTCGTTATCTGAAACTTCAAAAAGCATATCTAATGATTCAGAAGATTTCGGTATCATAGAAGACAAGCCAATGGAAGACATTCACGAAGAAGAAACCGGTGAGAGTCCACCAAGAGAGACGGTCTCTGCAACCGTGGGATCTAACACTGAGAACAAAGAGGTCGTTTCTGCTCACGACGAGCTCGTGGGTCCATCGAGTCAAGATGACGTAGACGAGGAGAAACCATTGGAGCTTGATCTTGGAATTGGGGACAAGACGAGTGAAGATCTTGGGGATGATTGTGATGAGAAGGAGAAGGAGAGGGAGCCAATGGAGGAAGAAGATGAGAAGCGAGCTGCAAAACGGCCAAGGCTATCTTCCACAGACGAAGTTGAGGAGATGGAGTAATAGAGATTGTGATATGTATAACTCGTGGGTCTTTTGTTGGTTATTTAGACTTTGGGGTAGAAAATGTTTATGTTCGTTGTAGAAAAATAATGTCTTTCATCGCTGCTTTTTTATGTGAAATGTCAATGCGGTTTTCTTACTTGTGGTTCTTCTGCGTAATATATCTTTTAGTAATTCATACCTTGACAGACAAGCCAGAGCCATTTCTTTGATTCATGCTAATGTATTTGCATAACACTTGTGATGGTTCGTTCTCGTTTGGGCTGTATCTTTTATTTTGGGCTGTTTTGTCGGTTATTAGGCTTATTTACTCACTTTACAAAGTAAAAAGATTTATTCAAACTAAATTACAGGAAATCTAAGGAGATCCATCAATGAAGAAGGCAGAAACTGCTCTCGCTGCGGCGGAGAAGAGGCAAGTCTCCTCTTCCGACTCTGAAACCGACAGGAAAGATCCAGCTGTGAAACCAGAACCAGTGGCTGATTCGGATCGCCATGTCACAGATGTTTCAACGGAGAGAAAAGATCCGGTTGTGAAACCAGAACACACCACTATGGAACGAGTTTGGAGTGACGAAGAGGAGATAGCGGTTTTACAGAGCCTTATGGATTACGAAACCGTGACTGGGATTGTTTTCCACGCTGATCATGAGGCGGTTTATCAGTGGGTGAAGAAATCTCTTACCTTTGATATTACTATGTCACAATTCCTTTATAAGACTAGCAAGTTAGCTGACACTTATCATCTTAATGGGAAGGAGATGGAAACATTTGCCCGACCTCATCATCGCAAGTGCTTTGATATCTCAAACTATCTTTGGGGACCTAAGCGAAGGTTTTCCAAAATACACGCTGCTTATCTTACGGAAAGACAACTAGAAGACGACCTACCGGTAGCTGCTTATATTGCGCAAGGAAACATAGAAGAGGACCTAGCGGAGGAAGAAGAAGAAGAAGAAGATGAAGCTGCCTGAAGCATTTCGATCAGAAGCCCTTTAACTCGAGCTCTTTTTTTTTCTTTCTCGTTTCTGTTTTCAGTTGAAATTTAATTGCATGTTTTTCTTTAGACTGGCTATTCTTTCTCTTGTGAATTGTGATGGTCTAAATAAGTTATCTACAAGCAGACTAAAGAAGTTCACTATAGGTTTGTGTTTTGGTAAGTTTCCTTTTTCCAATTGGTTTTTTGGGTGTTTTTCCTTTTGGCATTAAGTTGTATTCCTATATAAAGGAACCTTAACCTCCAAGAGAGACTAGGCTCAAGAGAGATGTCTGATTCGGATCGCCATGTCAACAATCTCAAGAGAGATGTCTCTACGGATGTGAAGAGCTCTTCGGAGGAAAAGAGTGGTGGTGGAGAAGAGACGAAGAGGATCACTATGAAACATGTTTGGAGTGACGAGGATGAGATTGCGCTTTTACAAGGGCTTATGGATTACGAAACGGTGAATAAAGAAGTTTATTTCGCTGACCCTGATGCGCTTCTTCATATGGTGAAGAGAACTCTTAGCTTTGATGTGACCAAGTGTGAATTCTTTGGAAAGCTTCTGAAATTAAGACGCACATATCATCCTAAGGGACGGAGGATGGTAACAGAGGAACCGACTTTTGCCGGACCTCATGATCGCAAGTGTTATGATATGGCCAACACTCTTTGGGGACCTAAGCGATTGCATAACGAACTAGACATTGCTCATTTTGCACGAAGACGACGACAAGAGATCCAAGAGAGCCAAGAGAGCCGTGGCATGTTTTAAGTTTGTTTTGTTTTCTATTGGAATTTAACTACTCTATGTTTTTTCTTCAGGCTCTCTTGTCATGATTGTCTGAATAAGTTATCAATAAATCATGTTTTAAGTTTGTTTTGTTTTCTATTGAAATTTAACTACTCTTATGTTTTTTTCTTCAGACTCTCTTGTCATGATTGTCTGAATAAGTTATCAATAAATCATATTTCATAATCCCATGTATTCAGACAGCTATATAAGGTATCTGCTATCTCCACCTATCTATATAAACAGAGTTGGTTGCAAAGCTCTTGTGTATATATTATCCAGAGACTCTGAGGTTGAAAACAAGAAGTTTGCATGACATAGTGTTTTCTCTTAGCGTAAACGTTTGATTGAATTGCTTCTTTATGCCTTTTGAAGGGACAAAGTAATTTAGTTGGTATATCTCAAGGTAAGTTATGCTTACTGCTGTCGCATAATAACTTTTGTAATAATTAAAAAGGAAAAACTGGACCATTCTTTAGACAAAGACACTATAGGTCTAGGCCTAGGAAATTAGGCTCATATCTAGATTTGGGTTTTGATGATTTTCCTTTTTCTAATTGGTCTTTGGGTGTTTTTGCTTTTACCAATTAAGTTGTATTCCTATATATAAAGGAACCTTGATCTCCAAGGGAGACTAGGGTTAAAAGATGAAGCTTAGCTAAACAAATCCAAGGAGATCCATCCCTGACGAAGGCAGAAACTGCTTTCGCTGCGGCGGAGAAGAGGCAAGTCGACATGAAAGATCCGGGTGTGAAACCAGAACCAGTGGCTGATTCGGATCGCCATGTCACAGATGTTCCAACGGATGTGAAGAGCGAGAGAAAAGATCCGGTTGTGACTGAAGCCAGGAGCGGACGAGTTTGGAGTGACGAAGAGGAGATAGCGGCTTTACAGAGCCTTATGGATTACGAAACCGTGACTGGGATTGTTTTCCACGCTGATCCTGAGGCGCTTTATCAGTGGGTGAAGAAATCTATTGGCTTTGATGTTGGTAAGTATGAGTTCCTTGATAAGATTGCGGATCTAGCTCGCACTTATCATCTTAATGGGAAGGAGATGGTAACATTTTCCGGACCTCATGATCGCAAGTGCTATGATTTGACAAACTTTCTTTGTGGACCTAAGCGACAGTTTTCCAAACTAGAGGCTGCTTTTGTTGCACAAAGACAACTAGAAGAGTTGTTCGTAGCAGAGGAAGAAGAAGAAGATGAAGATGAAGATGAAGATGAAGCTGCCTGAAGCATTTCGATCATAACCCTTTGACTTGGCCTTCTTTTTTTGTTCATTCACTGATTTCTATTGCATATTGGAATCGAATTAGTTTCATTTTGTTATTCTATAACAATAATGCAATGTGACAATCTGTTTTAATTTCTTTCTGTTGCAAACCAGTTGATAAAAGTTTTATATAGTCATTTATAGTAAAACAATCAATCAATACCTTTTTAAACAAGAAAAGAAAAAACAATATACCAGACTTTGGTTTTGTAGTTGAAACCCACAACCAGAAGGAGGAAACATTATTATTAAAGTCATAAAGAAAGAATCTACGAGAGAGGAGAAAACAAAAAACCTAAAGAATTTGAGAGGATGCGTACCATTCAAGAAACTCCTCTGTTTCTGTATTATCATTAAAAACGAAAAACCATGTTGCAGAGAGCAGCAAGCAATGCATATTCATGGTGGTGGGCCAGCCACATACGCACAAAACAATCCAAATGGCTCGAACACAATCTCCAAGGTACCTTTTTCCTTCATTTCTTCACGGTCACGTAACCTAGAAACAGAGAATAAATAAAAAATTTGACTTATTTCTCAACTTTTCCTTTAGATATGGAGGATAAGGTACACTACACACTCAAGATCATAAACGAAGATGGAGACACTTTTGCAAAAAGGGCGGAGATGTATTACCGTAAAAGGCCAGAGATTGTCAACTTCGTGGAGGAAGCCTTTCGATCTTACCGCGCTTTAGCTGAACGCTACGATCATCTCTCCACTGAGCTTCAAAGTGCCAACCACATGATCGCTACTGCTTTCCCTGAACATGTTCAGTTTCCTCTTGCTGATGATGACGACGACGACGATGATGATGTTGATGGTGATGACAAACCACCTAAGCATCTTCATCTTATTCCCACTGGAACTAATATCCCTGAGATTCCCAAGAAAGAGTTCAAGAGCCAATCTCTCATGATGTTATCGAGAAAGGAGACTGGTGATACTAAAACTTTGACGATATCCTCTTCTGTATTGGCAAGTTCTGGATTGAGTAAAGAAGAGGCAATGGAGGAGATTGATAAGATCCATAAAGGGATCTTGGTGCTGCAGACAGAGAAGGAGTTTGTGAGGAGCTCTTATGAGCAGTCTTATGATAGGTATTGGAGTTTGGAGAATGAGGTTGTGGAAATGCACAAGAGAGTTTGTAGTTTACAAGATGAGTTTGGTGTTGGTGCTGAGATCGAAGATGGTGAAGCTAGGACGCTTGTGGCGAGCGCGGCTCTTAGCTCCTGTAAAGAGACCATTGCTAAGCTTGAGGAGACGCAGAAGCGATTCGCTCAAGATGCAGAGATTGAGAAGGAAAGGATTGATACTGCTACAGAGAAGTTTGAAGCACTGAGGAACAAGTTTGAGATTAAGGTAGAAAAAGAAGAAGAAGAAGACAAGAAAGCTTTGTCTGGTCAAGAATCGAGTCATGATGAATCTGCGAATGATGATTTGAATGAGAAGCTGAGTAATGTGGAGTTTGCAGAGAAGATAGATGAGCTTGTGGAGAAAGTGGTTTCTTTGGAGACAACAGCTTCGTCTCATACAGCATTGGTGAAGACATTAAGGTCAGAGACTGATGGGTTACATGAACATATCCGTGGCGTTGAGGAAGACAAGGCATGTCTTGTTTCAGACTCCATAGATATGAAGAAACGAATCACGGCGCTTGAAGATGAGCTGAGCAAAGTTAGAAACCTCTTCCAAAGAGTGGAAGAACAGAACAAGAATCTTGAAAAGCATTTAAGCGAAGCTAATAGCACAGCTCAGGGCTTATCTGGAAGTTACAGCAAGTCAAAATGGATGAAGATGAGACAGAGGTAAAGGGTTCAGAGGAAATCAAAGAGGCCATTGTAGTGAAACATAGTAGAGATCAATCAGAGACACAAGACTCTTGTGGTGGTTCATCAGAAACAGAGAGCACATGTTTCGGCACAGAGGCGGAAGATGAAGAAGGGAGAAACTGGAGGCAGTTGTTACCTGCAGATGGCATGGAGGATAGAGAGAAGGTTCTACTGGACGAATACACATCAGTGCTAAGAGACTACAGAGAAGTGAAGAGAAAGTTGAGTGAAGTTGAGAAGAAGAACCGTGACGGCTTCTTTGAGCTGGCATTGCAGCTGACAGAGCTCAAGAATGCTGTTTCTTGCGAAGACGTGGAGTTCCATTTGTCACGCCAGAAACCAGTAGAAAGAAACCGGTCTGAAAGTGTGAGCGTTTCTCATAGCTCTAGCTCTTCAATATCCATGGCACCACATCAGCAAGGAGAAGAAGACTTGAAGAGAACAAAGGAAGACGAGGTTAAGGTGAAATCTGCAGATACTCATGACACCTTAAGAAAGAAGATCCCAACTGTGGAAGAGAAGGTGCGTGGAGATATTGACGCGGTGCTGGAGGAGAACATCGAGTTCTGGTTGAGATTCAGCACATCTGTTCACCAGATAAAGAAGTACCAGACAGCTGTTCAAGACCTGAAAGCAGAGCTGTCGAAACTGAGAGATAGTAACGGTGCGGTTGCATCAGAGGCAAAGCCAATATACAGACACCTTAGAGAGATTCGAACAGAGCTGCAGTTATGGCTAGAGAACAGTGCGATTCTGAGAGACGAACTCGAGGGAAGGTACGCAACACTTTGCAACATCAAAGACGAAGTTTCAAGGGTCACGTCTCAATCGAGTGGGACTAAAGTAAGCGATGCAGAGATGAGCGGTTACCAGGCTGCGAAGTTCCATGGGGAGTTACTCAACATGAAACAGGAGAACAAAAGGGTCTTCAACGAACTTCAAGCAGGGCTTGAGGGTGCAAGAGCTCTGAGAACTGACGTGGAGAGAGTTGTATGCAAACTAGAAGAGGATCTCGGGATCTTGAACGCGACGACGGCGGCTACGAGGACTGTGAGCAAGAGCTCGGCATCATCATCGCCTCGGAAGCCTAGGATTCCACTAAGGTCGTTCTTGTTTGGTGTCAAGCTGAAGAAGTATAAACAACCGAAGCAAAACTCATCAATCTTCGCTTGTGTCAGTCCAGCTCCAGCTCTGCAGAAACAGTGTAGCTACATTGTCCCACCACCTGTAAAGCGACCTGAGTTTTAAGTCCACAAAAGAGTCAAATCTAACTGTATGTTGTAGCCTTTGAAGATTGTATAAGTGTGTGAGATTTATATTAATTAGTGCCATGTTACTTTACATATTATTTCTTCAGTCTTCTAATTAAAATTACAAATGAAAAAGCTCTAAACTAAAAAAAGCTCTAAAATCAGACAATTCTGTCAGAGAAGTGAACTAAACACCCTGTCCGGTCCCTGCCACAGTTTCAACCTCTGGAGGGTTTCTGCATACGTTACTCACTTTGATCACCGAACAAACCGTTGGAGAAAAGAGAAAAGAAGTCAATTTAGGACGAAGTAAGAGAGATGCATACCTTTGTAATAGAGTGGCAGCGTCTCCTTCAGTGATCGTTTTCTTCATGATTTTGCTTCTACTATCAACCATCCTCGTATTTAATCAAAGTATCACATGCTACGATGAGCAATTCTGCAGAGAAATTTCCGCTTGAAGTCAATTTCACAAAAAAAATTAGAATGAGAGAGGTAACTGGAAAATTATGAGAGCTAGACGAAGTGAGCACAACGATGCTGGGAGTGGGGAAGGAAACCGATAAGACGATCGGAGAAGATGGTTGCGCGCGACTGAGAGACTGTTGAAGCGCGTGGAGCTCACGAATGCGTTTAAGGAAGAGGAAAAAGGAGCAAAACGCGATATTTCGGCGTTCCATTTAATTAAAAAAAAAAAAGAGAGAGAGAAAAAAAAAGTGTCCAGGGAATAGGGTTTTTGCTTGGTGAAGCGCTTAAATCATCTCTCTCGCCTTTTTAGCAGCATCACGCGGTGCCTCTCTGGGTGGTCCGACGAGCATTATTCTCGTTCGCGGTGCCCTACTCGACAATCTCCATCTCTGCAACTACATTATTCTCGAGAAAATGACCACGAATGAAGTTCCCTCTGGTAAATTACCCCTTTCGTCTCCATCTATCTTTGTTTCTGCTGATGTCTTCTTTCCGGGTTTTAACTTTAAGCAAATCATGTTTTTGTCGATTCCCTTCCTTCCTGAGAAATTGAATTGTAGTTTGAATTAGTTAAAAAGTGTATGTTTTAAGCATAGATCTCTCTGACAAAAGCTTTCGAATTTCGCAATTTCCATCCTTTCCATAGGGGTCGGAAAGTTTGGCTTTGTTTTCAGCTCTCAATGAACTAAGAAAAGGCTAGTTAGTATATTGGTACTTCTTCAGACTGTGATTGGTCATATGTGAGAGTATGCAAAGTTCACTCTTTTGAGGAGATGATTTATTGACTCAATTTGTAGAAATGTGGAAGCTCGGTTGCAAGTTAAATATGTCAATTGAATAAGTTCAGTTTCTTTGAGAAAGTCGTAAGCTTTAAGCGATTCGTTCACTGTTTGTCCATGTATTCGTTGTGATTTTCATCACTGTTTCTGTTTTATCTGATAGGGTAAAGTTTGAATGACTGATACTTCCTCTTTACTAGCGAAACTATGAATCTTCCGTCTCATTTTGAAGCTTTTTTTGATGCTCAGGTGTTTCGAATTGCTATGTGTTCAAAAGCCGGCTGCAGGAATATGCTCAGAAATACAAGCTACAGACTCCTATATATGACACTGTCAAAGAAGGCCCTTCCCACAAGTCTTTCTTTCAGTCGACAGTAATAGTCGACGGTGTCAGGTATAGGTCGTTGCCTGGATTCTTCAATCGCAAGGCTGCAGAGCAATCAGCTGCAGAGGTTGCTCTCCGGGAATTAGCTAAATCCAGTGACCTAACCCAATGTGTTTCACCGCCTGTTGTAAGTACCTCACCGTTCCTATCTTGTGTGATTCTAATTGTTAAGTCTGGTGCATAATTATTGTAACTAAGCCTAGAGGTTTAGCTGTGAATTGTACATTTAGTTTGAATCTTATCAGATTCATAGGCTCCTTTTTTATGTTATGTGCATTTGGCTAACTTGGAATGGCTTATTTAATGCAGCACGAAACGGGGTTATGCAAGAATCTTCTTCAAGAGTACGCTCAAAAGATGAACTACGCGATTCCAGTGTATCAGTGCCAAAGGAGTGAAACTATTGGGAGAGGTCTACATTTCACATGTACTGTAGACGTTGGAGGCATCAAGTACACAGGAGCTGCGACAAAAACTAAAAGAGAAGCTGAGATAAGCGCCGGGAGAACCGCTCTCGTAGCGATCCAGTCAGAATCTAAAATGAACCTTGACGACTACAACACTGAGCTTACTGTAGTTCCTTTTGAGAAGAAGCCAGTGGAGGCAGCAATCCCGGTGAAAGAAACCACCAAGACTCCAAAAGCCATGAAGGCAAAGTTCAAGAAGAAGGCTCGGAAAGGAAAGCGGTTTGTAGCAAAGGATTGTGAAGATACTATCGTCCCTCCTCAACCTCGTGAAGATATCGTCGTCCCTCCTCAACCGACCGAGCATTGTGAAAACGTTAAGGCAGAGAATGTTGAGACGACGATAAAACTGGAACCTTCTTCGTGCATGAACGGGTTTAAGGAGGCAGCGTTTGAGAGTGTGGAGACGGAAGCAAGCCAAGCGTAACTGTCTGAAGATGAGTTTGTTATGTAGCCAAATTTATATACTTGCTGATTCATGTTGACAGGTTGAAGAGAAGTAATATTTGAACGGAACCTATAATAGATGTAATAGTATTTGGTAATTGGTCTGTTGAGTTATTCAAGAGAAAGATTTATAATAGTTTCTTTGTTTCTTTGAACAGATTCATCACCTTTACAACCACACTGCTTTCACTCTCTATAAGCCTTTTCGATTGGGTGTTAGGAAAATGCCGTATTGGGTGTAATTTGTGTATTTGTGTTAGTTTAGAGCTAAATCCAAATAAGTTTAACAATACAGGGGTTTATTTTAATTAATAAGAAGCCTTTGTCAAATCAGTTTGACCAAATGGGTAATATGTGCAAATAAGCCCATATTTCTCACCCATAAGGCCCATTTAAGAAAACCCTAATTTTGAGACATAAATAAACACTGTCCTCTCACATTTCCTCTCTTCGGCGATCTAAGTTCAGGAAAAATGCCGGCTGGTCATGGAGTCCGGGCGAGAACGAGGGATCTGTTCGCGAGGCCGTTCAGGAAGAAGGGTTACATTCCTCTATCGACGTACCTGAGGACCTTCAAGGTCGGCGACTACGTCGATGTTAAAGTGAATGGTGCGATCCACAAGGGTATGCCTCACAAGTTCTACCATGGTCGTACCGGCCGAATCTGGAACGTCACCAAACGCGCCGTCGGTGTCGAAGTCAACAAACAGGTCTGTTGAACTCACATCTCTTATAAACCTTTGATCTCTCAGCTACTTTAGAGCTTGTTAGAGTTCTTATCCTGATTCTGACAGTCTGAAATGAATTTGGTGTGGACCGTCTTGTGTTATATAAATTGTGCTGAATCATAGAATGTAAATCTCGTCCTTTACTGCAATTCTGCTAAGGTTTTGAGCTTTATACTTTTATAGGCCTCATGTTCTTTGTGCTGATCTGAAAATTGATTACTTAGGTTTCGTTTAGTGTTGAGCCTTGACATTCGTTGTGTTGCATCGTATGGAGTGTGTCAAATGTATTTTCGCTTATGATTTATCCTCAATTTGCATCAATTTGGTTGAATGTTCTTCGATTATTGATGATTGAAATGTTGGTATGTTTGGTTTCACCATGACTAATGATGCAATTCTGGGGTTGTGTTTCAGATTGGGAACAGGATCATAAGGAAGAGGATCCATGTGCGTGTGGAGCATGTGCAGCAGTCGAGATGCGAAGAGGAGTTCATTCTGAGGAAGAAGAACAATGACGTGCTCAAGGCTGCAGCCAAAGCCAAGGGTGAGACCATCAGCACCAAGAGACAGCCCAAAGGCCCCAAACCTGGTTTCATGGTTGAAGGCATGACCTTGGAAACCGTCACTCCCATCCCTTACGACGTCGTCAACGATCTCAAAGGAGGCTATTAGTTCTACTTTTTTCCAGTGTTTTCCTCAAGACTTTTTGGCAGTTATTTTCTCGCTTATTTGTGTTTCTCTCTACCTTTGTCTTAGCTACAAGTTTTATGTTACTAAAACTTTGTCTCGTTTATAACTATCAGTTTCTCTCTGCTCTTCTGTTACCGTTTCAAAGTATTACGATCTCTATGTAGTCTTATACAATTAGAGCGTGTATCTAACCACACAACAATGCTGATGCCCAATGGCAAGGCTTCTGTTTCAGCGATCCCTGATTCGTTTCACATTGTGAACGCACTGAACCGAAAAATCGAACATTAATTGCTTAGCCGAATCCCGGTGCCTTGAAAACCGGCTTTCTGGTTTATTGTCGTCGACTTTCTTTCTTCTTTGCCTCTACTCTCACTGTTTTCAGAGTCTCGAGAAATTCGAAATCGCCGGTGCCGGAGAAAGAGATGTTCAGAATCAAAATTCTGAGAAGCTCACTCCCACAAAAAAAATTTCGTAAATCGTCGTCTTTCTTATCGACATGGTACTCTCCAGAATCTATATCTCACCAACAAGCAGACGACGATGATCCAGTTCTCGTCAAACTCTCACTCGCCATCAGAGATTCCAACAAGGATTCGCCATCGGAGTTCTCTTCTTTCACTTCCTGCCCATCAATCAGAAAAGTCCTCCCGTCGCTCACCGTTCGTCATGTTGTTGATCTCATCAACCGTAACCCTCTCTCCCTTCCACACCGTTCCATCTTCGCTTTCTTCAAATTCATCTCATCTCAGCCTGGATTTCGTTTTACCGTCGAGTCCTACTTCGCCATGGCTCGTTTTCTCTCTGTCCACGAAATGTTCGCGGAAGCACAGTCACTTATCTCCCTCGTCGTCTCTCGTAAAGGGAAAAACTCAGCTTCTTCCGTTTTCGTTGCTCTGGTAGAAATGAGAGGAGCCTCTCCGTGTGATTTCCTCGTTGATGCTTTAATGATCACGTACATGGATCATGGATTCGTACCCGATGCGATCCAATGTTTCAGGCTATCTCGGAAGCACAAATTCGCTGTTCCGGTTCGTGGCTGTGGCAATTTGCTTGATCGGATGATGAAGCTGAATCCAACCGAGACTGTTTGGGGATTCTACATGGAGATTTTGGATGCTGGGTTTCCCTCAAATGTCTACGTTTTCAACATTTTGATGAACAAGTTTTGCAAAGGAGGCAAAATTTGCGATGCACAGAAAGTGTTCGACGAAATTACCAAAAGGGGTTTGAGGCATACGGTGGTCAGTTTCAACACTTTGATAAATGGGTATTGTAAAGCTGGAAACTTGGACGAAGGGTTTAGGCTAAAACATCATATGGAGAAAAGCAGAACACTACGCCCAGATGTTTTCACATACAGTGCCTTGATTAACGCATTGTGTAAGGAGAACAAAATGGACGGAGCACATGGGTTATTTGATGAGATGTGTGAGAGCGGGTTGATCCCAAATGACGTTATTTTCACTACTTTGATTCATGGTCATAGCAGGAATGGAGAGATTGAGTTGATGAAAGAAAGTTACCAGAAGATGTTGAGCAAGGGTCTTGAGCCTGACATTGTTCTTTATAATACGTTGTTAAATGGCTTTTGCAAGAACGGTGATCTGGTTTCTGCAATGAATATTGTTGATGGAATGATCCACAGAGGTCTTAGGCCTGACAAAGTCACATACACAACTCTCATAGATGGGTTTTGTAGAGAAGGAGATGTAGAAAAAGCTTTGGAGATACGGAAGAAAATGGATCAGAACGGAGTAGAACTCGATAGAGTTGGTTTCTCAGCTCTTATCTGTGGGATGTGCAAAGAAGGAAGCGTCCTTGATGTCGAAAGAGCTTTGAGAGAGATGCTGCGAGCTGGTCTGAAGCCGGATGATGTGACCTATACAATGATGATGGACGCGTTCTGTAAGAAAGGTGATGTTCAGACCGGTTTCAAACTGCTCAAGGAAATGCAGAGCGATGGGCATATTCCTAGCGTTGTGACGTATAATGTTCTGCTGAACGGACTGTGCAAGTTGGGACAGATGAAGAATGCTGACACGTTGCTCGATGCCATGTTTAATGTAGGGGTTGTTCCGGACGACATCACATTCAACATCCTATTGGACGGTCACTATAGACATGTAAATGCTTCGAAGCATTGTAAACAGAAACCAGAGATAGGGATTGTAGGTGACTTGGCTTCTTACAAGTCACTAGTCAATGAGCTTTATAGAGCTTCAAAAGTTCACCGGAACAGATAACATTTCACTGTTTGTGGCTTATGTTTGGTCGCTGAGAAATATTTGTTAGAGAAATTAGATTCATATCTTTGTTGTTCTGTTTTCCAATCTGGAGACATGAGACATGATTTTGGATAATCAAAAATCGTGTTGGAGATGTTAGTTCTGGTGCGTTTTCTGACAGATCTTATGTGTTTACTGTTAGGACATGAAATCTTTGTCTGCCCGACCGATGGTATAGGCTTCAATGGTCTTAAAAGTAGGCATGATCTGCATGTGTTAACTGTTAGGACATGAAGTCATGAATCTTTGTCCGTCTGTCCGACCAGACCGTAATAGTGTAAGCTTCAATGGTCTTAATGAAAATAGGCCCATTAGTAGTAGCCAAAGGCCCAAGTACTTTTTGCGAAGCTCACAACAACCTCATCGAGAAAAATAACAGAAAAAAAAAAAAATAATAATATAGAAAAAATATCAAAAAAAATTGCGGTGAGACTCTCTCATCGTGCGTAGGGCTTTTGACTCCCTACTTGCTACTTCTTCTTCTTCTTCTTCTCTTGCTGTGGCCACTCTACACAGTCCACACCTACTTCTGACGGAGAGAAGAGAGGTTTTCGGAACCTTGAGATCGGCGTCAGATCCCCCGCCGCTTCTTCTCTTCAGTATCTCCGGTCAGTCTCTGCTCTGTCAATCTTTTGCCTTTCACTGTGTTGTATGTATTACTCTTCTTATTGCTGTTGATAACAGTATGTGTTTTCTGATGGATATACAGAGTGGAGATGATGGAATCCGGCGCTGGATTTGCGGCGATGGAAGAAAGGATCTCTCCCGGAAGTTTCTTCCAGTTTCCTCTTTCTGGATTCCGTGCTTCTCCCAGTCGATCCCCTTGTCCTCCCACTGATCGTGATAGGTTCTTATTTCTCTGTATTTCGGATCTTTTTTATCTTTAATCTGTCTGAGCTTTTTTGGATCAAATTAGATCGGTTTCTTTTGGACTTGTTGAGTTAGTAGAAATCGGAGTGCGTGTATTTGTGTGTGTATGATTGGTAGATATTGCTCACGCGGACCCAACTTCTCAATCTTAGTCTCACATCACAACTTCACAATCGATTCCATGGCAATGTTGATTGTTTATTTAGCTTTGTTCCCAACACTTATTATTGCCTTCTAAACAATGTACTCAAAGATTTAACAACACTTATTATTATCTTCCAATGTTTGTAAAATGAGGGTCGGATGTAAATCTCGTATGTGTGCTGTGATTGCAATGTGAACCACACGAATGTTAGTACACAAAGATTGCAGCATCTAGTGGAACTGACATTCACTTGTTTGTTAATTCTGTTCAGGTACTTGGCTGAATTATTGCAAGAGAGACAAAAGTTGGGTCCCTTTTTGCAAGTTATGCCACATTGCTGCAGACTGCTAAACCAAGGTGGGTTGTGTTATCAAGCTATATGCTTTTGATTTTTATATCAAGATGCTCCCTGATTTTCAACCGTAGCAGTTTCTTTTGTAACATTTGTGGTGTCTATGCAGAAATCAGGAGGGTCTCGAGTTTTTCTGATTTTGAGAGATATGAGAATGGAAGTCCGTTTAGATCGATGCCAAATGGAAAGCTTGATATAGATGGATGGTCAATGATGCAAGCAGAGGTAAGCCACTGGTGATTGTTTGAATCAGATATCAAACTCATGTTGAATATTGTTGATATTGAATGCTTTGCTTTCTTCAGGAAAATTGTCATCTCCAGAGAGCTTCTCCATTTCGTTCTCCTGCTCCAGTGGGCTGGATTGGGATGCCTGGACTACCTTCCCCACCGATTGTGAAAAAAGTGATTAGACTTGATGTGCCAGTGGATAAATTCCCAAGCGTAAGTTTTGAATGTTTTAAGCCAAATATGGTACTATAATGAGGTTGATTTTGATTCAAATCCATTGAACCTGGCAGTATAACTTTGTTGGGCGGATTCTCGGTCCACGTGGTAACTCCTTGAAAAGAGTTGAGCTTGCAACACACTGTAGGGTGTTTATTAGAGGGCGAGGATCTGTCAAGGACACTATCAAGGTATGGCTCCCTGTTCACTGATTCTCTCAAGTAGTATCCCATTTAATCACTGCTTCAACTGCAACTTTAGATAACTTCCTACAGTATGTTATAGAAACTATATGTTATAATACATTGTCTCCTGCATTATCAACTAACTTCTGCTTAAAAATCTAAATTTCATGTTTTATTTTTGCTTCTGATACCTAATCTATATCATGCGGTATCAAGACTCATCAATTTAGTCCATTTACTTCCATACAGGAGGAAAAACTAAAAGGCAAGCCAGGGTATGAGCATCTCAGCGAGCCACTACATGTACTGATTGAAGCTGAGCTTCCAGAGGACATAATCAACTCTCGATTGGAGAATGCAGTGCATTTCCTGGAATCGCTCCTAAAGCCAATGGTACATTCATTTCACAGATAATCCAAGTATCTCTATCTCCTTGTTGTAGTCCAAACCTGTTTGTTCACATGGTTTGGTTCTTCTGTTTACAGGACGAATCAATGGACCATTACAAGAGGGAACAGCTGAAGGAGTTAGCGGCTCTGAATGGTACACTGAGGGAAGAGTGTCCGAGTCCAAGCTTGAGCCCTTGTCTGAGTCCGAGCATTTCTCCTTTCAACAGCAAGCGTGCTAAGACTGGACAATAAGAAGTTTAACCCCTGAGAGATGATCAAAGTTCCTTGTCTGCTTGGAACAGAGAAACAATGGCATTGGTCGTGTGGACAGAGCAAAGGCTCTTTATCGCATTGCAATCCTATCTATCTACGAGGTGATGATGTTCTAACGTTTTTGAGACTCTTCCATTAATTTATTTTGTCATTAAGTTTATTCTTTATTTTTGGAAATTTTTGTTGGTTAGCTGAAATGACCATTAACCAGTGGGCAATAAACTAAAATAATGGTGTTTATGAATTGTAATCTCGTTTTAAATCTTGTAACGTTTATTAAGTTTGAAAACCCAACATTAATTTAATTTCATCTTTGAGTCTTATGAAAGTCTTACGTATTATCATTTATTAATGTTTATTTAACTGTAAATCCCAAGAGGAAGTATATATTGTGTATATCTTAACTTGGGATTTCAAATGCTACACAAGTTAAAAATGCCTGTCAAGAACAAACATAAGATCACTTGAATTGAAAGTAAAAGCTTTAACCAAAGACATGCTGATTCTTATTAATACCTCTCTATATATCTTACATGAAACAACAAGCGAACACAAACAAAGCATTTGTTGACAAATTTGTGTATATTTTTCAATCTCGAAGGCCTAATTCAACCTCGAGTTCATCATCTTCCTCAAACAGCTTCAGCAGTCTAGCATACTGCTCGTCTCTTTTCTTCTTCTGCCATAGCTTGTACAGGAAGAACGAGAACATCCCTACCGTCACAAATCCGAGAAGTATGAGGATTACTTTTGTGCCTGTTTTGCTGGAAGAAGTATGAGATTCTGCTTTAACCCCTGTATTCGTGTTCTTGGAATCACCGGATAGACCTGGAAAATATCATATCACAAGACTCGATAAAGGCCATCTTAGCATCCAAAGCAAAATTCAGGGTAAAGCTACACAATCTATCCTCAAAATAGTTATCATGTTGCTTATATTCAACAAAAGAGGAGCAACAACTCCACACATTGACTACACAGAACAAGGATCAGTTGCAACATGCATTTTCAGTTGTATAAATAGCTTATGTAAAACGTCAAATGTCTGAAACTATAGACAACAAAGAGACAGAAGAATCGGTCAGTCTAGCATAAACCAGTATTACATGTCTCATCACTCAAATGCAGTAGCACCATGAAACTGCTGAAGAATGAATTATACAAAACAAAAAAAACAATTCCATTTTGCAATATATCTTTTGCCGACAAGTCAATCTCTTCAAATCAGGACATGGTTTCGCAAGGTAAATCAACTTTTATACAGTGGAAGAAATCGAGACCCATTTTACGGATCAAAACTAGACATTTTCTTTGCTTATTTTATCTTCCTAAACATTTCAAGAACAAAGTTACTGGTTTAGTGTCTGTGTGGCCATGTTTCAATTCTAATCGCAAAATACCAAGTCAAAACCTTATGCATGGAGATTAAACACACAAAATCTAGAAAAAGCCAAATTGAGCTAAATTTGAGATAAATCTGACGAATTCGAAACCTAAAATCCCAAACGAAATTAAATGCGATGAACTGACAAAAATAAATTGGGAATCAAGGCGTTGGAAAAATGAAATCAGATAGATCTGAAGAAGACAAACCTAAGACGAACTGCATAGAAATCGAAGCGAAGAATAACAGAAGCCGCCATGAAAGACCTCTTGACGGGACCTCTCTCATCTCTCTCTCTCTCTGTATCGATGAGACTTTGCTAGTACGCAAGGAGGGATCTCGATTTTTCGCTTTAGCAAAGAACAAATTCTTCTGGTAGATCAACTTTTCGATGTTGAAGATAGACAAAGGGAAAAGAACAATTAAGACCCCGGACTCTCTTTTGATACTTTTATTATGTTATGTCTTGTAGTAAGGAACAATTCATTTGGTTTTGGCTTTTAAGACCAACAAAATAAATTATGTAATAAGGAAAAATATTATTTCTTCCAATTTGGTGAAATCATCGTCTTCAAAGTTGGTGAAATATGTTAAAATCAAGGAAATGGGATTACAATATGTTAAGATGCTGAATGTTAAACTTAAGACGTTGACAGCAGCCAAAGAAAATAGCCAATTGGCCGAGACAAGTCTACAGAGTAGTACCTTTTCCTTATAAAACATTGACTTGAAAATAATTTTCCTTGTTTGAAACTCATAGAAGTTTCTCTCGTTACGAGTGAAAAGAATTGGGTCAAGTTTTAGCCGATTAGCCAGCTTAGACTGGTACCGTATAGTAGTCACGTATGTCTCAAGAAAAAGAAAAACATTAACAAGTAAAAAAGATAAAGTATTACTTAGACCATAAACTTTGTCCTCAACACTCGATTAGAAAAACAGTCTAAGCGACTTGATAGGTATCAAAACATAAGTCACAGAGCAAAATCCCTAAGGAGAGAGAGAGAGAGATACATCCCAGGCTGCAATGGAAGTACCAAACCAAATTCGATTCTCTTCACTTGAAGCACTTGGCGTCCAAAAGATCCTCACCTTCAAAAGGCTCAGCGTCTTCAATCATCTGGCTAACTCTCTCCTTCTGTGCTTCGTCAGAGATATCGACCTTAGTCCACTCGTAAAGCTCCATGTCGTAAACCTCATCCATGATGAACTTCGGAATCTCCGGTCCACGGAACAGCCACAAACCCTTCACCTTGAACGGACCCTCTTTTCCACAGATCAGCATCTTTCCGAAAGAGTACTTGCGTGCCAAGTCCATTCTCTGCAGGAAGCCACCGACCTTGTTCAGCGTCACGAACGAAACCATGTTCTCGTCGTTGTACTTGTAGTCACAGAACCACAGTGAGTATCCCTCTGGGTCATACATCTCCCAGAAACCTGCATCGAGCCACAATATTAAGCTTTATCATAATTTATTCCACAAGCTAAACAATTTCTTGCATCCCCATAAGAAAAAAAGAAGTAGAAGTAAGAAATCACCACACACCTCCAACAGCAACCTCACGGAAGTTAGTTTTGGTGTTTGAGTAAAGCCTCTTCCAGTCATCGAGAACCATTGGGCTTGGTGGTAGCAAGTCAAGAGGGTTCTTTGGTTTGGGCTTTGGTGCCTCTTCCTCTTCAGCAGCCTTAGGTGCCTCTGCTGCAGGGGCTTCCTTTTTCTTAGGCTCTTCCTTGGGCTTCGCAGGCTGGGCAGCTTTCTTGGAAGCAACGGGAGGGACAGCGTCCGTCTGTTTGACATCACCCACCACTTTCTTGAAGTTTGGTTGGTTGACCACGGTCCAGAAGTACCTCTCAACATGAGGGAATGCGGAGGTGAAGCTCTTGGTCATGACAGTGGCAAATCCCAAGTTCAAATTGCACACAGTGATGATATCAGCAAGGGTAATAGACTCTCCAACAAGGTAAGTCTTGGAAGTGAGATGTGTGTTCAGAGCATCAAGTGCCCTTTTCAACGCAGCGATAGCAGCTTCCTCACCCTTCATTCATAAAACAATCAATGATGAGAAAAAAAAATGGTTTACTGTTGGTATAGTGAAGAGAGAACCTAGACCGCAATCATAGCTAGTGGAAGAAACAACCAAATGGAAGTCGCAAAAGCTTACCGGAGCAGTGTATGGCATAAATCCCATTCTTGGGCCGAACCACTTCAAGATATTAGCGTAAATTTCCAGAGAGGAGAAATCGCTCCATTGCTCAATGTGTGCCTGCAAAGTAACAACATACAGATAAACACAGAGTAGATTAACAAACAAAGTAACAATTCTGAGGTATAACGATGGAGAAAAAAATGAACTTACATATTCGATGAGGGAGGATCCGTTCAAGGAGTTCTCACCGTTCAATCTGCTCACTGCAGTGAGGTATCAAACATCCATTATACCCAAAATGACAACAACAAATAAAACACAGACAAGGACAGACAAATGAAAGAAAAAGGCATGATCTCTTACCATAACGAGCAATAGCGTTGCTCTCAAATATGGCACCCTCTGGAGTCTCGAGTGTGGGAACCTAACAAGAACCAAAAGCATTTGATTAGCTGAAATTATACTCAACACAAATCCAATGCCATTTCAGAAAATTAAGCTATCAAGAGCGTTGCCTTACCTTTCCCATAGGGTTCATCTTGAGGAACTCTGGGGTTTTGTTAGTGACACCCATCTCAAAGTCAGAGGGCACAGTGATCTTCACACCAACGTACTCTGCGACAATGAGTGCCTTATCAGCACTTTTGTTTCCCTTGTATGTGTGCATGACCTGTAACCGTATGATTCAAAAGGACAGAAAAAACACTGATCAGCCAAAACCATCGAAATTGTTAAGCTACAGAATATATCGAAATTGTTGTGCTACAGAAAATTCATTCGCAAGCTTTTCCGAGAATATATATGTCACTGTAAAACTTAACACTAGTAAACAGCCGCTAGATGTCCACTAACACAATTCAATCAAATCCGTGGAAGATAAACAAATCCTTCGAGAAAATCGATCAGTCAAAAACATCATTATTTCCATCTGAGTACACAAGCAGCTAATACAATTTGATTTTGCTTCTTCACGATGATACAAGCATAGTAGCATAAAAGTATCAATACATGATGCGATCGTAAAAAGTAAGCTGGGTAACGGAAAACTCACCAACGCCATTGCTCAGACGGAAATTATACTAGCCTCGGCTTCTTATTGTGGATCTAGTTCCAAGGAAAATAACAAGCAGTGAGCTCGCAATTTTGAGAGGAAATGATACGATCATAGCGATGAAAAGATAATATGATTGTTCGATCGAAGGATCTTACCAGATGTTCTGAATCTTCCGTGCGAGCAAATCGAGAGAAAACAAGAGCTAATGGGGCGGAGATAAAGCTATAAAAGAGTGTTGGAAGGAAGAAGATACGAATTAGGGTTTTTGTCTATGTGGTTTCGGTGAGTAATAGTATTCGCCTGGTCTGGCTCGGTTCTGTTAATTTACAATTCTGGTTTTTGTTAATTTCTTGGTTTGGCTCTTGTTTATTACCTTTGTTGGACTGAATCAAAATTTGAATAGTTATTGGCTTTTTAAGCCCAACTTGATAAATCAAGCCATAAAAATAAAATAAAAGGGTAGTTACGTCGGCAAGAAACTGGAAAAGTGATGAATTAGATCCAGGGGTATTTTAGACCACAAAGCATTTCGTTTTTCTCTTCTTTTCTTCTTCTTCTTCTTCTGTTCTTCGCTTTTTCAATTTTCAAAATCCCAATCTCGCACTCCTCGAAGAAAGTGTAACAATGGCGAGAAGACCGGATGAAGAATACGATTACTTGTTCAAAGTGGTTTTGATCGGAGACTCTGGTGTCGGCAAGTCAAATCTACTCTCTAGATTCACTCGCAATGAGTTCTGCTTGGAATCCAAATCCACCATCGGCGTCGAATTCGCTACTCGTACTCTCCAAGTATGTACACTTCTCTCTCTATGGTGTAATCGAAGTGATGCTCGATCTAGGATTACTTATAAATTTACATTTGTTAAGCCTCTGGAATCAGGATGGAGTCGATGGACCCGTTTGTGTGTTATATGCTCTGCTGCTTTTTTCGTTCGATCCGTATGTGTGCTTATGTTGTTAAGGTTTTGTGGAATATTTGGAAGAAGCCATTGTGTGTAGCCACATTTGGATTTAATGTCACTTGCATGATGCCTATTTTCTTCATTTTGGTCAATGAAACTAATTTTTAGGCGTGTTGTTGAAAATGATCTCAAGTTTGTTGAAGTTGCATATCTTGAACCTAAGTTGGTATTATCATGAGGCTGCCTCAGATCTAAAACCTTTACATAATAAGTATAACAGAACTCTTACATCCAAGACAATGGAAATGTAAATTTTGTTACTTTTATGTTTGCTAATCATATCAAAATAGATATGTTGCTTGCAAACCTCAATCGTAGAATCCACTGACCACACATAAGTATTTGATATGCATTTGCTTGTTATTCTTTCTGAATTAACCTTTTGGCCTCTCTTTTTGTAAGGTGGAAGGAAGGACTGTGAAAGCACAGATATGGGACACGGCAGGGCAAGAAAGATACAGAGCCATAACCAGCGCCTACTACAGAGGTGCACTTGGAGCTCTCTTGGTCTACGACGTCACTAAACCAACAACCTTTGAGAACGTAAGCCGGTGGTTAAAAGAGCTCAGAGACCATGCTGATTCCAACATAGTGATCATGTTGATCGGAAACAAGACGGATCTGAAGCATCTCAGAGCAGTTGCCACAGAGGATGCTCAGAGCTATGCGGAGAAAGAAGGCTTGTCTTTCATCGAGACATCTGCGCTCGAGGCACTAAACGTGGAGAAGGCTTTTCAGACGATTCTCTCAGAGGTCTACAGGATCATCAGCAAGAAATCGATATCTTCAGACCAGACAACCGCGAATGCCAACATCAAGGAAGGCCAAACCATTGATGTTGCTGCTTCTTCCGAGTCAAACACTAAGAAGCCTTGTTGCTCCTCGTCCTGAAAGCCTTTGGACTGTGTCACAGTTAAAAAGCCAATATATCTTTGTGAATGTGACATTTCTCCAAGAAGGCTTGCGTTGTGTTACACTAGCTAAAAATATGCAAGTTGCATTTGCTATCGTTCGTTTTTTGCTCTTTTTTTGTTGATATTAACTCAAAGATCATCCTATATGAATTATTATGGAATTTGGAATCGTTTCATTCTAACAAAAACCAACAAACATTCTGCTCTGAGTTTAATCTTTCATCATCGAAGATAACACAATAGTTTAAAAGAAAATGGAAAGTGGAAACTGTGTATTTTCCAAATGAAAATTCTTAAAAGAGGCGTTTTGCAAGGTATGCCCTACTTTTAAGTTTTAACCCTATATATATAGTACTACAAATGCTGAAAAACCCTTGGCTATAAAATATCGGATTGCTTCGCGGGTTTGAATCGATTTTATCTCTTTCGATTCTAACCTGGATTTTGCAAAGTATACGGAGGTTGAAAGAGCGGACTTAGCGAGCACCACGGTGAACGAGCTCCAAGCTGAGGGCGGCACCGACGAAGCCTAGACCTCCGGTCACCACGAAGGTATTGCCTTCGACACCTTCGTTCTCGCTCAAATCCATCTCTTTCTCTCTCTTTGACAGGCGATGAGAAAACGACGCGGCGTTCGATTTCTTATTTCGCTACTGTTACTTTTCCTTAAACACCACAGCGTTTTTAATAGTTAGAGATTTCTTAGTTAGAGATTTTGAGGTTTTTTGGACTCAGTTTGTTGTAGTTAGAGATTAGATCCTCGAAACTTCATCATCCACAAGCTGATTTCTCTCAGCTGGGTTGCGTTCGATTTCATCTCTTTTTTTCTGTAATGCAATCGACTCAATTTGCTGTTGCTTCGATCCTCTTTGGATTCCAATTCTGTAGATATGCGTTTGCTTGGGTTTGACTTGTATGATTTTGTTTGCGCAGGGACTGTTACAACAATGGCATCTGAAGCGGAAATTCGAAAAGACCGCGAGGAGAGAGAGATCGTCTTCTCGAGATTGAGAAAAGCAATAACATTGTGGGAGGAAGAGCAAGTATTCAAGGCTGAATCTCGCAAGGATTCTCCAAAACCAGGAGAAAAGTTCTTCTCGACCTTCCCTTTCCCGTATATGAATGGTTATCTACACATTGGGCATGCCTTCTCACTTTCCAAGATCGATTTTGCTTCTGCTTATCATAGACTAAGAGGCGCTAATGTGCTCCTTCCATTTGGCTTCCACTGTACTGGAATGCCAATTAAGGCTTCTGCGGACAAGCTTGCTCGTGAGATGCACGATATGGAAACCCTCCTGATTTCTGCTGAGACGACAACACCAACAAGCTCCAGAAGTTGAGGAGGAGTAGTGATACACCAGCTTTGCCGGGTCAGTTCAAGGGAAAGAAGTCAAGGTAGCTGCGAAATCCGGTGGACAGGTTCATCAGTGGGAGATTATGCGCAGTTTTGGCCTCACTGACAGTGAGATAACAAATTCCAAGATCCATACGAATGGTTGTATTACTTCCCTCCATTGGCTGTTGAAGATCTCAAGGCGTATGGATTAGGTTGTGATTGGAGACGGTCGTTCGTGACCACTGATGTTAATCCGTTTTTCGATGCCTTCGTGAGGTGGCAGATGAGGAAGTTGAAATCTATGGGGAAGATTGTGAAAGACCGTAGGTACACGATATTCTCACCTCTAGATGGGCAGCCTTGTGCTGATCACGACCGTGCTACTGGTGAAGGTGTTCAGCCTCAGGAGTACACTCTTATTAAGATGGAAGTAGTGAAGCCGTTTCCTCTGAAGCTGGTCCTTTGGAAGGAAAGAGAGTGTTTTTGCTGCAGCTACTTTGAGGCCTGAGACCATGTATGGGCAAACAAACGCATGGGTGTTGCCTGATGGGAAGTATGGAGCTTATGAAATCAATGAAACTGATGTCTTCATCCTTACTGAGAGGTCTGCACTCAACCTTGCTTACCAGAACTTTTCAAAGATCCCTCAGAAGCCTTCCTGCTTAGTTGAGTTGACAGGGATGATCTGATTGGACTCCCTTTGAGGTCTCCTCTGGCAGTGAACGAGATCATCTATGCTCTGCCCATGTTAACCATTCTGACCAACAAGGGTACTGGCATTGTCACCAGCGTGCCTAGTGATGCCCCTGATGATTACATGGCTTTGCATGATCTAAGTGCAAAGCCTGCTCTTCGAGCAAAGTTTGGTGTGAAAGATGAGTGGGTGCCGTCTGAAATTGTGCCGATTATCAACATTCCGAGTTTGGAGATAAGGCTGCCGAGAAGGTCTGCTTGGATCTGAAGATTAAAAGTCAAATGATAAGGAGAAGCTTGCAGAGGCCAAGAGGTTGACGTACCTGAAAGGATTCACCGAAGGAACTATGCTTATGGAGAGTTTGTTGGTAGGAAAGTTCAAGACATTAAGCCCATTATCAAGAAACAGCTCATAGAGTCTGGCGAGGCGATTATATACAGTGAACCGAGAAGCCGGTCATGTCAAGATCGGGTGATGAATGTGTTGTGGCTCTTACAGATCAGTGGTACATAACGTACGGAGAATCAGAATGGCGGCAAATGGCTGAGGAGTGCTTGTCAAAAATGAATCTCTACTCTGAAGAAACAAGGCATGGATTTGAGCACACTTTGAGCTGGCTCAACAGTGGGCTTGCTCACGGTCTTTTGGTCTTGGAACTCGATTCCCTGGGATGAACAGTTCCTTGTGGAGTCCTTGTCTGATTCCTCTCTTTATATGGCGTATTATACAGTTGCCCATTTCTTTCACGATGGAGACATGTATAAAGGGAGTAAGTCTTTGGTTCGCCCTCAGCAGATGAATGATGAAGTTTGGGACTATCTCTTCTGTGATGGTCAGTACCCAAAATCATCCGACATTCCTCAGATGTTTTAGTGAGATGAAGCAGGAATTTGACTACTGGTACCCACTGATCTTCGAGTTTCAGGAAAGGATCTTATTCAGAATCATTTGACGTTTTTCATCTACAACCACACTGCACTAATGGCGAAACGTAACTGGCCACGTGGCATCAGATGTAATGGTCACATCATGCTGAATTCTGAGAAAATGTCAAAGTCAACTGGAAATTTCAAACCCTGCGCCAGGCTATTGAAAATTCTCTGCCACTGCTACGAGGTTTGCTTTGGCTGATGCTGGTGATGGCGTTGACGATGCAAACTTTGTATTTGAAACTGCAAATGCTGCAATTGCGGCTGGAAAAGAGCTCACATGGATGGAAGAAGTTCTGGCTGCTGAATCCTCTTTGAGAACGGGCCCTCCATCTACATATGCTGATAAAGTGTTTGAAAATGACATGAACATTGCTATCAGATTGACTGAAAAAGCCTACGAAATTGTTTGTTTAGGGAGGCACTTAAGAATGGGTTTTACGACTTGCAAGCTGCTCGAGATGAGTATAGGCTCTCTTGCGGCAGTGGCGGCATGAATCATGACTTGATACTGAAGTTTATGGATGTGCAAACACGCCTCATTGAACCAATCTGTCCTCAGTTTGCAGAGCATGTTTGGAGGGAACTTTTGAAGAAGGAAGGCTCTGTGGTAAAAGCAGGCTGGCCAACATCAGATGAGCCAGATTTGGTTCTCAAGGGTGCTAACAAATATCTGCAAGATTCTATCATCTTAATGAGAAAGCTTCTACAGAAACAGCTCTCGGTTCCAAGAAGGCTGCCTAAGAAAGGTTCTAGTAACAGTAGTGGCAGAGGCGAAGATGAAAGGCCTAGTATATGTGAATGAGGAATTTGATGGATGGAAAGCACTGCCTCGAGATTCTTCAAAGGAAATTTGACCAGCAAACCGTACTTTTGCCCCTGATGCAGAGATACTTGGAGAACTGAGGGAGATTATGCAGAAGGATGAGGAAGCAGAGAACTTCAAGCAAATTCAGAAGCTTTGCATGCCTTTCCTGAAATTCAAGAAAGGACGAGGCAATAGCTCTGGGAGTCAGGCTCTGAATTTGAGGTTACCTTTTGGAGAGAAGGAAGTCCTTGAGAGTAACGTGGAGTTGATCAAGAGGCAGCTTGGTCTTGAAGAGGTTGAAATACATTCTGCTGCTGATGTGTGATTTAGCTGGTCCACATGCATCACTCCTGAGCAGAATCCTCCATCTCCAGGCAGTCCAACCGCCATCTTTGTTAACAGGTAAAAGCTAGTTATATTACTATGACAAATCTTAATACAGTTGTTTAGTTATATTTCTCATCAACCAAAGTGAACTCCTTACCGCTCTATAGTTGTCTGCCTCCGACCTAGAATTTCTCCTGCATTACAGGTAATTCGAAAGAAAATCGTGGGACATGTTTCAACTACAAGTTAGAAGTTGAAGACGGCTTAGGAGTTTGCAGGGTTTTTAATATTCTATACTAGTCAGATTGTATCTTTACTGTTTTGACTTGTTTACTGAGATTTTGCATTTTATTTTATTATGATTTCGGGTATTCTCTAGTAAGATATTGTGTTCTTTCTCTTTCTTATCAATAACACAGTTTTCTTGTTTCGTTTTGCCTTTTGCGTATTCGTTTGTGTTTTCTCGTGATCAGCTTTCTAGGTGTGTTATAAAGGGACACTTGGTTTGACGCAATAAGAAAGTCTATTTGACTCTGATTCTGATCCTGCTCCATCTCTATGATTAGGATTTAGGAATAACAAAATGCGTTAGTCTCCCTTGTTGTTTCTTCATGTACCACTTGACACACAAGAAAGCCATAGAGAACTTGTCTTCCTTAGATCCAATTCCAAAGGTTGCTGTAATCTAGTGGGCTATGGATGGACCGTATAGCCCAAATACTTGGCAAGCAAACAAGGATAGGCGATGGCATATATACATGTAGTTTGAAAATCTGGAATTCCCAAATCGAACAAGAGTTCTAGGGTTTGTTCGTTTCTCCAAGACGGCTAACATACCAAGCAGTGAATTGATGAAAAAGCTAACGATAGACGAGGGAGACGGCGATAGCAGCAGCGACGACAGCCTTGTCAGCCTCGGCGACCTGGGCAGCGACAGCGAGTGGCTTGCGTATAAATACTTCCCGGACAGAGAACCAGAGTGGGGTTACGATAGCTTTGAAGGCCAAGAGCTTAAAATCCATCCTCTGGTTCGTAAGACTTACCAAACCCAGGAACTTTATGACCAATACTACGAGAAGAGGCGCCTGGCTTTCGAGAGTAAGGTGATTATTCACTTTCATTAATCACTCTTTTTCCTTTGTTGTTTACATAGTCAGTAAAAACACTAAGAAATTGTGGTTGTTATTAGGGGTTTCTCTCAGATCCTACGAGAGCAATCTACGACGTTTATATGGAGGGATCAATGAGGGGTCACAACTCTGCTCGGGACTGGGTGGCATATCTTGCGAATCTGTGTGTTCAGAAATATAACGAGACTGAGGTTAGCCATCTACACGAGTTGACATGTTTAGAAGAAGTCAAGAACATGTACATGAATTTTGAATAATTCTTCGACAGGGAAAGACTGTAGAATTGGTAAATGTGGTGAGAGCTACTCATATTGGATTAGGTAAATGGAAGATGTACATCACCTTTATGGCTCGAGAGCACTATGATGGGCCTCTTGTTGAGTACCAAGCCAAGGTGATCTACGATTTTGCAGAAGTCGACCCTCCTTTCCCGATTCTCTGCAGGCCAAGCCCCAAATCAAATATCTAGATGTGTGCTAAAGGTTCCTTTACTCTTCTTGCTCTTTATTATTGTATCAATTTCATGATATTTTATCATCTTTGACCATTCTTGACTGAAAGTGTGACTGTAACGATGGCAGGAGGTATTATAATTATCCAACTCTTTACCAAAATGTAACTTGTACAACTGTTAAATCGTGTCAGCTCACATCATCTTACAATTTGCATAAAATTATAAAGTGACTTGCCTATCATTTCCCCGCACCCAAAAAGGAGAACTTATATTTGTTATCAAAAAATGGATTCATGATTTCAAAGTGTCTACCAACATTTAAATTTGACAAAGATGACCCCAAAAGAGCAGGTTTTCAGATGATATAATTTTTCATCAGCAGAATATACATGATCCACAAAATGACAAAAAAAAAGTATCCTAATTGTGTTTAATATTGCGAACATGAGAAGATAAGTCTTTCTCAGCATATGTCACCACTTTGGCTTGGTACTTTCGACTGTTGTTTCTTATCAGTAACACAGTTTTCTTGTTTCATTTTCCCTACTCTTACTACTGTTTCATCCTGATCAGCTTTCTAAATTTCTTTTACTGATGGAGCTTTTTAGCGCAGTAAGAAAATCTAGTTTCTTGCGAACAATAAGGATGATAAAAGAGTGCCAGATTCGGACTGGACTATGGACAAAAGGGTCTATTTGACTCTGAATCTGATGCATCTCTATAGCTAGGAATAACAAAATGCCTTAGTCTCCCTTGTTGTTTCTTCATGTAACCTTCACACAAGAAAGCCATAGAGAACTTGTCTTCTACTTCCCTGTTCACATCATGCACAAACACATCGGTCTCTCCTCCTTGATCCCTGTTCCTCGCCATCATTCCCGCTGTGAAAATTGCTGTCATCCTCCCAGGGGCCTCATCGTAGTAGCCGGTGGGTGCATCAACCATGATCAGATCCCATCTAGTCTCATATATTTCTGCAGGCAAACCCTTGAGTGCTAGTTGACACATTGAGTACCTTGGATCTCCAATGGCTGTGCATTCTGGTCCTTTCCCAACTTCTATCAGATTATCAGCTTGATTGACTTTACTGTCGTATGTCACATGGTATGACTCCAGCATCGGGAACCGTCTCTTGATCTGCTTTATCCATGTTTCGTCTTCCTCAAGAAACACAGTCCGGCCTCCATAGTTGAGAGAGCTCCACATGAGGCTGTCATGGCCTAGACCAAACACCAAGAAGTTGCACGGTGACTTCTTGTCTAGTACTCTACTGCTAACCGCTACTTCTTTGAGCGTTTGTTGCGGTGTGATGACTGAAGTCGAGTAATGGATCAGGGCCTGTGCGAGGGAACGTGGTAGCTTATTGCAGGCACCAGAGCAACCCCCTGATCTCGTCTCTTCTGGAGTCTGGTGTTCCTGTGGAGATGTAAGAGTTGATCTCACGATGAAGATGAGAATGAAGGAGGCTGCAAGAAGACAAACAAGGAGAAGCTTCACCTCGTGGCTTTGGTTTGCTTTAGACCTCATTGTCTGATTCTAATTTTTCCAACTTGGTTGGGTTTTTGCAAATGTTACTTGTTTCATATATATCCCATAAAGATAAGCTGAGATGAGACATGAGAGGAGAAGTTGGGTTTATGCTTCGACATGAAGGGTGCTTGAAGAAGACAGTACAGCTACTTTCAGGTTCTGCAAGTTGCAATAGAGAGAAGAAAGCCTTCTATTTAAGTTTCTTGGTGGTTGGTCGCCACCATACCAATCCAAGTTTGTTACTGTTAGTGATTTTTCTATGTGAAAACTGAAAATTCAACTAACACTATAATAAGTTAAAACATTAAAGAATAAATCAATTATACAATTTTAGCTTTCGACTTTACACAAGACGACCCCACCAAATCAGTTAACTCTACATAGCAAAATCTCAAATTTTCACTCTTTTTGTTTTCTTTTCCCTGATACCCCAAAAGTCTCTTCCTTTCTTTCGTTTCTTCCATTTGATCGTCTGAAAATCTTCTCACCTGCCGTTTGGAGCAAGAAACGCTTGAGTTTGTCCATTATTGTCCCTACTTGTCTTCTTATCCACTCGAGCTTTGCGAACTGCTAACTGAATCTGTCTTTCATGTTCTTTCAACATTTCATCTAAGTTCCCTCCTGAAGAAACCAATGGCCCTGAGTAGTTCATTCTCTCTGTCTTTTCTCCGTAGCCCTAAAGATAAAACAAACAAATGTGATGATTAGCCCACAAAGAGTGAAAGAAAATCACAATTATGTATGTTTCACTTTTACATTTCGTCTTACCGGTCTAGAATCTTTGGCTTTTGTAGAATGTTTTGGTTTAACCAGCAAACGTTGGGACCAGTCACCATCGTTTTGTCTTCCGTTATAGCTATCTTCAAACCACCGTGGATTCGCTATAGCGAAATGTGATGCATCTCTAGCAGCTACAGAGTTTGAGAATCTTGACAACTGAGCTCCTCCTCGTTGCACGAAAGACCGTTGTGACCTCAGATCTTTTCTAGGAGGAGACGAACCCCTCATAACACTCTCTCCATTCCTATTAACCGAGGACATGCCATAACGCGTGTAACCGCTTTGTGCGGTTCCATCTCTATCAGGGTTTAGCACTTCACTCGTGCTTATCTGGTTACTCTGCCCCTGACGTTTCTTTAAAAAAAACAATAAAATTAAACCAAGAGTTAGGATTTACATGAATACAAACATCTCTGTGTGTCTGTTATGCTGAAAGATTATCATATAACGTACTTGTATTGATGCTGGTAACTCCGCATTTGCATCTGGAGCCGGTACAGCTTTAGACGCTTGTTTCGACTCATTTTGTTTACTGCTTGTGCCTTTCTTTCTGTTTGGATAAGAGGAAATTTGAGTGTGTTAGTGTTCATTAAGGCTTCAGGTAATCTCAAGGCATAGAAGAAAAGCAAAAAATCTGTGTCTTACCGTCTTGCTTCCTCGTCTCGAAGCCTCACATCAATTTCCTTTCTCGGTTGGTACTTTGGTAAACTTGATGGATCGCTTGCAAAAGGCTTTGTTGTAAAGAACTGAAAACAAAGCACAAAACTGTGAGACAAGAAAGCATATAAACTTTGTAGTCAGTGAAACAAAACCTCTGAATGTACCTCGCTTTGAAGGGCATCAGCTGTAGTTCCACGGGCATCTGGTTCAACAGCTAAAAGAGCCTCAACTAGAGCCAAAGCTGAAGAAGGAAGACTCTTAAACGTCTCTGCTACACACCTCTTGTAAGGATGCTGAGGTTTAAAGATGGTCGCATGTGTCAATTTAGATCTTTTCCAATAATCTTCAGAAGGTGATCCACAGAGTTTGAAGATCTTATGCAACTGCTCTACCTCGGTTCTACCGGGCATGATAGGCTTCCCATTAAAGAGTTCAGCTAGAATGCATCCTGTGCTCCACATATCCACAGTAACTCCATACTCTGTAGAACCAAGCAGAAGCTCAGGTGGACGGTACCACAGAGTCACAACACGGCTAGTGAGAGGCTGCTTCTGATGTTCCCCATAGAAATTGGCAAGACCAAAATCTCCAATCTTGAGATTGTTGTTATGGTCAAGCAACAGATTAGATCCCTTGATGTCACGGTGCAATACGCCTCGGCTATGACAGTGTTCAAGACCATGTAGCAGCTGTTTCATATAGCATTTAATCTGCGCTTCAGAGAACTTGACCCCAGGGGTTGAAGCAAGGCCTGCGAGATCATGTTCCATGTATTCGAATATAAGATACATACTTCCTGAGACCCTTGAAGTGATCAAACCTTCAAGCTTCATGACATTAGGATGGTCAAGCCTACGAAGGATGATTATCTCTCTCGCCATGAACCTAACACTCTCAGGATCCATATTAGCAAACCGGACTTTCTTCAGCGCAACTATTTGGTTGGTCTCTAGGTCCCTGGCTTTGTACACACTGCTATACGTTCCTTGTCCAATCTAAACGGTAACAACAAATGTCAGTGAAACAAAATCTGAAAATGTGAAGATAAATAAACAAACAAACAAAAAGGTTTTACCTTTTCAAGCTTTTCGAAAGAATCAGCCTTTCGTGGAATCCATCCGTTGATAGCTTCACCAGCAACAGCAGCTAACCAAGAAGGCCAACCAGCCATAACCTGAGCTCCTTTCTCTCCATTGCTAACACTGTTTATCCTAATCATCTTCGGTTGCTGCTGCAATGTCGCTAGGTTGTTGTTTTCAGTGGTGGGACGTCTCTGGAAGATTGATCTTGAGGATTTTCTCTCGAGGTTCTCCTTCTTCTCACCGTCGTCAGACGAAGCATTGTTCTTGGCGTCTGTGGGTATTAAGAACTTCAAGGTGGATTCGTTGCTGCTGCCGTTAACAAAGCCGGCTCTTTCCTCGGATCCTACATTGGCTTTGATCGAGGAAACAGACTTGTTCTTCTTCTTTGAGGTTTTGTTACTATTCTTAGGCTTGCTTCTTCTTGCCTTGACATTTTTGTTGTTATCTTCGATTTCATTTGCTCGTATTCCTTTGGAGCAATTGCAACCCATGATTCTACACAGTTTCCTGATCGGAATCAGGAAACTGTATGATTTAATTAGCTTCCTTATCCTTCTTCTCCACTGCAAAACCAAATCCTCCCACCACAACCAATGACCAATCCACAAAGCTTTTGATCTTATATCAAATTCGTGCGTAGATTTTATGAATAACCCTATCAAACCAATTCCGGAACTTTTTGGATTTGGCGCAGATCCTAAAATGAAATGTATGTAAGAGGAAGGTTTAAAAGAAGGGGAATAAAAAAAAGAGAGGAGATTTTGAAGATCTAACGAAAAAAATCTGAAGATTAGGAAGACTGATTTCGAAATGTGGATTGAAGCCGTCAATAGATATTCTGGGTATCAAAAAAATCCGAGGGAAAGAAAACAAATTGGAATTGTTGCAGAGAGAGAGAGAGAGAGGAATGGAGAAAAAGAGAGAGAGTTTGAAATGTGAGTGATCCCTTAAATTGCGAATAGCCTATACGAAAATTAGGGGAGTAACGAATGCAACGAGGTTTATTTTAGGAAATTCAACGAACAGCTTCAACAAGCCAAGCAGCAGCAGCTGTTTTCCATCTGTCTCTTAGACTCCAGAGGAACAGAGATCGCCATTAATGGCGAAATACGATTACGAGAAACACTTGACTCTTTTCGACTCTCTCAAGTTCAGTGTTGAACTTGAAAACAAAAGAGACTCTTTTGCCACGTGGAGTTCTGTGGACCCCAGGTCAACGACCCTATCTTAGACAATTGTTTATTCATACTGGGCTCGACTGTTATGGGCTGCTTCACCGTTTACTAAATTAGGGACTTTAACGTTTTTAGATAAATGATTTACTTGTTCTTTGTCAAGATTTTTGATAATTCCACAACATTTGAGCTAATTAGTCAAAGAACGCAACTTAGGAGACATTAATATGTAGGAGAGGCAAGATTTCATAACAAAAACGATTTTTAATATATAAATCAAATTCTTAGTTGAAGACAAAAGTCTCAAGTCGCTACAAAACATATGATAACGCAGAGATCGAAAACACAAGAATACTGAAGAAGCAGAACTAATAGCCTCCTTTGAGATCGTTGACGACGTCGTAAGGGATGGGAGTGACGGTTTCCAAGGTCATGCCTTCAACCATGAAACCAGGTTTGGGGCCTTTGGGCTGTCTCTTGGTGCTGATGGTCTCACCCTTGGCTTTGGCTGCAGCCTTGAGCACGTCATTGTTCTTCTTCCTCAGAATGAACTCCTCTTCGCATCTCGACTGCTGCACATGCTCCACACGCACATGGATCCTCTTCCTTATGATCCTGTTCCCAATCTGAAACACAACCCCAGAATTGCATCATTAGTCATGGTGAAACCAAACATACCAACATTTCAATCATCAATAATCGAAGAACATTCAACCAAATTGATGCAAATTGAGGATAAATCATAAGCGAAAATACATTTGACACACTCCATACGATGCAACACAACGAATGTCAAGGCTCAACACTAAACGAAACCTAAGTAATCAATTTTCAGATCAGCACAAAGAACATGAGGCCTATAAAAGTATAAAGCTCAAAACCTTAGCAGAATTGCAGTAAAGGACGAGATTTACATTCTATGATTCAGCACAATTTATATAACACAAGACGGTCCACACCAAATTCATTTCAGACTGTCAGAATCAGGATAAGAACTCTAACAAGCTCTAAAGTAGCTGAGAGATCAAAGGTTTATAAGAGATGTGAGTTCAACAGACCTGTTTGTTGACTTCGACACCGACGGCGCGTTTGGTGACGTTCCAGATTCGGCCGGTACGACCATGGTAGAACTTGTGAGGCATACCCTTGTGGATCGCACCATTCACTTTAACATCGACGTAGTCGCCGACCTTGAAGGTCCTCAGGTACGTCGATAGAGGAATGTAACCCTTCTTCCTGAACGGCCTCGCGAACAGATCCCTCGTTCTCGCCCGGACTCCATGACCAGCCGGCATTTTTCACCGAGATGGAAGTAAAACCCTAGAAATCGCCGAACAAAGGAAATGAGAAAGACGACGCTTATTTATACGTCTTCTGAGCTTAGGGTTTCTTTAACGGGCCGTGTCCTAGATTTGGGCTTGTTTTTGTATTCCGTGGATAGAGATTTGGCCTTAACCGTAAATACCGGTTTGAATCTCAATTGATTTTATCTTATGAATTAACATATAACCCTTATACTATAAAACATACGTGTTATAGCCCCAAACTAACATAAAGTTTAATTAAACCCAATACCATGTTAGAGAGGTAACAAGTTAATTCTTCCAGAATTTTGTTTTGATTCAGTCTTCAAGAATCAGAAATGAAAAAAATCTAAACGAAGAGAAACTACAAGAAAAACCCGTGAACAAAATTTTACAACGACAGTAAAAAAGGAGTGTAAAAAAGAACAAATGAAATGAATATTATTGTTGAAGAAGAAACACTTGGAAGAATCTGAATCTAAATAAGCTTCTTCCTCTCAAAGTATTGCTTCAAGTAGAGTACCTGTAAACCAGAGACAGCAATACAAATACCCAGCGACATTATACTGTACCAAGCCACTCTCGAGTTCGTTTTCTCACTCACTGTCCTCATCTCTGCTTCTCTGCAAATTGCCATTTTTTAGGCCACAAAACTTGAGAATGAGAATCATAAACCAAGGCAAGAGCAGTAATTTGCAGCTGAAGATTTTTACCTGAGTCTAAGGTAGAGTAAATTTTCATGGATGGCTTCGACTGCACCTTCAAGTTTCTTAATCTCCAGCTCCACTCCCTATGTCAACCAAGCAAATCAAAATTTCATAAAGTAACAAACTTTGAAGATTTTTTTGAGCTAGAAGGTTATATTGAAAGCTCACCTCGATCTTCTCTTTCTTAGCAATAGAGACCCAATCCTTAGCAGCGATTCCAGTTTTCCAGTCAACGCTGATGCTAACATTCTTGTTCCCGTGACTCTGTGCATCTGCCCAAAAGCAAGCCATGTAGTTCCCGGATTCTTGTGTTGTAAATGCGAATTGGCCATGCGTTACGTTGTCCGCGTTGTGCAGCTTGTTGCCGTATGGTGATGTCACCTGCAACATTCAAATATTCTCAAAACTCAGAGCCAAATAGAACAGAGAAACACCATGCAGTGACCACTCTGTTTTCGCAATTTCCATATTCGAAAATCAGATGCATTCATGATTTAACGTACAGTTTTAAGGAAAATTCCATATAAGGAAACTTGGATCGAGCATTAACAAGCTCCTTACTAATTCGTTTTGATTAGTCTGAATTGTATTTAGGGATCGAGTGACAAAGTGCAGATTCAAATCACTGAACAAGCTATTAGAGATTGATCGGGACTGAAATTACCTTGACAGAGATAGTGGGTAAGATGTTATGATCCTCGGAGATGATGAGGTAATCGGCCAAAACGACGACATTGCTCTGGATTTCTTCGGATACACACTTTGTTCCGGTGGTAGGCACGTCTAGCCACACCGCCTCGCCGACGGGGATCATCACCGGAACCAGAAATACGAGAAGGATCGCCGTCGGGAGGCCACGGCGCATCTCTGCAGCCATCTTCATCGAGCTTTCAAACTTTCCAATTGTGTTCGTCGATCGTTGTAATGTGGTGTCCGGATCTTTGCTCCGAGTGGTGTTTTTTTTCGTTTGTTCATCATAATTTTTTTTTCTGGTTGGTTTGTTCTTGGGAAGCTGAAGCGTTAGTTGGGCTTTTATTACATTAACCCATGGGCTTGAGAATTGAGATTAGGTAATTGCATTTATATATCATGTAGTATGTTTTAATCGCTAAACAAACAAAAATAACTAAACTGGATTAAATTGGTCAGTGCATTTCAACTAGTTTATCTTCTCTAATCTCATTTCCTTTGTTTTTTTAATAAGAAAAAGTCTTATATATGGATAGACGTGCACTTTGCATTCATCAAAGCAAGAATTGGCAAACTTCAATATATTAAACGGATTGTGGATTCCGTTTTGTTTTTAAAAAGACAAATTGTCAAACTTAAACTAATGGATGTGGATGGATAAAACAGCTTAAATAATTGAGGATTATCTTATACATATCTGCTCAGATACAGGCATACAGCTCATCATGCCATTGGTGGTATTGTTTTAATAATATCTGTAACTTATACTTATCCCTTTACGAAAATGGTATCCTTGTTGCAAAGTCGACCCAACATCTAGCAACAAAATCTTTATGAATTCCAAGTCGTATTTATCATCGTCTATAGCCAGGACCGTCCTAATTTGAATGGGCAGTTGGTGATATATTTGTCCGTCTGATTTACACTGCACGTGTAACGTGTTGTGCATGTGCTAATGAAGTAACTTGATCCGTATATATTCCGCGTCAAATTTCAACTCCAATGAAAAGGATAGAAGGCAGAAGTGTATTGTTGTGTCAGAACGGTAGTTGAATAAATAACTCCCATAATTATTACCTGATTAGTACTATACAGCACAAGATACTGTATTTATCCACCAACAAAATCAAACTGAAATTGGGGATTCGGATTTCGGATAAAGCCATTCTCCATGATAATTGCTAAGTCAACAATGGCTTATTACCTACCAATTCTTTTTATCTTTACTAAATTCCATGAATATAAAGGCATGGCTTCGTGCTTCTCTTCTCTTTTTCGTTTTTCCTAATCGTGTAATCTTATGGAATTTATAATACATCTCTGATCAGAGATTCTTAAGCGCGTTAAGTCACTGCGTACGGAATCGAATCACAACTTTTATAGTTTTTTTCATAGCTTTAATCCTTGATTAGCGAGCCTAATTTTTATTTTATTTTTGTCGCTAACACGAAAATCCAGAGCTCATATTCTTCGAATCGTTCGTTGTAAAAAAAAGAGTGAATCGAAAGAGAGAAATGTGGTCAATGGGTTTGATTAGGCGTACGGCAATGTCCGGCGCGATTAGAGCTTCTTCGCAGAGGACTTGGCTCAGTGGTGGCGGGTTAAGGAGCCTCACCGTCAAAGCATCGCCGGAGGAGGAGGAGAAGAATAAGGAGATAACAATGGCGGAGGCGAAGAAGCTGATGAGGCTGGTGAATGTCGATGACATGAAGAAGAAGCTTCTCGGTATGGCGGAGAGAGACGTCGTCTCTTACAGTACACTTTTAGAAGCTTCTCAGGGAATGGGAATCGCCAGATCTCTCGATGAAGCTCGCGTCTTCGCTCGCGTCCTCGACGACGCCGGCGTCGTTATCATCTTCCGGGATAAAGTCTTTTTACACCCAGACAAGGTCCGAGAAATTACCCAAATTCCCGAATCGAGAACCCTAATTTCAATCGTGCTCGATCTGAAATCTGTGCTTTTTATTTTGTTTCAGGTGGTGGATCTGATTAGACGAGCGATGCCATTGGAAGAGAACACGGAAGAAGATCAAATCAAGGACGAATTCAGGAAGATGATAATCGTGAAGGAAGAGATCGATGTTCAAGCTCACAGGCAAGTGAGGAAGATCCTCTGGTGCGGTCTGGGTACTTCGATGGTTCAGATTGGACTCTTCTTCAGGCTCACTTTCTGGGAATTCTCGTGGGATGTGATGGAGCCAATCACGTTCTTCGCTACAGCGACTGGAATCATCGTGGGTTATGCTTACTTCTTGATGACCTCGAGAGATCCGAGTTATCAGGACTTTATGAAGAGGCTGTTCCTCTCGAGGCAGAGGAAGTTGCTCAAGAGCCAGAGGTTTGATGTGGAGAGGTTTAAGGAATTGGAGAGGATGTGCAAACCGACGTCGTCTTGTCACGCAGCTATCTCCATACGGAATCGTGTTGGCTTAGAACTTGATCTCGACGATGCGTTACAGAGCCGCAGAGATTAGTGACACAAGAAAACACCCAATTTTTCTTGATCTTTGGGTTTGTTCTTCAAACTGAAGCGAAAGATGATTGTTTTCGTTAATCTTTCTGCTCCTAATTCATAAGTAACCATTGACATTTGTTACTGTAAACATGTTGAACAATTTATTACTGTAAACATGTTAAAACATTTTAACAAATTTTGGTTTTTGAAAGGGATTTTGGTGTGTGCTTCAATTTTAAGAAGAGCCCAACATGGTTTTGATACAAATGGGTTGGGTCCAAACTCCAAAGTACCTCCTATACACTTAAATTAGTGTGTTAACTAAGAAAAGGGTTAAATTTAGTAGGTGTGTAGTTAGTTATGATTTATGCATGTTGGCTTTCTATTAATGTCCAAAACTGTAAAATAGTCAACCAACAATTTTGTTGCTTACGATTTAATGTCGTTATCTTTGTGGAGAGGTTTACTTTACAATTTACATGCATTCTGAGAATAGAATGATTAAAAGTTTTGAACTAAGATTAGAAATGTTGTTAAGTTTTCAGATAAGACTAATACAGTAAACAATTAGTGTACTCAGTTTCCTCGTGAATTGATATCTCAGTTTATGAAAGGTCGATAAAACAAATATGGAAAGTCCCTTAATCCCCCAGAAGCAGATACCAAAACGCTAAAAGCCGAGAAAACGTGAAGCCCATAAGACTAGCGTTGTCGTCTTCCCCGAACACCACTTTCCACTTCTGGTTACTGCCTTCATTAAACACTACCCCATCCTTCTCTCTCTCTCTCTCTCTCTCTCTCTTCGTTGTATTCATTTTTTTATTAATAAATTTACTTTTCATCTTATCCTTTGGACGATTCTCTTTGATCAGATTTAGATCACCTTCAATTTCTTCTTCCACTTGCACAGTGATAGTTACATCGGTGAAAAAATATCAGCTTAATTGATTAATTTCCGAATAGTAGAGGAAAAAAAAAAGAGTCTTTTTGGAATCCCAGAAAGCTGCCAAATTTTAAAGTGTTAATCTACTGTTTCTGCTCCAGTTCTCTTCATATTTCTTCACCCCACCACCGTTCTGTTTTCTCGAGAGGAAATGTTACCGGCGAAGCCGACCTTGTTATTGATTTGCGCGTGAAATTTGTCTTTTTTCCAAGATTAGCTTTTTTTCAATTATTTCTCCTATTATAATATATACAATACAGTTTCGCCCATACTCCGATACATGGGCATACGTATTTTGGTGGTCCCATTCGTCGTCGTCGTCTGTGTAAGGGAGCACAAATAATAGAGAAGAGAGAAGCAGCTGAAGCTGAGGCGGTGATCGAGGTCTAAGAAAATATTAGAATAAGAAAAGAATAGCCTCTGAGGAGTGTGACTAGACAAGATCCGATCATGGTTTCTTGAAACTTCTCTTTCGTTAAAGGTAGCTACTTTCCTTTTCCCCAAGTTTCCTCCTTTTTTCTTTTGGATTTACATATAAATATTGAAGCTTGCTTCGATTGTTTTCTGCTTAGTACTTAGCAGCAACTGGAGTCTACTCTTCTTACTGCGTACGCTCTTGTCGGAATTTCTTTTTTTTTTTAATTTTAATCCTTACTTTGAAGTGAATTAGTTCTGTTGTGTTCTCTGCGAATAAAGATTTTTTGTCCAAGTCTCGTTTGATCTGGCTTGATGTTTGTTTGTTTGTTCTTACTCAAATTTTTGCAGTCTGTGACCATTTAGGAGAAGAAGCATTCAATCAGTCTCATCCTCTTAGCTCTTTTCAATCTTAAGATTGCTTTTGCAGTTGGACTTTACTGCCCCTTTTCAAAAGGTATGCAGCTGTATTTGAGTGTTGAAAAGAAAATTAGCTCAGATCCTCGTTACTGTTAGTGTTGTGTACTGGATTCTCTCTGTTGAGTATCAACAATACATGCTAGTTGTCGAGATCTTGGTGATTTTGGATTGTAGGATTACTTAGAAAGGTAGTGTTCATGGAATCCGACTCCTTGGCTATGTTCTCATACCTCATAATTAAAATGATTTGGTTGGTCTGAAAATGATATCATTGAACAGTGGAATATGGCAAGATCATTTCTGTATTTGTAGCGTCCTGTTTCTGGATTTAGCTAGGTAGACTTTCTAGACGGAGTTAGTCAAGTCCATGGCTCTTACTTCTTAGTGTTTCATTTTTATGCTTATGTATATTCGCTTGTATGACTGGTGATAAGTGTTCTTGTGATCATATGACTACGGCTTGTGAATGTTTGATTCCCTCTTTATTGAACTTAGTTCTTGTTGTCTTGTGTCTCTGTGTGTCAGGAAAAAAATGTCAGGCGCTAGGCCGACTCAGTCATCTGAGGGCTCGAGGCGATCAAGGCATAGTGCTAGGATCATTGCGCAGACCACTGTAGATGCGAAGCTCCATGCTGATTTTGAGGAGTCAGGCAGTTCCTTTGATTACTCAACCTCAGTGCGTGTCACTGGCCCGGTGGTGGAGAACCAGCCACCAAGGTCTGACAAAGTTACCACGACTTATCTTCATCACATACAGAAGGGAAAGCTGATTCAGCCCTTCGGTTGTTTGCTTGCCTTGGATGAGAAGACCTTCAAAGTCATTGCATACAGTGAGAATGCTAGCGAACTGTTGACAATGGCAAGTCACGCGGTTCCTAGTGTTGGCGAACACCCTGTTCTCGGCATTGGGACAGACATAAGGAATCTTTTCACTCCTCCTAGTGCCTCTGCGTTGCAGAAGGCTCTTGGATTCGGAGATGTCTCCCTCCTGAATCCCATACTTGTGCACTGCAAGACATCTGCAAAGCCCTTTTATGCGATTGTCCACAGGGTTACAGGGAGCATCATCGTCGACTTTGAGCCAGTGAAGCCTTATGAAGTTCCCATGACAGCTGCTGGTGCTTTACAATCATACAAGCTCGCTGCCAAAGCGATCACTAGGCTGCAGTCTTTGCCCAGTGGAAGCATGGAAAGGCTTTGTGACACCATGGTTCAGGAGGTTTTTGAACTCACGGGGTATGACAGGGTGATGGCTTATAAGTTTCATGACGATGATCACGGCGAGGTTGTCTCCGAGGTTACAAAACCGGGACTGGAGCCTTACCTTGGTCTGCATTATCCAGCTACAGACATCCCTCAAGCAGCTCGTTTTCTGTTTATGAAGAACAAGGTCCGGATGATCGTTGATTGCAATGCAAAACATGTTAGGGTGCTTCAAGATGAGAAGCTTTCCTTTGATCTTACCTTGTGTGGCTCCACTCTCAGGGCACCACACAGCTGCCATTTGCAGTACATGGCCAACATGGATTCAATTGCATCTCTGGTTATGGCGGTTGTAGTTAACGAGGAAGATGGAGAAGGAGATTCTCCTGATTCTACTACACAGCCTCAAAAAAGAAAGAGACTATGGGGTTTGGTGGTTTGTCATAACACGACTCCAAGGTTTGTTCCGTTTCCTCTGAGATATGCCTGTGAGTTTCTAGCTCAAGTGTTTGCAATACACGTCAACAAGGAGGTGGAGCTGGAGAACCAGATTGTGGAGAAGAACATTTTGCGCACGCAGACACTCTTGTGCGATATGCTGATGCGTGATGCTCCGCTAGGTATTGTGTCACAGAGCCCCAACATAATGGACCTTGTGAAATGTGATGGAGCAGCTCTCTTGTATAAAGACAAGATATGGAAACTGGGAATAACTCCAACCGAGTTCCATCTTCAGGAGATAGCTTCATGGTTGTGTGAATACCACACGGATTCAACGGGTTTGAGCACGGATAGCTTGCACGACGCTGGGTTTCCTAGGGCTCTATCTCTTGGGGATTCAGTATGTGGAATGGCGGCTGTGAGGATATCATCGAAAGACATGATTTTCTGGTTCCGTTCTCATACCGCTGGTGAAGTGAGATGGGGAGGTGCAAAGCATGATCCAGAAGATAGAGATGATGCAAGGAGAATGCACCCGAGGTCATCGTTCAAGGCTTTCCTTGAAGTGGTCAAGACAAGGAGTTTGCCTTGGAAGGACTATGAGATGGATGCCATACACTCCTTGCAGCTTATTCTGAGGAATGCTTTCAAGGATGGAGAAACTACTGATGTGAATACAAGGATCATTCACTCGAAGCTAAATGATCTGAAAATTGATGGTATACAAGAACTTGAAGCTGTGACCAGTGAGATGGTTCGTTTAATTGAGACTGCTACTGTGCCAATATTGGCGGTTGATTCTGATGGATTGGTTAACGGCTGGAACACCAAAATTGCTGAGCTGACTGGTCTTCCGGTTGATGAAGCAATCGGGAAGCATCTCCTCACACTTGTTGAAGATTCTTCAGTGGAAATCGTTAAAAGGATGTTAGAGAATGCATTAGAAGGTAACTCTCTTCCTGACTTTTTTGCTAAGAATAATATTTCAACTAGATGACATTGTTAACTCCTAACTGAGTAGCCTAGTCAGAGAAACTTTGTGTATATTAGTTAACTTTGGTTCCATATTTATGCAGGAACCGAGGAGCAGAATGTCCAATTTGAGATCAAGACGCATCTGTCAAGAGCTGATGCTGGGCCAATAAGTTTAGTTGTAAATGCATGCGCAAGTAGAGATCTCCATGAAAACGTGGTTGGGGTGTGCTTTGTAGCCCATGATCTGACTGGACAGAAGACTGTGATGGACAAGTTTACTCGGATCGAAGGTGACTACAAGGCGATCATCCAAAATCCAAACCCGCTGATCCCGCCCATATTTGGCACTGACGAGTTCGGGTGGTGCACTGAGTGGAATCCGGCAATGTCGAAGTTAACAGGTTTGAAGCGAGAGGAAGTGATGGACAAGATGCTGTTAGGAGAAGTATTTGGGACGCAGAAGTCATGTTGTCGTCTAAAGAATCAAGAAGCCTTTGTGAACCTTGGGATTGTGCTGAACAATGCTGTGACCAGCCAGGATTCAGAGAAAGTGTCCTTTGCTTTCTTTACAAGAGGTGGAAAGTATGTGGAGTGTCTGTTGTGTGTGAGTAAGAAACTGGACAGGGAAGGTGTAGTGACCGGAGTCTTCTGTTTCCTGCAACTTGCTAGCCATGAGCTGCAGCAAGCCCTCCATGTTCAGCGTCTAGCTGAGCGAACTGCGTTGAAGAGACTAAAGACTCTAGCTTACATAAAAAGACAGATCAGGAATCCGTTATCCGGGATCATGTTTACCAGGAAAATGATGGAGGGCACTGAGTTAGGACCAGAGCAGAGACGGATTTTGCAAACTAGCGCATTATGTCAGAAGCAACTCAGCAAGATCCTTGATGATTCTGATCTCGAAAGCATCATTGAAGGGTATGCAACAATGAGAGTCTTTTTTAACTTTCATTTTGTATTCTCGCATATGTTTTCTTATGTGGGGATTTGACTGCGTGCAGGTGCTTGGATCTGGAGATGAAAGAGTTTAGCTTAGATGAAGTGTTGACTGCTGCCACAAGTCAAGTTATGATGAAGAGTAATGGAAAGAGCGTCCGGATCACAAATGAGACTGTAGAAGAAGTGATGGGTGATACTTTATATGGAGACAGTATTAGACTTCAACAGGTCTTGGCAGATTTCATGCTCATGTCTATTAACTTTACACCATCCGGAGGTCAGCTAACTGTTGCAGCTTCCCTGAGGAAAGATCAGCTCGGACGATCTGTGCATCTTGCTTATTTAGAGATCAGGTAAAAATATTATTGTCCAGGATACACAATATGATGTGAAAAGAAAGTGTGTATTGAGAATATTGGGTTTATGAAAACAGGATAACGCATACCGGAGCTGGGATACCGGAGTTTTTGCTAAACCAGATGTTTGGGACTGAGGAAGAAGTGTCAGAGGAAGGATTGAGCTTGATGGTTAGCAGGAAGCTGGTGAAGCTGATGAATGGAGATGTTCAGTACTTGAGACAAGCTGGGAAATCGAGTTTCATTGTCACTGCAGAACTCGCTGCAGCGAACAAGTAGAGTCCCAAACGGTTTATGGCTGGTTATATGATAATATCACTGGGTTTCTCTTTTGTTTGTTTGTAACTTTGCTTATTGCTTTTGTTTTCATTTTCAACGTTCAATAACGATGAAATATCCATCCGTTTACATCTTCTGTTATCTCTGTTTCTGAAGCTGTGAATATGGATGCATATCTAGTCCCCTCTCGAGTGTTTTGGTTTGTTCCATGATGTATCTTTCAATAAACTAATGTTATGAGAAATGAGCTAATTTTTACTGTCGATCATGGTCATAAGAACAGAAACTCTGTTGTCTATCTATTTACCTCCTCTTATTTCGGGTTTTATATAGATTGTGTTTGTACTGACTGCTTCTTGTCTCTCTGAGTACAGCTTGACGATGGAGAGGATCTGGAGTCTATGCAACAGGTCAGAGTGTAGAGGTAACGTATGATCCTTAACTATGTTGCAAGAATCTTTGGTTCAACAAGTGGCTTTAAATTAACTCCATGGAGAAGCAGACAGGATTATAAATTGTACAAGGATCTAATTAGCTGGCCATATGAAGTACACTTAGTTTTGAAAGAAGAAGCACATGGGAGTAACTGAGTAAGTACAAGATTTGATCTTAGTATAATTTTAGTTAATCCGTTTTATTAGGCGTACACGTAAGAGTCTCTCAAGTTGATTATTTTATATGAATGGTCAGCTAAAGTAGCTTACCTGCTTTCATATTTTAGTTGAAAATTTTAAGATCATATCAACATCAGCTTACCTGCCTCTAGTCAAACTTAAACCAAAAAATAAATTTGGATTATACAGAAGATAAACAATACAGGAGAGCTCAAATTGCACACTCAAAGATCAGTTATTGGTTTTATTACAGAAGATGAATACAAAAAGGAGAAAAAGATCTCTCCTTTTACAAACCATAACCAAAAAAACTGTAATGAATTTGGAGAATGATCAAATCATTTCTTGGGTTGGAACTTGGTTTTGATGTGTTTGACAGTTCCTGGAGATGTCTGAAAGGCTTGAGCCAAGATGTTGTCAGGAACAGGAGGCGTAGAGCCGAACAGAGTAGCACCAAGAGACTGAGTCCCAGGAAGCTGACTGTTGAAAGCAGCGATGACAGAAGCAGGAACACGACCGTTGTTCTTCTGGAAATGGACAAGTCCTTTAGGGAAAGCAAAGACGTCTCCTTTCTTGAGAGACTGAGAGATGAGCTTATTGGCGGTTGTGAGAAACCCAACGTCGAGTGTTCCTTCGAGGACGAAGACGACTTCGGTGGCACGTGGGTGCGTGTGAGGTGGGTTCAAGCCTCCAGGTGCGTAATCGATGCGAGAGAGAGAGACGCCGAGTGTGTTGAGCCCTGGGATCGTCATTACGTTAGCTCCTGTGACTAAGGCACCGAATGTGTTGTTCGTGAGACCTGGATTGGCTAATCCTTGTGAGAAGAAATCTGAAGATGAGACTGAAGCTGCGTCTTTGCAAGGGAAGCCATTGACTTTGATTCCTGCAAAAAAAAGATGAGATTTTTAGGGGATTGGGATTAAAGATGAGATCGGAAGTTGGTGAGTTTGGATTCTTACCGGAGGAGAGATCAGCTACGCAGAGGTCTTGGAGCATGTCGGGATCTGCGGAGGATGTGATGAAGAAGGAGAAGACGGCGAGGCCGAGGAGGAGGAAGAGAGTTGGAGTTGGTGAAGCCATGGATTGTTGTTGTTAATGGTGGGACTGGAAACAGTTGCGAATTATTGTTTATAAAGGAGAGAGGAATTGAGGAGGCGATGACTTTTCTTGCTGAGAGAAAAAGCAAGGAACATGCTGTTTTTTTATTTCTCCTTAATCTCTCTCTTCTGTCCAAATGAAAATTGTGAAATGTCAAAGGTCAACGACTTGTAACGGATGGATCAGGGCTGTGGAATTTAATAAAATGGCTGTATATATATTTAATGATTTCACGGTATGAAGTATGAACTCTGTAATGTCGTCTCATGTATAGAATTTTTTTGGATTATGAAAGACTTTTTATATTCTTGTGTAGTTTTCAATATATTCAAAACTTTCTGTTTCTTACTTTGTCTTCTTTTGCTTCAAAAAGCTATAACCCATCTTTTACAGTTAAGTAAATTTTTGATAATAATGTCAGAAAATGTTTGGTTGGATCACACTTCTACTAGAATGGAAAAATCTTTCCGGCGTAAGTGTGATCCAATTAAATTGTGAACTGGTTAATGTTGGTGTGAAAAAACTACTGGATCCGTGTATATAAGAACATTAACTTTTAATATACTAAAATCCCAAATATAAAAGAACTTGCCTCTTTACCGTTTATGTGATGCTTGCATTTAGTGTGCTGTGTTGCTTTCAAATGTAAAAGAACCTGCCTATTTGGTAAAAAAAACTACTTTGGGAAATGCTTGTCTTTATCTGGAGATGTTTATCATTGAGAACTTGATTTGCATAAAGGTCCTCCGATTTTGATGCCTTTTTTTATTGCTACGATACTTTCATTCTGTTCTGCCGATTGGCGTTGCGAATAACATGAAGCCCTGAAGCTATGTGTCGTCTTTAGTGGGCTGGATCTATTGGTGATTCGACTTTGGGCTCAGATTCAAAATGTAGAGTCCTTAGCAAGAAAACAACATTTTCCGTTAATTACTCCCTATGACTGGTATTTAATGCTATGCGCTCTCTGGTCTTTATTCGTAGTTGAGTTTCCATGCAAAAACATGTTTCTACTAAAGATCAGGATTCAGGATGAATATTGATTTCTTTTGCTTTCTTGGCTGCTTATATATTGACCACTTTACGTACGTCTCCATATACTTATTTCATTCATCCATCAAGAGAAATTATGAATGCAGTTTTGGGGTGTTGGAGTCTCGCAAGACTCATTCTCTTCAGCATTCTTGCAAATGGGGTAATTGGTTTTGATGAAATGGATTTGTTCAACGATTTCGATGGAACATATATGTTTCAGGATCAAGCTGGTGGAAATGTTCTGATGGTATAGGACTCACTCTTGTTCAATCCGCTGCAGCTTAAGGAGCGGGTAACACTCCTTTTCCAATTCATTTCGATTGAGATCTAGGCTTAAAATGTTTCAAACGCCAACTTGTTCGTTTGTGTTTGTATAAACGCCAATATGAAAAGAAAAATAAAAAATCAACACAGTATATATAATTTTTCTAAGTTTTTGAGTATATTACTTTGGAAAAAGGGTTTCTTTTCTACTTTTGTAATTTTGCTTAAAAGATTGTATTTTTTATCACTTAAATGAATGATTTTAGATAACACATTTGTACATACTTTTTTTTTTAGTAATATGGTTATTTTCCTTTGTATCTATATATCTTCAAAGAATTGGCAATAACGAAATCTCATCTTTGAATAATGATTGATCAAATGTAAACATTTTAAACGCCAATTATTGAAAAGATAATCTATTGAAGACATTATTTTCACAATCTCATTTCGATGTAAATATTTGTCTTGTAGCTTTTGAACTCTTGCAAGCAAATTCTTTCCATCTTTCAAAGCAATTTGTTTGTTTGTTACTTTGTTCTATTTTCACTTTTCAAAAGTTTGAAGATTCCTACGACGTTCAGTTCTACAATTTTTGGTGGGAGAAAATATGAATGATTTATCTCTTAATTTTAAATAAATTATAGTGTAAATTACAATAATTCTTAATCAGTTTGTTTTCTAGACCACCACCATTGAACACATAAATAAATTAGACCAGAAAATACAAAAAAAAAGAGAGATTATCATTGAAGAAAATGATGTTCTTTTATTTGTCAAAAAACAAAAAAATGATGTTTGTTTCGTGCTTCTCTCTCTCTCTCTCTCTGGTTTTGTTTTGTAACTTAGTTTCCATATAAATACGAATTTATCACAAAAGACCAGGAATCGATCGATACTGTTACAATAATCACGAGATCTCGGAGATTACGAGCTGAGTTGGAAGGAAATCTCCTAACAAATATTGTCTTCAGCACTTATATATATAGTGACCATTTTTAAGTACGTCTCCATATTCATTTCATTCAATCACTAAGAGGAAAATGAATGCGCTTCTGTGGAGTTGGAGTCTCACAGGACTGATTTTCTTAAGCATTCTTGCAAATGGAGTGGTGGGTTTTGATGAAAAGTACTTGTTCACCGATTTCAATGGCACAAATGTGTTTGAGAAAAAAGTTGAATCAGGTCTTGCTAATGTTCTTATGGTAGGACTCACTCTCGTCCAAGCCGCTGCTGCTAAAGGAGCGGGTAAGAGTCTCTTTTTTACATTCATTTGGATTTAGATGATCTAGACTTCGAATGTTTTTCAAACGTCAATTTCTTCAGTTGTGTTTGTTTTTATGTGTGGAAGAAAAAGAATTCAAAATTTCAGTTTAAAAAAAACATAAAATATCTTTCAGTTTTTGAGAATGTAATTTTGCAGGAAGTGTTGGTTTGACTTCTTCGTCTCCAATTAACACAATAATTTAACACATTCTAATAAAAACATGTAAACTCAAACAAACAATGGAGACCATATATACCTTGATTTTTTCATTTTAAAAAGTTCTTATTTGATTGACATTTTTCATGACGTAATTAAGGAAAAGTAACTTTGTTGTGGCAGTTTGTCTGGATGGGTCCGTGCCTGGATATCATCTGCATCGTGGGTGTGGTACAGGAGCAAACAAGTGGATCATTCAGTTGCAGGTTAGTACAATAGTACACAAGATGATAAGGATATATAAGATTGTCATTACGGTTTAATGTTTTAACTCCTGTCAGTGTCATGTGTTTAAGGTGTGCATAGTAATTCGGATAATTAGCTTGTGATTCGCTGACCCCGGCCTTGTTAATTGCATAATCTCAAAGACTTTGTACACTATCTAGTATCTAAGCATGACATCATCATCATCATATCATACCACTTAATTTTATATATAGGGATATACCAAATAATTACTTCTATTAAAAAAATTCTAACTACCATTAGCAAAAAATTAGATCATCAAGTTATATCATTTATCACCTAACCTTAAAGGTCAATTTTGTTGAAAGGGTGGTGCGTGGTGTGACAGCATAGAAAATTGTCAGAACCGAAAGAACAGTAGTTATGGATCGTCCACACTAATGGAGAAAGAGTTAGCTTTTATAGGAATACTAAGCAATAAAGCCGCTGAAAATCCAGGTTTTCTCAAGATTTCTTATTGAAAACGAAATTGTGAGGTTGGTGGAATTGTACTGAATACTTCTCTCTCGTTTTTTTTTTTTTTTTTGCTAAACAATGTTACGCAGACTTTTACAACTGGAATAAAGTAAAAGTCCGGTATTGTGATGGCGCATCCTTTAGCGGTGATAGCGAAAACAAGGTTAGCGTAAACCATAAAGATATCTTTGGTTTTAGTTGATTGTCTATTATCTAATATCATTATACATTTCATTAGTAATTTAGCTAAAGATACGGATTCCTATGGTTGCTTGATTACAATTAGGAGGCACAACTTCAGTTTAGAGGAAAGCGTGTATTTTTAGCTGTTATGGAAGATTTGATGGCAAAGGGAATGTGCAAGGCCAAAAAGGTACTTAGATTCCATATTTTGCTTCGCATTTTGAATATGTCTCTATCTAACCCTAACTTATAAGTTGGTATGACGTACGATAAGGCTTTGCTCAACGGATGTTCCTCTGGAGGTCTTTCATCGATTTTACGCTGCGATGATTTCAAGGGTTTGTTTCCTCGTACCACCAAAGTAAAATGCATGAGCGATGCTGGCTTCTTCCTCGATACGTGAGTTATCTCGTTTTTTTCTTTTCTTTTCAAGCTTTCTTAGAGCAATAGACGATGGATATATATATATTGACTGTTTGCAATTACTGAAGCGTTGATATATCTGGAGGTCATTCTATAAGGCGTATGTATTCTGGTGTCGTTAACGCCCAGGTACAAGTATAATATAACTTATCATGTGTCTAATGTATTGATGATGATATATATAGATATCGTTGAAGGCTGACCAAATTAAAGTTTTTTTTTTCAAAACATTTAGGGCTTGCAAAACACGCTTCCTTGTACCTGTACAAGCCATCTTGATCCAACTTTGGTATTCATCATTCCCCAAACGTTTCTCGTTCCTCTTTTAATTTACTAAGTTGATTCATTCCAATATTTCACAGTGTTTTTTCCCTGAAAACATAATCAACCAAGTCAAGACCCCGTTGTTTATTCTCAACTCCGCATATGATTCGTGGCAGGTTATTATTATTCGATCTCCGTCTTATGTTTCTTGTTTACTATGAATCAAGGGTTGTTTTGTCTTATATATTTGTTTTTGATTTTGGTGAACTCGTAAAAAATAAAAAGAGTAACGAAATAGGAGCAAATCGCCATTTTTAGGGTTTCTAGCTAACTAAATATGTGAATGAAGTAGGACACTTGGGACTTGGGAGCACTTCTTGATTTTAGGTCAAGTTAAACACTATATTCCTTATTTTGCAGATTGAAAATAGTATAGCTCCACCATCTGCCGATCCGAGTGGCAGTTGGCATAATTGCAGCTCCAGCTTCAAGTGCAACGACTCTCAGATGCAATTCTTGGAAGGTACGTAATTAATGATATATTTATGGAACCTGCATATCTCTTTTGGTCTAGTATATTGTTTAAGATACCAGCTCTTCACAAGCTTTCGGAAAGCTGATCAAGATTGTTCTTGTTTTGGAAATCCGAGTCGTACAGGTTTCAAGATGAGCATGTTAAATGCGGTGAAGAATTTTTCGATGTCAAGCAAGAACGGAGTGTTTATTAACCCACGTTGGGCTCATTGTCAAGCGGAGAGAAAAGATACTTGGTTTCCCGGAAACTCTCAACCGGGTGAAGATAAGGTAAGGAGAACAAATAAAACGCTCTTAATTTTGCAGTTGATCAGTGATCATGATATATTCTTATATTGTTTCAAACACATTTTCATACAAACGTGTATAATTACATACAAAATAATTAATGTTTGTATCTTCTTGTTTGAACAAAACAAACAGGGAATTGCGGTAGCCGTTGGAGACTGGTATTTCAATAGAGCAAAAAAGTAAAGCTCATAGACTGTGATTATCCTTGTGACAACAAGAATCTTCACTAGGAAATGTTTCCATACATAGGCAGCGGTTCCATACATGTATTTGTATTCAGCTCACAATTTAAACCTCCGAAGTTTCCCTCTCGAAATAACAAAGAATGCTATTTGTCCTATTATTAGGATGTTATAGCATCAACATATATATTTTCCGAATGTCGTTGTTAATTCTAATATTATAAAGGTTTGTTTTTGACGTCAAATTATATACAGATATATAATATAAGTGAAGAAATCACAGGACAGAAAAAGGACAAAGATTCCACGACATTCTCTATTTTTTTTTTTCCATTTCTTTACGCACGATATATCTTTTTCTATTGCTTATAAACCGCGACAAGTGTTTACATAACATATATACGCCAATCAAAACTAACACAATGATTGGTTCATTGTAGCCTCAATTATTCGGTTCACATGCACTCTCGTCTCTCGCGTCCTTATTATAATGCAAATGCATATTTATGATAATATTAATATATCTAAATCCTCAAACTGATTACTCTTTTGGTGATCGGTAAATATATAATCCATATACTTTTTTATTTTATATTTGATTTCGTTATGAAATTTAAAGTCAAACAAACATATATACTTTTTTACTTACCGGTCGAGTTATTGCGTTAGATTATTTCTAAAAAAGTATAAAGTGGTTTTTTTGGATTAGAATCTTAAAAAGTTATAAAGTAAATAAATTGACTTAAGGATAATAAAATGAAAACCATCCCATCACTTCCTTCATGTTTATTAAGGTCAATCCTCACACTATTCCGAATTTTCTACGGCAAAAGAATATTCCGACGCCGGCCAAAACACAAGTTTTTGGTCAAGGGGGACAGTTCCAATTCTCTGATAAGACTCTTATTAAAAGTACAAACAAAGAAGAAGACTAAACCAAAAGACAAACTTTAAAAGAAAAATATATACTATATAGTACCCAGAAATTAAGGGTAGTCGATTCGTAATCTCTCAAATATGTGATCAGTCATTGATTTCAGAAAACGGAAATCATTTAAAAAATAAGCTCGTATTAAAACTTGGGTCCTTTAGAAAAAAAAAAACTGTCCTTTCTAATTAGTTGAGCTAATCCCCACTTTAGTTTATTTATTAGTTTTTTGCTTTAATTTTATGTTTTCTTTTGTCTTTTAATTCATTACAGGACTGCAAAATGGTGAAGGATGTGACTCTGGATCACAACTCGTTCACAGAAACGGACAGAAACTGATTTATTACGTTCATCATTGTTCTTCAACAGATTAATGGCAAATACAGACTTCTCAATCATCGAGAATACTATACAATATACAAAATAATCTTCATAACAAAACAAAAATTAAAAGTATATAGTAAGAGATTGAAATGTTTGCAAAAGAAAGAAGAATATTTGACGTATAAAACACACTTTAAACAAATAAAAACAAAGACAACTCTCATTTTTTTTACCCATGAATATACAGAACACTTGAATCCACTGTACGTATGTATCGTATATCTTTTTGTTCTCTACATCTGTTAGAGGAAAAAAAAAAAGCTAAAGGGACTGACCAAAAGAGACGGCCATTCTCTGAAGATCCTTGGAGAACACGTCACTAGTTTCAGCTGTGCCCAAGTTCTCGTTTTGGCTTTGGCTCCAAGGATCTGACATGTTGGAAACATTGGCTAAGTACTCTGTTTCTGATTTGATGTAGATTGGTTGAGAGCTTTGACTCTGTACAGTGCTCCCATTGAAGAAGGGTGTGTTCAAATACTCTGACCATTTTATTTCTTCGAAGTTATGATTTGGTTTGACTAGTGTCGAAGAAGAAGACGAAGAGTTTGGGATCGTCCATGAGAATCCGCCATTTTCGAAGAAATTCGAGGTGTTGTTTGTCTGGAACTCCCAATTAGGAGCAGCCTGTTTCACATGATCTCCACCGGAGACAGTACTCGAACTGTTTTCCGGAGGAAGGCTTATCGAGGGCTTTACGCTCGCCGGCGTCTGAAAGACAGAGCCAACCATGTTTCCGGGGCTAAACTGCGGCGGAATCATGGAACAGAGTGAAGAATCAGTTGTGACAGAGAGTCCGAGGTTGGAGTTGAAGTTGAGCTTCTGGAAACCGAAGTAGTCGGAGAAATCAGATGGTCTTTCTCCGAGGAAGAAGTCTTGGTTAGTTGCAGAGGAGGAAGTAGGAGACTTGTGGTGGTCGCTGCTGCTTCTTTTGTTGTTGCTTGTTGGTTTGTCTTTGTCACTAAAGCTCTCAACTTCAGAGATGGGTTTGTGTGTGTTTGGGTCAATGCCTCTTTGTTTCAGTTTCTTCTTGATGCTTGAGTTCCATAGATTCTTTATCTCGTTGTCCGTTCTTCCTGGAAGCCTTGCCGCAATCTGAGACCATCTGATCAAAAACAGAGCAGAGCCAAAAACAGAGGAGGGTTAAAGACAATAACTTGATCCTCTGTTAAAACAGAGCACAGCCAAAAACAGAGAAATGAAGCTTAAGACATTAGCATGATACTCTGTTTTCAATGATTTACCTGTTTCCGAGGACGGCGTGAAGTTCGACGATGAGATTCTCTTCCTCTGGAGAGAAAGCTCCTCTCTTTAAATCAGGTCTCAAGTAGTTGATCCATCTCAGTCTGCAACTCTTCCCACATCTCTGCAAACCTGTATTAGTAGACTCAGATCGGTTACTACAGAAAGTGGTTTCTTTTATTTACCATGAATTAAAGGAAGGAATGTTACCAGCGAGTTTAGGGACAGAGCTCCAGCAGCCATGGCCGTGATTGGTGATGTGATTGAGAAGCTTCTCGTCTTCTTCAGGAGACCAAAGCCCTTTTCTCAGCTTTTGTTTGTAGCAGCAAGAATGTCTCCCCATTTAGTTAGCTGAAGCTTCAAATGCTCTGCAAAAGGAACAATGAAAAAGAAGAAAGCTCTGTTTTTCTTTTCAAGTATTGAAAGGAAAAAGTTTTCAAGCAGAGAGAAACTTTTGAAGGTGAATGGAATCTCAGGGAAAAAAGAACAGAAAATGAAGTAACAGATCTGCAGAGAGAGAGAGGGACATAGTATTAATAGAAGTTAGAAAACTAGAAAGGTCACTTTCTTCAGAAGGGTTTGTTGAATTTTATGCTCTCTTTTATTTCCAATCTCTCTGTCTAGAAGTTATTTTTTAAGCAAAAGAAGCAAAAGTGTGTTTTTTTAAAGATTTTTATAAACAATTTGATTGGTCCACTTCAGATTAGCTCACACCAATGGTAATAGGGTCATGGTGAAGAAATGGAGTTTAATTGTAGTTTTGACATTTACATCACACTAATCATCATACATTCGTCATGTCCCTGTGGACCCATTTTCGCAAATTCAAATGCAGCAATTAAAGTATGATCGACACTGATTTCAATCAATCGCCAAAAACTATTTTCTTTTCAAGTTGAAATTTACTTCGACATCTGTGAGTCTAAGTGGTTGAAACATGCTCAATCATGTTGAGCCTGTCCTCCAAGATGTTACGAACCACAACTATACGTAGCCAAAACCGCCGTGACATCAGACTTTTTATATCGGAGATTTACAGAAATTTTGGGAAGATGTTTTCTGTCTCAGTGAAAACAAGTCATAAATTAACAAATCCTGGTGATGATATAATATTCATGGTTAATCGAAATAAATAAATTCAATTTTTTTGTCTTGTGAATTCAGACGAGTCTAGGGCTTACATGGATTCCATTTTCTATTTATGAAAACGGCATGAGTGTTACAAAATTGTATCTAAGTCGCAAATAGACGAGAGGAGAGCTTAGCTTGGAGGAGTGTGTGCTCATAACCCCAGTGTAACGATTTTGGTATGTGACAAAGATATCGCACTCTTTGAGTGATGATGACATGTGAAATAAAAGTTTCTTTTTAGTTTTGCTTTAATATCTATATGTCACCATGCATGCATATGACGACTTTCCGGAAATCTTACAAGAAAATATTTTTGTAGCTACTTAACCCATATATACATATATACTAATGTTTGTGATTTATTGAAAATTCATTTTTAGTATCTGCATGAATGAGTAGAAAACATGAAAAATATATATTTTATATGGACTTCTTAGATCGTTTAAAAAAAAAAAAATCTCAATCAAAATAACTAGCGTGTCGTAGTACATCAAAGAAATAAGAAATCAAAATTTACTAGCTAGAGCGGTCAAAACGTTATACAAAAATTCTTTACAGTGAGAATGGAACAATTAAAGTAACACATAAGATGGTGTGTAGATAAGAACAAATGAATTAAAAGAAGAGTTGTTCGTTGTCGTCATGAAAGACTTCTGCAATGAATTAAAAGCAAATGCTAAATGAGGACTAAATCTTTGTGAAGATGAACGCATCAGTTAAAGGAAATAATGGGAAAGGTTCATAACCAGCAAGAAATTGTCATCATTAGTTAATGTTTCCAGAAATGATTAAATGGAATTCAATGGCTACATAACGGAAACTAGAAATTTTGCTTTAAAAACATGGTTTCTTTTGCAGATGAATAAGAATAATTAAGTGTCTCTTTTGTTTGCTTTATACATTTTTAATTTAAAATTGACTCACTTCTCTTTGGCATTTCTCTCCTTTTCATTGCCTTAAAAACAGTCATAATAGAGAGGGTATATTCTTTGTCCATTCACCCAAACTTTCCCTCAAATATTCACATGTTGAAATCTTTGTAGCTTTTCTTACGTTATCTAGAGACGGCCTCCCGTTAGACTCTTACCGTTTTATCCATTTGTTTATCGGGACCCAATCCTAAAAAATATCGTGGAAAAAGATAAGATGTAGTAAATAAAGTTTATTTTTTAAGTCATGAGGTTAAAACTATTTATTTTCGTATTCTTAAGATACAGCATTCTTTAGCAAAAAGAAAAAAAGAAAAATAAAAATATAGCATATATGTATTGTAACGTCTCCTACCAGTCTCGCTCATAGACAACACATTTTTTTGGTGTAAGTGTAATTTTGGTAAATGGAGAACATTGAAATAAATAAATGGCGTTGCTGTGATTTAGTACCACTAATAGTGTTTTGTTTCAGAATTCGGAATTCATTGTTTATATAATAAGTCGATGCCTCGTAATGAAATTCATTATTTGTTTCATCTAGACTATTACCATGAAGTCTCTAACGAGGGAACATTGTCCAGTGCCATTGTTCATGCAGGAGCCCAAAAAGAAGTCTCGCTAAACAATACAGTATATCTTCTCATAAAAAAATCAAAACCGACATGAAATGTTTCATCCCTAATCAAAAGACAATAAAAATGGACTAGTGGGTTTATTCTAGAATATCTCAAAACCAAAGCTGTCAAAAGATACTTCAAATTTTATAATTCACCAAATGATTAATTACAAGAAATGCAAATAATTTATGGAAAGACTTTGCAAGCGGATACTTTCTTTTTAATCAAGTTCAATAAACTAATACCAATCAACACGTTCTTGCAGTATATCATGGAAAAGAAAACATTATGTTAACTTCAAGTCTTCAACTATATAATATTAATATCCCCTACAAAATGGAACATATTCGATTAGGATCATGCATGATTGAGACCCATCATTTGATCATCAACTCATCATCATCATGATTATAGGACAATCATTCATATATCCGCCGCAGCCCTTCCATTATATACAAACCATATCCGATACCAGATATTTTAGGCGTTGATTTTGATTCGATTAGGAGCATGCATTTGTTTAGGCTGTTTCCAGGTTTCCAGTTACTATTTTCCCTCTGAAAGAATAACCTTGAATAACTAATTTTTATCCCACCATGATTAAGTTTGTTTCATATAACTTGTAATGTAATACACTGAAAATTTATGCTGGCGCATGTAGAGAACAAAGCAAATACTGTCTAGTAAAACTAGTAAAAAGTAGCGGTGTAAATAAATGCATACATAAGCATAAAACACATTTGATCCCATTTCTAGTTTCTTATCTTACGTACGAACCCTTGTATTGGCGAGGAAGGAATGAATAGTTTGCATGGTTGTTCTTCATGCACTAGAATATAAGTTTTTTTACACTGTAGCTATATACTGAAAGAAATGTTATATTAACCATTAAAATAAAAATATATACATATGAGAACATATGAGCTGTTCTTCTCTCTACTCAACTTTCAATCACTCCTCGTAAGGTGATTAATTTGAAAGTGTTAAGTAGAGAAATGAGAAAGGGAATAACATCATTCGGTCGTTGTCGTTTGCCATTGTCACAACTCACGAGGATTACAAAATCTTCGCCGACAAAAAAAATGGAGAAGAAGAGGCTGTACAGTTAACACGTCTCTAGTATGTTCTTAGGGTTCCCATTTTCATCAAAATTTAAGAAAATAATATAAATGACTTGACGGCGCTTGTGGTTTCAATGTATGTTACGTATAATTCTTTACATTATGGCAACCAAGATGTTTGTTACGTACATTTTGTTTGCCTCCAACTTGATTTACATATGTGATACTTCTGTACAATAGTTTCCTATATATAACAAATAGATTTTGCCAAAAAGAAGAAAAAAATCACCATACATATTTCGTAATGACTCTTAACGAAAAGTTTCATCCAATAAAAGTATGTGAAAGTGCACAATATTTTAATCACGTTCTGCAACGATGTTGATGGAAGATTTATCAGCCATTTTTGTGGTGATAAGAATTTTATTTATTAGACATTGAGAAAGGGACTTATTAGAAAGTAATACACAGTACATTTAGATTAAGAGGATGAAGTCACGGGGAGAGAGAGGGCCCAGTGAGAAGTGACCTTAATTGTATACCATCTTAATTGGCCCGTTTAGCATTAATCCCATCATCAAGGAAACATTAGCACATGCATGCACTTTGTACTAAGGACCATTTTATTATTGTTTTCATACACTTTATTTCATTAATTAATTTAAAAGCAATGCTTTCTAATGAATATACAATTATGCCCATATTACAAGATAATCTCTTCAATTTTAAATAAAATAATTTATTAAAAAATCCACGCATTAAAAAATAACTTCATACTTAATTTTCTAATTTCATGTCGATGTTGTTACTCTTGACTTGGCCTGATATCAATTATATAGCTTTCCCATGCTAGTATCGTTGAGGGGTTAATGAGTTTCTGTGAGTTGAGTTCTAACCTCTAAGCTAAGTTATTTTGATACTAATTGCTTTTAAAATACTTCATACTGTAGATTTACAAAAAAAAAAAAAAAAAAAAACTTCATACTGTAGTGAAAAAAAACTCATTTGATTGTGTATTTGTTATTACTACTTTTACTAATTGCTTGCCACAATTGCTTTTCCCGAAATGATCATTTGATATCTGTTTTGTGATTTGCGGTGTAGAAAAAGATTAAACTTAGAAAAGAAGGCAACTAATATTTCAAGTTTGATGAAAAGAGAGGAAAGAGGGCTTGAATGGTTGAATTTCTCTCTAATATGGCCCAATCTAATTGGTAAGACAGGAGAGAAGAAAAGACATAATCATAGATAATCTTGATATATTAGTGTGGCCAAAAGCAAAATGATGTCTAACTTTTCTTTTGCTTTACCTCATTAACACCATGTTCTTCTCTTTCAAGTTTCAATCTAAACCTCTTTTACTTCATTTTATCTCTCTGTGTGCTTTACGTGTCTGTTTCCTATTGCTTAAATCGTAATTCATTGGTTTCCGTAATTAGTTAGAGCTGTCTAATCCATCTTCATTTCACTAGAAGATATTAATCGAAATGAGTCTAAACCCTTTTCGTTCTCCTCTTTCCACTAGACCTGCCACCATTTTTAGTACTCATGTTTTTCTTCTTTATTATATCATGTGGATTAGTTAATATTTTGATATGTCTCACCAATTAATCATAAGAAAATATTCATTGGACATTTATCTTGTAGATACTACTGAAGAAGTCTATTTGGTGCAAAAATGTTTGCCAACGTACTGAGCTAGAGACTCGATTCATCACACTGAACTCTAGTTTTTACTCCAAGCCTTAAAGAAGATCAAGACTGGTCATTGACTCATACGTGAGAAAAGTATTCAGTGTCAATGTTAAGAGTCTGCTGGTTGTGTAAAAAAACATCTCAAAGAATACTTGCTGCTATTTATAGAACTCTCTATCTTAAGTAGCAAGTTGACACCACCTTCGTGAACATAAATAATGGGCTGAGAAGCCCAACATACTTGTTTTTCCATAAGCTACAAGACGTATAATACTAAAGTTTTCAAGTTTCAACCATAAGTTACAAGAACTCATGCTGCATATCATGGTGTAAGCCAGTAAGCGGATCCAAATTCATGTTACAACTTCGCATTTGGGAAAACATGATTTAGTCATTGGAAACTCACAACATATATCATCAACAGCAGATTCTGCATTTAAAATAATTTTAAATCCCAAATTCTTCTAGTTTAAAAAAAAAAAAAAAAAAAAGAAAAAGAGAGAACAGAAGCAGCACCAAAAAGCTCTTTATCATTAGAAGAACACAAATAAATTATATTTATTTTGGGGTTTTATGAATGATGATTTGTTTGAAAACGCTATTAATAACATACACAAGTCTTATATTCGTGTAAACGATTTCTTTGAATGGTATTGATATAACATACATATATAAGTCGTTAAGTTTGTGTTTCACGTCAAGAGGATCCACAAAACTGATCAGAAGACGTCTGTTTTCTCTTACTCGGTTTCAAGCTACTGTTGTTTCTCGTCGTCGTCTGGTCTTTAGAACCCGATAAATCTCTAGTCGAACCATCGTCGCTCTTACTCATCTCCATCGTCGAAGATCCCGCAAAGAAACCACCACCAGAGACGCGTGGAATCGCCATGGCCACTGGTTGTTGTTGCATCCCCGAGACATGGAACTGTGGTCCATGGTTAACCGAGGGACCACCACGGCTCAAATCAGGCAAGCCCATTGCGTAAGGCATTCCCATACCCATTGCCATTGCTGCTGCTGCAGCCGGGTAATGCCCCATACCCGGTGGGAACATAACCGGTGGCATGTAGTAACCAGACGCCATTGACATGATCTGTTGATGATTCTGTTTAGGTTATTAATTTGTGTGACTTTTTTTTAGGGTTTCAGAAGAGTAATGAGAGTGTGTTTACCTGTACTTGAAGTTGGAGTGACTTTAGATACTCGATTGCTTCATCTAACATCGAAGCTTTGTCCACCTTCACAACCATATAATGTTTTCAAGTTAGTAATCGAGTGACAATGACGTATGTATAATGGAGAAAAGACTAAAGACCCGACCTTGTTGCAGTTTGGTATGAGTTCTTGAAGCGCACGCATCTTCTCGTTAATCCTATCACGCCGTCTCTGAGATTTGAGGACTAGTAAGTAACCAAAAATAGAAACTTTTTTGTGAGTTTGTTGAGAAAGAACAACAACACAACTCACCCTTTCAGACAGATTATGTACTTCAGCAGAGCGGCTTCTCTTTGAACCCATCCCCGTTCGAGATGGAGCTGCCTCTTTTCTTACATCTTCTGATTCTTCTTCAGCATCCTGCTCAAACAATATTGAATAAGAACACTGAAGAAAAGAAACGAGATTTAACTGTGAATCAAATGATAATGATATGACTTGTAACTCACTTCACTGTGACAGTCAGTGTCCTGAATATTTGAATGGTTTCTTTTTAAAGAAAGAGAAGGACTTTGGGATGGACCATCGAGACTATTCCCGGAGCCAACAGAAGAACACACGACGGCCTTTTCACTCTCTTGCTCTTTTCTTGCCGAGTCCTCTGAGATTAGGCAAGCTTTTTGGTTATCCTTAGGCGTAGCAGAAGCAACAGACTCGTTAAGAGCCTTATCTTCAGAGTCTTTCGCTCCAAGAACTCTCGTCTGAAACACATTCGGCGGGCTTTGAGGACTCTTCTCTTTATTAGTCTTAGCCAGAGTTGTTGCAGGACGTAAGAAATGCGAAAAGTTGATCAAACCAGGCTTGTTGTTACTAGGGATCAATCGTTCCTGCGTCTGAGTAAACCGGTCCGGTTTGGCTTGTTGGTGGCTAGGAGGATCTCTAGCTCTCTCACTTCCATACAGAGAATGTGATTGAAAACCGTTGTACTGCGATGAAGAAGCAGAAGGAGCTGATTCGTTATTGCCGTTGCTTCTTCTCTGAAACAGAGGGAAAACGGTTTGGTTAACCGCCAAATCGCTCTCTTGCTCGTTGACAGTAACGGGAGAGACATCACGTAAGAAATCAGAGCAATATCCGTCTAGGGATTGGTGATGGTTTAACCATGGAACCAAGTCATCGTCTTGACTCAAACCCGTCATTAGAGATGGCACTGACATTGGGATCTCGTCCATGGTCGTCGTCTTTGAGCCGTTTCCAATCTCTCTAGCTCTCGAAGAGCTTGCTTGATGAACAGCTTGTTGTGGTGGAGGAATGTTTCTTGATCTGCTTGACTGGCTTTGAGTTGATATCTGACCGTTTTCCCAAACCAGCTCCACAACTTCATCCACAGGTCTGTTTTTTTCAAGACAGAAACAAAAAAACATGAAACTGATGAACTCGAAACTAGACAAGTCTGGAAGAGAGTGGACTCACGGAGAAGGGTTCTTGTCTTGAGCAGACTCAAGCTTAGCTTTGGTGAGCCTGAAAAGCTCAAACAGAGGCATGGTGTTGCGTTTACAGACAGAGTCCTGAAAGTATAAGGGAACTCATAAAATTAACAAATTAGGCGAAACAACTCTCAGAAACGATTCTTCACTATGCAGTGCCCAAATTAGAAAACTTGAGTTCTCAAATTAGAAACTGGGAGCAAAGAAATCGATGTCTCTGTCAATATGCAATATAAAAAAAAAGCAGAGAGATTAAGTTTAAATTAATGCCAAAATGATTGATTAGTCAAAACAATTGTTTAATCACAGTGAGGAACGGTTCAAACAAACCAAAAATCAAAGCTTTCGTCGTGTTCCCTGAATCGTAAACAGAAACCCAAAAACAAAAGAATCAATTTTTATCCTCGTCTTCTATTAATCTATCATCGTCGCTGACCTGAGAAAGAGGGTACTGGAAACTGAAGAAATCGAAGTCGGCGAAGAGAGAGAGAGAGTGAGATCCTAAAGTTTCAAAGGGACATCAATCCAAATGCAGAGTATGAAATCGAGAACACAGGAGAAGAAGACGGCGGAGAGGAGAAGTAATCTTGAGAAAGTAGCCGGAGAGAGAGAAGGAGACAAAACAACGCACAAGGCGGAGAGAGAAGAGGGACCAAATTGTAGCACGCACTATAACAGAGGATTTTGATTTTACTCTCTGTATTTTTTCATTTCTTTTCTTTTCGCTATTTTTTTCCCTTTTTATAAACGAATCGTATATTTTAGTTTACAGAAATTTTATTCAAATGGCGAATCGTGAATTTATTGCAAACAATTATACAGCCTCCAAACTTTTTTTTTTGGATTAGCTACATCGGAAATATGTGTCAGTTTGATATACTGTATGTCCTATATCCTACGACTATTTTGTACTTCGTAAAAAAGCATCTACAGAACAAAAAATTACTGCTTATAGTGAATTAACAAATGATTTAGAATATGCTAATTGGAAGTGGATCTAAACGTACTGTAATAACGTATTCATATTTAGAATATATGCTAATTGATATACAGTATGTCCTATATCCTATGATTATTCTATTGAACTACATAACCATTTTCAGATTTCTTAAATATATATGTATTCATCGTTGTATCTTGTAATATGCAGGTGATGATTACCTCACTAAAATGATAAAAGAAAATACGAGGGTATAGTTCCTTACATGCTACTCCTTACAGTACTATGCAAGCATTTTGGATCTGGAGTAACCTTTTCACGAGAAGTCAAGGCTAGTCCATTCTTACTTGCTTAACGAGAGTTGGTGCTTTTCGCCAGAAAGAAAACAAAAGAGATATGGTTATTAAAAGAAATTAAAGAGAAAGGGACCTAGAGAAGAAAGTTGGGCGTGGTTATTATTCAACCGAATTGCTTCTCACCGACCTCTGCACACACCCGTTGTCTCTATTACATGATACAGTCCTTCGCATTATTACAATTAATTCATGGTGTGTCTTTAAATAACTATATACAAAATAATAGCATAGTAGAATATGTTATCTTATCTTAAAGTGACATGGGCCTGTGATACACTAAAGTCGTGTGATGTGTTATCATAAAGGAACACTGCCAAAAAAAGCATCACACAGTCACGCAACCAAGTGGGGTTGAGCAACCTTGTCTCTCTTTATCTATCTTAATAATAATAAACGATTTGACTTTCCAATCATTGCTATTTTTCGCAAGTGTTTACTGTACTAATCATCCTTAAGTATGGGAGTCACTCAGGTGGTTTGTATTCTTATACAATAACACTTCCTTTGTTTAAATATTTTGATTAGTTACCTAATGGAAACCAATCATTTGCTTATTAATAATTGAGATTTTGTTTAATCATGGATGTGTGTTAACATCTCAACTATAATAGAGTGTAACTGTATGCTATACAAAATTTTATTTTCCTCTTTGTTTTTCTCATTCCTCAGATGACTATCAGTCAGACTTAAGACAAATGACAAATCAAAAATGAAAATTCAGATATAGACTCATCATTTGTAGAAGAGCCAAGAGTAGCGCCAAGGTGTAGTTTATACTACGAATAAATTTTGGTAGTTTGGAATGTCAAAAAAATGAGCCTTAAACGCATTTGAAGAGACGTTGTTTGTTTTACCAAATTTGGGAAACAATAATATTTCATACAAAACAATTTAGCTAAAACTTTTCTATTCTGAAAGTTTAATATAGGTATATAGCTAACACTTTAGAAATGAATCTACCTATCCACATATATGGTGATCGAATCTGCAACATATAACTAAGAACAAACCATAATGTATAATATTAATAGTATACTGAAATTTTCAGGCTTAAACCTACAAAGGGTCCTGGTGACATTGAAGATTCATTTACTTTAAGCTGATCAACTTTGGTTAGGTGTAAAAATAAATAGTTTATTCTCTAGCCTCTTGGACTCTTGGTCAATCGGCAAACAATTTTTTACTTTTAATAGTTGACTTACAATTTTGATAATTCACTATCTTAAGGATTTTATTTATAACTGGCCATACTCCTCACGATACCGATTTTGAGAAACTCTCCATGTGGATAATTTTAGTACCTTATTTAGATTTGCATGGACTATTGTTGATTTCATCACTGTAGCTAGCTTATCCTCATCTTTTGTCGAGAAAACAGTTGTAAACCATATAAGAGAACTCAGCAGAATGAATTAAAACCGAGTAAATAATTAAAAAGCAATATAAACATTAAAAAAAAAAAAAAAATCGATAGCAGAACAACTTACATGTGACATGTGTATGACAACACCCTGTCCAGCAAAATGCTCAGTCCACCTTAGAATATGGCAATTGGCAACACGTTTACAACTTTAGATATCTCTTCTTCCTCTAAACAAAAATAAAGATACGCGAAATCTTTTACCTCATTATCATTAAGTCATTAACAACTTAGGAAAATATGGAAATTGGCCCTTCCACAATTCAAAAGGTCAGCTACGTGTTAGATGTTGACTGCGGCTCTAACTAACCGTACATGTATTGAGGCTTATCAAATTATCTGCGTTGAAAAAGATTCAACAAAAGAAAGAAACAAATCCACTATCTGTTTATCAAAAGTTCAAAACGTCACTGTACGTGGAACACAAAAGAAAATTTGTTGGAGGAGCTTTATGTGATGGATGATGATCTTAAATCTTTATATTCACGAGGGATGGTGATAGATGAGTCGAGACAAAGTGGCAACTGTTGAGGGAAAGGGAGATGTAACACGTGTGGCATATGCTATGACAATCTGGCGACATCGAGAAAAGGAGTAGAGAATGAGAATGCGTTTCCTTTGATGCTAAATGCTGGCCAGAAACAATATTTTGAGAAAGAATATGTATGTATATATGTATATATACATACAATCGTATGCAAAATGCATTGAACTTCTACACGTTGACAAGCATCTTTTGCTTATGTCCCTATCCTCGTAATCAAATATGTCCCCACTCGCCAGTGGCCACTTCCTTAGACTGTCCAAAAAACTAATCAATCCCAACTATGAACTCTACCTAACAGTTTTCTTCTTGTGAATTTAAAATCTTTCAAATGTATATGCGAATGTTTCGTTTTTAACTAAACAAAAGAAAAATAATTGGTTCATACTTCAAAATAAAATGATAAAATTAATGTAGCAATGTAATAAATGTATAATAATGGGTATTCATCCGATCCAACTGTGGTAATGAACTTCCACAAGAATCTGATTGCATATTGTTGAAGAGAAATCGTTTGAAGTTAATCAAAATATATCGTAAATCAGAATTATAAGCCCAAGAGACGACCAATTTTACGGCCCAATTATTTGAGCCCATGTACGGCACCGTTTCGCAAGTCAATTAATTTTTCCTCCGCCGTCAGGTCCCCTTTCTTCCTCACCATTGAAAAAAACCCTAATTTCCCCAATCGCAGACAGACGACACTATGAATCTCCCATCGTCAACGGCGACACCGACTCCGGTGACGTCAACTTCGCCGTCTTCTGATCCCGCGGCGATTTCTCCCGAGATATGCGGTACGTGCGAAAACCGAGACGCCTGGGTCATACACGCAGCACGCCTCCGTAGCGTTCTCCAATTCTTCTGCACGCATTGCCTCCTCCTTAACCATCCGCAGTCGTTTTGCCCCTCCTGCTTCGTCTTCTACGATTCTTCTCCTCCTCATCCTTCTCGCCGCGTCACCTGCTCCAAGTGTGGATCTTACTCTCACATCGAGTGCGTCGGCGATGCAAAATCTCCTCCTTTCCATTGTCCTCCATGCCGGGAAGATAACGATAGCTTCTCCTTCTTCAGTCCTATCATCGGCTCCGACGGGTCTCGCTTCGTAGACAAATCCCTCTCCGTAGCCTTTTTATGCGCCGCCAAGATCGCCGCTTCTTCTATGACCAAGGCCGTGTGCTACCATAAAGGCGAAGCTGAGCGGAGAGGAAAAGAGGCCGCTTTGGCGAAAAAGAGAGCACGCGAGGCTCTTGAGGAGGTCATCGCGCTCGACGACGCCAAGGAGAAGGAGAAGGAAAAGGAGAAGGAGAAGGAGAGGGAGAAAGAGAAGGAGAAGGAGAAGGCAAGGTCGGTGATTCCGAAACTCAAAGAAGCATCCGTTGAGCTCTCCGGCCATCGAGATCAGAAACCAAAACTGAGCACCGCATCGAATGGCGCTGTGAAAGAGAATGTGAAAGAGAAGGAGAGCTCTGCTTCTACCACCAAGAACAATGGAGGCGCACAGAAACAGAGCCCGACCGTTCAATTGGGTAAAGTTAAGCAAGAAGGTGATGCTTCTAAATGAGAATCAATGTCAATTGTTTCATCTCCTCCCCCACAAACTCAAAGACAGGTACCATAACTTCAAGGCTCAAGCATTTTCGTCTTTTGATGAAAGAAAGCTCTTGGCAGATTCTGATTCTGAGCTTAATGTAGATTATGTATGTCATCTCTTTTTCTTCAGTTTTTTTTTTTTTTTTTTGGGGAGACTTTGACTATGTGTAGGAATCTGTGGAACTGTGAAGTGTTGTGTTCTAAGAATTGATTCCTCCTATGTATCTTTTTATCTGACAAAAGCCACTGTGACATACTCTCTTCCTGGATTGGATTGAGCAAATTTTCTAGTTCATTGGTGTTGTGATGTTAATTCCTATGTCAATTTAAAATGTGTGTATATACACATCAAAATAATGGATGATGCAAAACTGATTAAACTTACTAATCAATGCAATTTGATTTAAACTGAGAAATATCGACCTTTTTATATAAACTGAGAAACAAAATTAATTCAAAACAACTTTTTTTCCACGCTTTAACGGGAACATTTATGAAAAGCATAGATAGCTTGAAATGGCAAAAGTACGACAGAGGATCACAGGAGACATTTCTCTTTGAGACTAAGAACAGTGTCTCTAAGGCTTGTTTCCGCAGGAGTCAACTCAATTCCCAAACTTTTCACTTTCTCTGCAACACTCGCTTTGTAATTCAATGGACTCGTGCCTTCTTCACTCCTGAAAAAGAGTTAAAAAGTTGTGTCAGGTTTGTAGAGTCAAAAACATGATTATGACTTATTAAAGAAAAAAAACAAGAACTCACTCATCAGCAATGCGCAAATCAGGATAGAATTCGCGTAAAACTTTTTCAATCTCATTTGTTGTCACAGTCGCCGGACCAACGATGATGTATCTGCCACTGGCCGAAGGAGTCTCGAGGGTCTTGACATGAGCAAGAGCAACATCTCTCACGTCCACGAACCTATGATTTCTCTGGTTAAAAGTGTTCTTACCGTTTATGAAATCTACAATTACATCTACCGAGAAGTTAAGAGCTGGCTGCAAGATTGGTCCGACAACGAATCCTGGATTGATTACGACCAAGTCGATCTTGTTGGCCTTGGCAAACTGCCTTGCTGCATCTTCCGCCAAAGTCTTGGAGAGTAAATACCATTGCTGGATAGGACAAGACAAATAAAAAAGGTAAGAATTGTGAAAGTTTTTTCCATAACTCAACGATGTGTCAAAACACAAATGTAAAAGACCTTGTTCTCCTCGCAAACACTTGGATCAGAGAAGACTGTTTCGTCTATTAAGTCGTTTGGTCCCAAGGGAGGCTTAGGACAAAACACTGTGGCTATGGACGATGTTAAGATGACTCTCTTGACAGAAGGCACTTTAGTGCATGTTTCTAGGACATTCATAGTGCCCTTGACAGCTAGTTCGATTAGCTCAGCCTGCAAAATTCAAGGTAATATTAAGTTTAATGTTATATATGAATACAGATTAACTCATGATCTTCATGTATTATTTCAGATATGAGATTCTCCTAACAATAAATCAAGAAAGTAAACTAATTACCGAGGATTGTATTGGTCTAGACGAACCTGAGGATCAGCGGCAAAGGGTTTAACCGGTGAAGCAGTGTGGAAGACAGCCTCACATCCATCAATTGCATGCTCGAAAGAACCTTCTTCTAAAAGATTTGCTTTGAATAATTGGAGTCTTTCTTTTGCGCCGTCAAGTGCAAGAAGATGATCTGTTTTCTTTTGATCATCTGGAGATCAAAAACACATACACATGCATGTCAAAGTGCATCTTTAGATTATAAACATTAAACCGTAGTTATATCAGTGGTCGTTTGATCATTGTTGAAATTAGTCTCTTCCCATTTTTCCAAGTAAAAAGGCTAAAACAGAATTGAAAGTGATCGATATAAACTTGTGTTTAGCTTTGGGTACGATTTAGTTTTTGATAAAATGTATTCTAGATTTGAAAGAAAACAAAGAAAAAGCCAGGCGAACAAATTTCTACTCATGGATTTTGCTCAGATTAATTAGCTCATCTTGCATGTTATCTTTATCTATAAAGATAATTAAAGAGGATAAAGAAAAGAGAGGAGGGGAGCAAACTTGGGTCTCGAACGGTGGCCTTGACGGCGTAGCCACGGAGGAGCAGAAGCTTCACAATCCAAGACGCTATGTAACCGGAACCTCCGGTGACGCAGACCACCTTTCCTTCGCCGTTCATTTCCCTTAACTTTATCTGTTTAGTTTAATTGCTACTGTAGTTTTAAAATGAAAACTTGAAATATAATCTTCAACCATTTATGACATATTAAGACATGTGTCAAAATATTTCATTTTAATGTTAACAAAACTAATTAAAATACATTTCTTTAGAAATTCCAGATTGGAGCAAACAAAATGATATCTTTCCTTCTTTTTCAAAGATTTGTTTCATATTTACTTCCTTTTGTGTTTCCTATATTCCAAAATGGAATTAAAGAATTTTTTAAAACACTTTAACGAATGAAAATCTGACAAAATTTAAAGGTAAATAATATTTTCATTTTTGTTTGTTTCTCCTGTTTTTTTTCTTAAATCAAAATCTTGAAAAGCATTTGGCAAAGTCATTGACACTATTAAAAACGGTGCAATGCACACAAACAGAAAATAAAACAAAGTGTGTTCATGGCTACAGTTTTAAAAATATGTTGAGTTTTCTAAAAATGTGAACGAATTTTGTTTACTATTATAGTAAATTGGCATTTGAAAGAATTTGATCCATAATTAGGTACTTATTATTACTCATAAGATTCGTAGATATGGCCAAAGCAATTTCAAAAGCCTACATCATATTGTTTCTCCAATTATTACAACTACAAAATTACAAGAAAACAGAGAGGATCATGTATTGAGAAAACATTTCTCCTTGAGGCTAACAATAGTGTCTCTGAGGGATTCTTCTATAGGAGTGAACTCAATTCCCAAGCTCTTCACTTTCTCCACACACACTTTGTAATTCATTAATTGATCATTCATCTCACTGTCTTCATACCTAAACTAAAATAAAAAAATGTGTGTTTGGAATACCTTTTAGTTAAATTTATGGACTTCACTACTTCAGTATGATAATAAGTAAATATGAAAGGAAAAAAGAACTCACGTGTTAGCAAGACACAAATCTGGAAATGATTCAAGCAAAATCTCTTTAATGTCGTGTGTCTTCATACTTGGACCATCCATAATATATCTGCCATTGGCTGACGGAGTCTCCAATGCTTTGACATGAGCCAAAGCAACATCTCTCACGTCCACGAACTTGTAGTGACTACTATTGAAAGGGTTCTTACCATTCATGATATCCACAATAATTTCTACCGAGAAATTAAGAGTTGGTTGCAAAAGTGGTCCGATTATAAATCCTGGATTCATCACGACCATGTCGAGTCCATTTTCTTTGGCAAATTTCCAGGCTGCATTCTCTGCCAAAGTCTTGGCAAGCGGATACCATAACTAAAGAGGAAATAAAAAAGTGTAAGAGAGAATACGATCGAACTCTAAAAATAGATATGTTGGCAACAAAATCTAAGGACCTTCATCTTCGTGCATAAACTTCACAAGCCACGGGGATCAATGCTTTGAATTGATGATCAACAGGGTCGTATCCCAAGGATGTGATGTCGTATCCATTACAAGCAGGTAAAGTAACGACTTGCCTCGTGCTAGGGTTACATATAGTGAACTGTAAACCATGACAACAACTGACAAAGCCATGGACGGAAGGACACGTGTAGCCGTGGGCCAATCTCAAGGAAGGTATTGTCATGTCGAGATTGGCAGAAACGTAAGAAGAAGAAGACGAGCATTCCTCTCCCGAGAAGATGAACAGACGCTTGGCATGATCCTTGACGTATGAACTGCTGCTTAAAGCGACTATAAACCGAGGTCGCGTCGCAGAGGACATAGCGTAGTAAGAATCGATAAAGCCTTGGGTTCGGATGATGGAAGACCACATCTTTGACACGCATAGGGACCTCATAAGAGACTTTACCGGCAGTCTATTCAGTATCTCCACCTCTATATCCAAAGGGATCATCAGCTCTAGCTTACTTGGCCTCTCGTCGCTCCATGTTCTCCTCTTTGCGTTCCAACCTACGGAGGAATTTCTTTTGGTGTGGCTTCTTCAGAAACTTCACCGGAACATGTTCAAGAGGGAACTTGTCCTTCTCATGTTCCTTCTTGCGTTTCATGGCGAAACACCAAATTCGACTAGATTGGGGAAAATCAGAGAGAATCAACAAAGCACAAGATTTACATATATCTTGAGTCTTGACAAAGCCATATGAGTTTCTTTTTCGGAATGTATAAGTTTTGGGCTATAATTTAGTAATCCTTCCCTATACAAATTTCGCCCATATTTTTTCTAAATATAAGAAAAGATTGAATAGGGTTTGAGACGGTCCTTAAAAAACCTAGATAGATTCCTTGTCGAAAAAGTAACTCTCTAATTGTCTTTCTTGCTCTCTTTTCTCTCTCTTGCTCGCTAGTTTTCCTCTTTTTCAAATTATTCAACCTTAAACTTCTAACTACAGTCTCTTCCCAGATGATGAATAAGAGAAACACGTAATATCTTCCGGATGATTTGGTAGTGGAGATACTCTCTAGGGTTCCCACTAAACCTTTGGAACGATTGCGATCAACTTCTAAAGAATGGAACGCTTTGGTCAAAGATGGGAGATTTTCGAAGAAGCACTCTGCTAATGCTCCACGGAAATCTCTGGTTATAGTGTTGATTGATTTTAGGGTTTATTTAGTGAGCGTCGATCTCCGTGAAATTGAAGACAACAAGGTTGCTCTAACAAGACAATTTAGCTTAGAAGATCCTTATTCTAATTCTTCGGAAGAAGTTGATATACGCAAAGTCATTCACTGCGACGGCTTACTTTTATGTACCACCGAAGACGATAGACTTGTGGTTTGGAATCCGGTTTCAGGGGAAACAAAGTGGATCCATCAACCTAGAAAATCTTTCGATAAGAACGATGTCT